GCAGGATTGTTTTGGACAGCAATGTCATACACTACACAAACTCCATAACCAAAACCAAAATAAATTCCTAGCCTGCAGTGGGAGAGCCTGTATTTCTGATAAGCTCTTGAAGTACGAAGTCCTCTCTCCTTCCCTCACAAGCTGCTCTGCCTGTTAAGCCGTAAGACAGTGACCCCTGGGAATTTGGCTTCCAGCTGATGTAGGCTGAAGAGGAGTGTCATGAACAGGCCAAAGGGCAGGAGGAGTGTTCAAGGGTCAGGTTACGAGGGAAGTCAGGATTCAGGGTCTTGCTTTCTTTTGTTTTGGAACAGTGACTAGTCTTACAAGGCACAGCCTGCTTTCTAGAAGGCAAAAGACCTTGTATGTGGCCAGTGTTTGAGAAATGTAGGTGTGTCTGCTTATTTGAGGGGTGGGGGATTAAGCAGCCCTCTGGCTGGTTTGTAGAATACTTGCCACCAAAACCAGGGAACATTCTGAAGCCAGTCTGAAAACAGATTTATAGAAAACTTCAGTTGCATTTCCAATAGTTTCCTGATCCTCATCTCTATGTCCTCTTTTTTAAAAAAGATTTATTTGTGCCTTAAAACAATAATTTCAAAAGTAAATGTAGTCACACATCATGTGCGCGCTTTCTTCTTTTGCTCTTTCTTTTTAGCCCCAGAGTGTCATAACCTTCCCGTATAGATTCCCCAAAAGTGTAGCACACAAAACCTTCCTGAGTTAATTCCCACTTGAGATCATTCAGGCCATCATTTAACCTGCTAGTTCTGACTGGTCTGTGAAGTTGGGTCATGCAGACAGTATTTGACAATTCTCCCTGGGAAGTTGGTGTGCCCTGTGGATTGGCCAAAGGAGATGTGGACAGCCTAAGACACTTCCTTTTCCTCACATACATGAATCACTTTTTGCTATGCTAAGCCAATCTGATAAGGTCGCTTAAAAGAAAGCAATCAACTCAATCTTCTAATAGAACCTTTCATTCTTTCAATGGCTGAGTCAACACAATAAACAGTACCTCCACGTCCTTACATCCCAACAAGAGTTAGTGCCCACCACGAACACTTGAATCACACCTGACAGATGTTGAAGAAAGTTTCACTATGCCGTCTTCCAGAGAAAAGCAGCACATCTATTGTCTTCCTGGTGTCTCAGCTCCAGTTGGGAAGTGGGTGGCAGCTGTTCCCACTTCATTGACTGACCAGGGTCCAGCAGTTTCCTTAACTTGTTACTTCAAATCTGATAAGAGTTGAAACTGAAATTTAAGGTTTGTAAGAGGATGGTCTAAAGTTTGTTGATGCTGTATGTTTTGGAAAGACAAGGTCTTAATTCTCTCATTGTGAGAACACCAAGTAAATTTCCTTACATTTTTTATATGGTATGCCTTATGTCCTCTGAGTTATATTCGCTTTGAGTGACATGAAAGCTTTTCTTGTAAATTTCTGGCTTATCTATCTAATGACTAAAGACAAGAACTATCTTAGAGCTAGATCGTATGTATATGGAATACTTCACCCCCAAAGCAAACAGCTGGCATTTCAGCACTTTGTCTCACTTGCCTAACAGTGATGCAATCACCTACAAAAATGATATTTTTTTCTCTCAGTTTCAGGTATTTTAGGGCCACCTCTAATTTTAATAAGTGTAATGTGGGCGGCGGGGGGGGGGGGCAGAATCAACTCCCATTGGAAGTATACCAAAACCCAAGGGAGAATTTCATTACAAAAATAGATTTATTGGGGAAGGGGCTTACCACTCTGCTGTTGACTCAACAATATCAGTTATGTATAGCCAAAGATGTAGTTTATTATCTGCACTGGGTCCTTAGCGCTGGAAAAGTTCCTCTTCACTTTTTTTATTGAACTTGGGCAATAAAGTCAAGCCTGGGTGCAACTTGAAGAGAAATGTGTTTTTGTAGGGCTTGTAACACTGGAGGAAGCTGGGTCACATTTTAAACAGCAGTTATTCAAGACCTTGCCACCGGAAAGGGAAAAAAAATATGGATGAACATTCCCTAAATATATGCAGGAGAAAAATGTGAACCCTAGTCTGAGAAAAGTACATCTGCATACTTTGTACCTCTTGCCCCTTGTTATGGCGATACAGCAGATAATTAGCTAAGATTTTACTGTTGCTTACTCTTTTTTCTCTAGGACTAGATACTGTTCCATTATCAATCAGCTATAAGGTGTACTAATTTCAGCTTCTGTTAAGTTGGATCCAAGATGCATACCTTGGGACTTTTGTCTTTAGATCTGTGAATAGAAAATGGCAGTGAGGCTATTGTGGGGGTGGGACTTGCACTTTCTCAAGCAGAATTGATCTGGTCAGGCAAATTATGTAGGGCACCACAAAGGGAAAGGCAGAAACAGGCTTTAATTGAGTTAATTGTCAACAAGAGCTCATAATTAGTGACTTTTTGGCCTTGTATCTGGTGCTGTATTTCTTTTTGCTTTTGCCCCAAAGAAATGAGAGTTTACAAATCTTTATAACAGACATTGGAAAATAATATTTCCTTTTTATCAAAGTATTATAAGCTAAACTGGATTGCATAAATACCAAGCTGCAGAGTCATTGGAATTTTACTACTCTGTGCTTATTGAGAAACTGTTCAGCTCAGCACTCTCTGTGTGTGTTATGGATTAGGCAAACCTAAAGCTCTTAAAGAAAAGAAAGGGGGCAGGGAGGGATTTCAGCGTCCACACTTTCCTGTGTCAGTATTTCTCCCACCCACCCACCGTGTTTTCCTTACTGCAGTATATGGCTGGCCCATGCTTGAAAATTCTGTTTTCTACTTCTATTTAAATGTGATACTGAAGTATGTCTCCATCTGTATTTCTGCTGTTTTCTCTTCTTTGCCTTTAATACTTGAGAATCCATGTTCTAGTTAGTAACAAGTTCCATGTCTTAGGAAAGGACAAGTGAAATGTTTTCACAGTTTAAAAATGAGAAAGTGGTGTGACTATTGCTGCTAAATTATTGTGAGTCCCTTAGGTTAACTTGTTTGTTTGTCTCTCCCATTTTATTTCTCAGATTACAGCTAGAAGGCCTTTTCAGGAAGACCTCAGTGGCTAGGAGACTGGAGACTTGGAAGGGGTGGGGTGTACAGCATACATTTTCTGTACTTGCCACTTAATGGGGAAAGGTGGAATGTTCAAGCTGGTTGGCAAGTGTTCTCTGAACTTAAGAAGAAGTTTGTGCTTCAGGGATTGCTGAAGCACTAAGATTAGTTCTGAGCTGCATTTTCAGCATGATTACAGTGCTACTTAAGGTACATTTTGCACAAAAGGGACTCATGAGAAATAGTGGCAAAGCTATTGCTGTCTGGGATATTGCTGGGATGATGCAAGTTGTGCTGCAATAAATCACATTGGTTCACCTTTTCATTTAAAGCTCTGTTGAATACTAAGTGGTCTGTGATCTGAGAACCCATGTTACATGTAAGGTCAGCCTGTAAGTACCTTGTTCCCTCAAATTGCCACATTACAGTATTAAGTAGGAGAACTACAATTGCAGTACACAAAAGTCTAGATGGAACCCCTTTAGTATTTTTATTCAGTCAACAGCAAAAAATACCTAGATTTTTTGAAAACGGAAGCTTGATATATTGAAAATACTGCTTTCTTTTAGTGTGTTTTGGCACACAGTGTTTTGTTAACACAAAGGAAGGTCTTTTAGTATTGCCAAAAACAAGTGATCCCATCCTTCTTGGAACCAGTTTTATGTCGAGAGGTGAATGTTGACATGAGTACAAATTAAAATGTGATATTTTATCATTGAATCTAATCAATATTTTATAACACATGGTTTCTCACATTATTGTGCTGGCTTTCCCTGTTTGAAAATATATTTTAAGTGCTGTCTAAGTTGAAGTTTTCTCTGTAAATAAAGTGATTGGACAGCCAAAACCTTGAGGTACTTGTTGGACTTCAGTAACTTATCAGCCGCTGGCAAATAAACTCCTACAAAACTCCTTATAGAAACTTGCACTCTTTTTTCCCTTTTTCTTTCTACAGAAGAACGTGTAAATAAAGATAATGTAGGACGTACCAAAAAGTCCATTTTAAGCAGGGCAATGGCAAGTTCTCCCAGACTTTTGTATGCATTGTAGATTAGTGTCTGTATACGTGTTAATTGTAGTGGGGTTTTGTCTGACAAGCCTGAGATTTATACTTTGAAATAAACTACTGGGTTTTTAACCTTCGGCGTCTTGTGTGGTTGGTTCTCATCAAGGCAGTACTGGGTTGTTTTTAAAAAGCTGACCACAAGCCTTTCTATGACAGCAACTTGACCTGTGTTCAAGGCTCCCCACTCCTTTTTTTCTCTTGAATGTTCTTTAAGAGCACATATTGCACTGGGTGCTCTGGTGAAATTATGTGTGTATAAGCTAAATATATTGAATTTCTTTTTAATAGTCAAATGTGAAATGTTATATCTAGCAATGATGCAAATAAAAATGTAGGGAGGCAGACACAAAAATTTGTTGTTAAACTTCATTTTGAATACCTCTCTATTTAAAACCTGTTCAAACATCTATTTGGTTCTTTACTTTTAAATATTTTAACAAGCTGGTGTGTTGTTTCTTCACTTAAAAAAATACACTGCAACAGTGAGGAATAGCTTGTCTTCCACAACTGACACAAGGGCCAACTAATCACAGTGTTGAAATGTAGCTTCTGCTGCAAACTAAGAGGCTTCACCAAAGTCGATTCCAGGGAAGAAGATTGTACAAGTAGGACTCATATCAAGTCAGCCCATTGGCCCATCTAGTTCAGTATTCTCCATACTGATTGGCAAGCTGCTTGTGTTATGCTAATCTCCAGCAAAAATATAGGAAATGTTTCACATCCCTTTTTTCTGATTACTTGGCAACAGTTGCTTATGTGATATCAACAACTGTGCCTCCATCTCTGCCTAATAAGCCTTAGAACATCACCTCAGCATTTTGCTTCCTAGTGGTCTTTATACTTTTCCAATTGACTTAGCTTTTGGTTTTGGTTTTTAATGAAAACAGGCCAGGCCTCCTGCAGAAATGAACATGAAAATGAACTTGATTCACATGGATATTATGGATATCCTTTCAGGCGTAGTGTTGCGTTTTTCAAGATGCCTTGCGGGAAACTAGAGTTTCCTTTACAAGCTCATCAGGGTTTAGACAAAGTATCCTGAAAGACAGCTCTCCACCAGTCCTCTGCAATGTCTAGCTGTAAAGAAATGCTTGGCAGTTTTTTAGGATGTGTTCTTTGTCCATATAGAATGAATAATAGAATTGTAGAGCTGGAAGGGGCTTCCAGGATTATTGAGGGTTACTGAGTCCAACACCCTGCAATGCAGGTATCTTAGCAAAAGGATCCATGACAGATGGCCATCAAACAACCTTCTGAGGGAGACCATTCCACTCTTGAGCAGCTCTTGCCGTGAGAAAGTTCTTCTTGATATTTAGTTGGAATTTCTTGTAATATGAAGTCATTGCTTCGGGTCCCAGTCTCCGGCGCAGAAGAAAACAAGCTTGTTCCATCTTCCACGTGACAGCCCTTTAGATATTTTAAAATGACTATCAAATCTCCCTCTCAGTCCCCTCTTTTCTAGGCTGAATATACCCAACTCCCTCAACTGTTGGATTGGTTTGCATATCCTTGATCATATTTGTTGCCCTCCTCTGCACACGTTCCAGCTTGTCAATGTCCTTCTTGAATTGTTGCACCCAGAACTGCAGACGACTCCAGGTGGGGTCTGACCAAGGCAGAATAGAGTGGCGAGTATGGAGTACAGCCAGGATTTCTTTGGGCAGGGGGAAGGGCAGGCTTTCAGTATGCATAGACTAGTCTGTCTATGAAAAAGCTAGAGGTTTCTCCCATCTCCAGCTGCATATAGATTCAGACAGTGTATGTTGGTCCATTACAGCAAATGGGGCCCTACCCCACCAACCTCAGCCTGCCTTCAGTCAGCCCCCATCTGCCTGCCTTCTTGCTCCCAGACCAGGAGAAGATAGCTTCCTCTTCCTCTTTCAACTCAGTATTGACTCTTGCAGAACTCAGCAGGAATTACGACAAAACCTGAATTAGTTGGCTCTGGCGCCACCTATTATTAGGCTCCCTGCCTTCTGTCCTACAAGTCCCAATAATCACCAGACGCCATTGCATTCAGTCAAGCAAGAGGTATTGTCATAGTTCAAAGACATTCCATACTGGCAAAAGCCCTCAAGCAAGGGGCAGAACAGGAGAAGAAGAGAGAATGTGAAGAAAAAAGGATGCATGAGCAAGTCTTGATTGGCTGGAGGGTGGCCTCTGGGCTGGGGTTCCCTTCCCCTGGCTTCGCCTACTTGTTGCTTTATTTGTTGAGGAACACACTGATCCCTTGTGAGACAGAAGAAGAAAAGACAATCATAGTAGTCTTTGGATCCCCTATACTAGGGGATAAATTTGTAGGTGCTGCCTATTATTGCTATTTTGTTGTTGTTTTATTGTATTGCTTTTAAGCGACACCTGTAAGGTATAAAATGCAGTAAACTATTTAAGTCACTTGGGGCCAAATTGGCTAGCAATACCTAGTGGGGAGAAGCAGGAACTCTTCCTTGATCTCCTTGTAGAAAATGGTGGGATATAAATGCAATTAATGAATAAGTAAGTGTTTGAAAATTATGTAACCCAGAGTCCCATTATCGGGTTGTGAGCTCATCACTATCCTGCAGCCTTTGCAGGGACCCCTTAAGTAGCACATGGGCTTAAAGGATGAAAGCTGTGTAACTTTGGGCTGGTGGTCCTGTCTCAGTCTAACCTACCTCACAGGGGTGTTGTGAGGGTATGCAACAAGGAGAAAGAACCACCTACAGCACATTGGAGGGAAAGTCAGATACAAATGAAACAGATAATTCCTGTGATGTCTACCTTGTCATGTGCTGCCAATGTAGTGAAGGAAAACCCGACCTATCATTTGAGAGGTTCAAAGGCTGAAAAGTCTACCTGTTTAGCAACTTGCTTGCCTTACAAATGACAGAGGACTTCAAATCATTTGAATGTCGCTGGCTTCTTGTCTGATGCTTAGATAAACGAGGCATCTTTGACAATTTACACTACAGGCTACTTCGCCCTTCAGGGTCACTAGATACTCATTTGCCTGCAAAAGGTTGTAGCTTCAATCCCAGGAGAGACCTGGATCTGAAATCTTGGAGAGCTTCCGGCTGCTATTGACAGTGTAGACAAGTGCTGAGCTAGGTGAGGAATGTGACAAGGAACTTTTTGCACAAGTGTCTTTATTTTACTAGGTTTTGTGTTGGCTTCATGTTTCCTCTTTTATAAGACCCTACATAGACCATACTTGGAGAGGAAGAAGCAAAGTGAGACAAATAGAAAGGAAAGGGGGATGCCAAGCAGGCAGACAAGACAGGCTGTGTTAAATGCAGCTGTGATGTCTGGAAGAGCAGCCGTCACCCCAACCACAGTTCCTCCCATGGGGGCAGTGTCTGGGTGGAGTTCAAGCCCTTTTGTTCTGAATGTATGCCTAGAGACTCCACAGATGACGTAAAGAAGATGGGCCTAATGTGCAAAATAAATCTCTTGGCAACAGGAAGTTCTGAAAGCAATACTTTCCTCATTCTCTGTTGACCTTATTTAGCCAAAACCACATTTTTCCTCCATGCAAGAGGCCGGGGGGGGGAATCCCAATGTTTGCAGAAACACAAACAAAACCCCAATGGCGGAGGATCCCAAAACAGACCAATAGGAGTTGAGTATGGTCGGTTGCTAGCTGGTGGTTGAAGCGGTGGGGAACAGGAAAGGAGTGCAGGGGAGAGAAAATGCTTAAGGCAGTTCTAATCGAAATATAGTTGGAAGCTGCAATTTAACATTGTGCAAGATTGCAGTATATATCAACAACAGATATATGTTCCACTTCTAGGGTATGTATTTTACCTAATATTGAAGTCTCATTACATCTGTGATAATGTCCAGAAGGGTAGCTGGGTTAGTCTGTTGTACCATCACTGTAGAAAGTATCAAGTTAATTAAGGCACAATAATAAATTTATATCTATCTAATAAAAAGTCCAGACCCGTTTTAAGGAATAAAGAGACTTTGTTTTTCCATCTGAATAGAGGAAAAATAATATTCAAATTTACTGAATTAAAACTAATTTATTAGTTTATATATCACAGGAGGACTAGAGGTCTTGAGATTTGTGTTAGGGCTGCCATAAATTTGCTTGGCTATCTTCAGACTGTAGCACACATGAGATTCTGCTGCCACCTAGTGGCTTCTATAGAGAATGCAAGAGCCAATCAAAGCAGAGCATGAAAACTTGGCTGTCCTACCTGGTGCCTGCTGGTCTTTTTGTTCAGGTTCCAACCTGCAGGGGATTTTGAAGATCTGGAACTTCACTGGAAGGAAAGACTGTTTGAATGTTTCAAATGTTTGAAATTTGTGTGAAGATATTCTCTCCTTTGCCTTAGTTCAAATAAAATCGTTCAGCAAGAGCCGCAGGTGCTCAGTCACAACGCGTCTGTGCAATTTAAGCTGCCAAATGTCAAAAAGATAATTCCTGTTCTGTGTTGAGGAGTGATTACTATAGTCAAGAACACAAAGCGAAATCAGAGCGGCGAGAGGCAGGTACATCCAGCTGTGTACCCAAAGGAGTCTTCTAATTACACCAGAAACCATATTTTACCGCTTCTCCGTAAGTATTGTTCTGGCATGGAACCAAGTGTAGCTTTTCAGAGATGCTATACAAAGCCAGGAGCCCAGCACAGCTGAAAGTACATAACTGTGTAGAAAACATAGGGTAGGTTCAAGCAATCTCCCTGTGCCTATCAGACACTTGCTTTCAGAGCAACTGTGTAGTGAGATCCTTTTTCAAGCTAGGTTGCGTAAAGGGGTGAAATTGGCTGGGAAGCTTTGTGATTGTCATGCTCTGGACAAGTTGCCAAAATCCAGCATCCTGAAAGCTGACCTGTGGGTGGTATTCCTCTCCTCGCACAGCTGTCTCTGTATTAGGGGTGTGGAGAAGCAAACAGTTCCAGTGTGTTCCGTGTATGCCCAATGTTACCTCGACAGCTGCAACACAACTTTTCTTGCTTGTTGCATGACTATGTTGAAGATACAGAAAACAGGCTTGATTTGTATTCCACTGAAAGAGAAGGAGCATTATTCTTGCAGCCATTTCCTTGGTCAGTGGCTTTAAATACCCCAAAACACGCATACGAAATTCTACATTAAGAAAAGCTGAAATTTGCAACTTGGATTAAATTAAGGTTTTGTAAACGGAGCCTTATTAGTTTGGGCACGTGGCAAGACGACAATGTTCTCCTGTACGTCACTGCTGCTCTCCTGCTCCCCAGCATCTGCTGCTTGAGGTGGCAACCTCATTCTGCCTAACAGCAGGGCCACTCCTGAATCTTTCATCTGGGTCCCACAGTAACCAGGCACGTAAAACTTATTCTGGGAACCAGATCAGGCCAGTCTGATCTGAACTTGAACCTGTTATGTGTAATATCAAGAACTGAAAGCCCTTCCTGCAAGATAGAAACTACCTTCCCTACTGTAGAGATCAGTAAACAGCTGCAAATGCAGCGAAGTTACTTGCTTTGGAGTAGTCTGCATCCCATTTTCTGCTGCACTTTCATTTTGTTGCAGGCAGGTGATGTCATTGCACGGCATCTTGGCCTACATCCATCTCACTAAATGCTAGTTTGGAAACCATGAGGCAGAATCCCAGGTGGGCACAGGCCAGTTTATTTGGTATGGCAGTAAAAGCGTAGATTTTTTTTTAAAAAAAAACTTATTTCCCCCTCCCTAGATGTTAAAGCTTCTGATGCTTATTTCACAACACTGGCTTCATAATGACAAAATCAAAGTTATATGAATCTGGCAAGCCCTGGTGCTTTGTTTTGTTGAAACGCGTCCAGCTGAACACAGGCAGGTCCTCTTCCACAGTTGGTCCATTAATGGCATAGGCTGCAAAGTTCATAGCCATAGAGAGGTCTGATACCTGTGAAGGATCATAGGAGAATACTTCATTGTAAAAGGAAAGGGGGCAGTATCACCCCCCCCTCAAAAAAAGCCACAGAGCTTCTCTCTCTCTCTCTCTCTCTCTCTCTCTCTCTCTCTCTCAACACCAGCACACTACTGGTCCAAAACTTATCTAACCTCTTTCCTTCTCCATTTTGCTCGGCTTCTGTTGCACCTGATTATTTATCTCAATTTATTTGTCTCCCTTCCAAAGCCTCGAGGCGGCTTACAATGAAAAGAAGGGCAAATCTTATTTTTTAATATAACTATTTTGTGCATGAAGAGTTCTGCACAAAAAGAGCAGTTTTTAAAATACCGTAAAATACCACAAGATCCAGTGGGAAAGGGCAGGCTGCATTCTTACCCAGGGCCGGATTAAAGCAACTCTGGGCTAGGAGACCTTGGGAGCCCAAAACTTAATAGAATCTGATCATGAGAAACAAAACCTCATTCTCTTCTTTCTCTACTACTCAATGAAAGTAGAGCACTACTTATTTATCATATAACTCTATGAGAAGCTTTAAAGCCTCCACAAACTTTACTAAACATACTAAATATGCACTTGTGTAACTGTTACAGAGTCATAGACTCATATGTCACAGGTTGAATGTTACCAAGCAACTGAGCCTAGGTATCTGTTTTCTAATTTTTTTTGGCAAGAGGCTGAGGCTCACCTAGATTATGAGGCCCTGGCCTGCAGCCGCCCAGCCCACATATAAATCTGTCACTGTCCTTACCTTTGGGCTGCATATAATGACATAACAGAGGAGGAAGTGTGTGTGTGTGTGTGTGAGAGAGAGAGAGAGAGAAAGAATGAATGGATGAATGAATGAATGAATCCACCCTCCCCACAAGCATCTAGAACAGGCCAGTTCTTCTGGGAGTCGTTACCTTGGAGTCATAGCAGCCAGCTGGCATTGGAGACTCAGGGTTCAGGTCTCCCCTGCAGCAAATGGTATTACAGGGATTGTGCCTTGTATAGGGATCTTTTGTGTAGTCTAGAAAACAAAGGAACCAGAGAATGAGGATTTAAGCAAGTGTTCATAGCCATGAGGACCCACTGCATTTCTCTGTCCAGTGGTACCTCGGGTTAAGAACTTAATTCATTCTGGAGGTCCATTCTTAACCTGAAACTGTTCTTAACCTGAGGTACCACTTTAGATAATGGGGCCGCCGCTGCGCAATTTCTGTTCTCATCCTGAAGCAAAGTTCTTAAACCGAGGTACTATTTCTGGGTTAGCGGAGTCTGTAACCTGAAGCATCTGTAACATGGAGCTTCTGTAACCCGAGGTACCACTGTATTTGTTAATTTACAAGCGTATCCTCCCGCCTGACCTCAAAGAGTTTAGGCCCTCTCCGGCTTTTATTCTCACAGCAGTCCTATAAGGTAGGTGAGAAAGAGAGAGAGAGAGAGAGAGAGAGAGAGAGAGAGAAGCCCAAGATCACTCAGTGAGGTTCATGGCTAAGCCTGGGCTGATCACAGGGCTAAAAGGAGCGCAAAGGCAATGGTGATTCATACCCTTGCATTGAAAACAAATGCTTCAGCCATTCTGTGCTAGATGTCAAATGCCTCAGGGGTTACAGTGCAGAATTCAAACGGCCCTGACTGCTCACAGAGTTAGATATTTATAGACAGGCTTTTAACCACAGTTCAACTTGAGTCTCATTCACACTGGGAGGTATTTTGACAACACTGTGGGGACTGCCAGACTTGGCATCAGTTTGGAGGGGATCCAAAATTTCGGGGTCACACATTAATGAAGCTCTCCAGACTGTCGGTATTTTGTGGGAATGTGATTTGATTGCATACCAAAACTTCCAGTCTGCACATTTAAAGTGGACGAAAAGCGCTTTGTCACCCTAGCAAAAAATCTACCTAAAAACACCACCACCTCAGGCTTTTTAAAGTTTTGGACACAGAAATGCTTTGAAAACTGTGGAATGAAAAAGTGTTTAATGAGAAGACATGTAAACACCCTCAAACAAATCAGACTGAATAGGTATAATCTAACCTCTGCGTAAACTTTCTGCAAGCAAATCACAATGGATGCTGAATAAACAGAAATGTAAGGGACCAAACCTAAAGATCTGAGAACTTCTTTAGGGGGGGGACTAATATTTTGTTAGATTTGGGCTCCCACCTCAAAACTGTATCCAGGTAGTTAAAGTTCAACAACTTTCTTTCCTTGTCCCAGTTCGGTTCAGAAACCGAAACAGCAAAGGAAAACTCTTATGATTTTTTTCTGAGTTGCCTGAAAAGGCTAGCAAGCATACAGATGATGGCAGTGCTAATCCCTTACAATGAGCCTTTTCACGTTGTGGAGATGGGAGGGGAAATGTTTGTAAAATAGGGGTGGACAACCTGTGCCATCAGCCTAGATTCAGAAGCCCTCTGCAAGTGAAGAAGAAGAAGAAGAAGAAGAAGAAGAAGAAGAAGAAGAGGAGGAGGAGGAGGAGGAGGAGGAGGAGTTTGGATTTGATATCCCGCCTTTCACTCCCCTTCAGGAATCTCAAAGCGGCTAACATTCTCCTTTCCCTTCCTCCCCCACAACAAACACTTTGTGAGGTGAGTGGGGCTGAGAGACTTCAGAGAAGTGTGACTAGCCCAAGGTCACCCAGCAGCTGCATGTGGAGGAGTGGAGACGCGAACCCAGTTCCCCAGATTACGAGACTACCGCTCTTAACCACTACACCACACTGGCTCTAGAAGTGATCATATCACACCTCTGACAAGAGTGATCCCTCCCTCCCACTGGATGGCAAGGAAGAGTAAAGAAATGGGTGGCAAGGACAGACAGCAGGCTATGGCAGAAAGAGAGATAAAAAACTGGGATGGCCCCATCTACCATCAGCTTCTGCCCTGCCCCGTTGCTGGCATTTGGACCTCAATAATTACACCAGAGGAAATGTCATCCTAGGCAGAAAAGGGTTCCCTGGCCATATGTTAAAGAATAATTAAAAATGTCATACTGTTGTATCTCATTATGTGCTTCATGGTCTCCATGTCAGTCACTTTCCCTTGGTCCCGTCGGAAGATTTTTGCTCTGGGAGCCATCTCATAAGAGAAGTCTAGGCCGTATTTTTCAACATACTCTGTATATCCGCTCAGATTGTAGATATTTTCATGAAAAGGGACGTTGTAAGAAGGCCAGTATCCTGTAAAAGTAGACACGAAAGGGTAAGGGGCATTGGAGAAGAGGTTTTGGACACTGCTTGAAAGTTCCCAAAGTTCTGAATTTGAAAGCTGAACTGCAAGAAACACAATCCTCTTTCTAGAGCTTGCTGTCACTCACAAGGAAATAAATGAATGGGACAGAACTTACATTGGAAGGGATGTAACAGTTGTAAAAGCAAATTTCACTTGGAGAGGCTGAAATACCACAGAATCTCAGCATTTACCAAAAAACAGTGGAATCTTTTGAGCACCATCTATTATCATTTACGCTGCTGCGTGCTAGAGTCACCTGCAAACATTACATTACTACAGACACACCCTTTTTGCACAAATACAAATCTGGAATTACTGGTGTGTTGCAAATTTCTCCTAGACTATTTTCTAATTCTCCCTAGTTAAGCAAAAGTGACAACTTTCAGCAGAGACTTTTTAAAAAAACAAACCAAACCCAAACTCCAGAACTCCTATTGAAGCTTTTACCTTTACGGAGAATACTTGTCTGATCAGAATATTCCACAAGTTTTGGGATCTGTTCAACGACATAGAGGGTTCCTTCACCAAGACTCTCTTGCAGTTTGACCCTGTTTGTATTCAGTATCATGTACTGGTTGTTATAAGTACCTAAAGTCAGTGAGGAGACAGTTAAACTTTTAACTTTTGGGGCAAGAGGACTGAGAGAATCGTACACAAAGAGATTCACTTCAAATATACCAACCAGAATTCTCCCTTTCGAAGGCTTGTGCCCAGGACTTTCCGCAGTGGGCCATCATGTTGGCAATGCGGACTCTCTGCCATGCAAAGAGACTCTCAGGTACCACTTGTTTGAGAAGAGAATGGTTGTATACGCTGTTTGTGGTCTGCAACATGATCAAGCCATTGCCAAGTATGTAAAAGTCATCTAGGGATACCAAAAAACCTGAATATAAAATAAAAGGAGATGGTTTGTTATCCATAAATGAATGCTTCACAATGTTTATTCTGGGGCTTCTCCAACAAATTTTGCTGGGCTCCTGGATTTGTCTCTGACTGCTGCAAGGCTAGGGGACAAGCAGTCTGCACTCCAGCCTTGCTAAGAAAGGACACCCTTATAAACAATTTTAAATGGGGAACTGCCACCTATACAGTCAGACGTTCCTGAATTCATGGAATATTTGGCAATAATGGACTATGGTCAAATACTAGGCAGTCAGTTCACAATATCTTCTTGTCAATCAATGGACATAATAACACACTGTTATGAGGCTTAGCGAAGCAGTCCGTTGACTGGGATGATTTTTGTAAATTTAATTTATAAGCCACCTTTCCTGAGCGCAGTCCATAGATGTATAACAGGGGAGGGGAGGTGTCAGTTCTGCAGGATCTATTTCATATTTTAGTGGAACTCCAAGATCCGCTGTCTGGAGCTAAGAATGAAAGGAACCAATGACTCTGAACAGCTGAACACAGGGAATAACAGAGCTCACAGACCTTCCACACAAAAATCCATCCCTGGCTTGCCCACCTGCCTTCATTTCTGCAGTCTAATTTAGTCATTTTGTTGCTCCTATTTTTAAGTGATTAGCAGCCCAGAAATCCTCCTAAATTATGACCAATCAATTAAGGCCCCATCACCTTGAGACTCTGATCTTCCCACAGCTACATAGGGCCTTTGAAGAACTAAGATTCCAACAGATGCCCTCAACATATTTAGAAAATAATTCCCCATATGGATTGAAATGTATATATGGATGCAATCAGGTAGAGGACATCACACACTATCTTCTGATTTGCCCCCTGCACACAATGCCCAGAGGAAACTATACTGCCAATTCTTAATTGGCTTCCAGGTCGATCCACACAGGAAGTGACAGTTGAATTCCTAGCAGATAAACATCTATATATTTACACACCAGGGAGCCAAATTTGCACTGGCAGCCAAGAAGCTCCGTTCCAGCTATGTGAATGCACTCCAATTTAAAATTTTAATGTAGTCAATTTCTTTTTATGTTGTAAACTCCTACAGGCTACATTGTATGATTTTAGAAGAAAGTTTTCCTTTTATTCTCTGCTGTCCATTGTAAAGGCCTTTGGCTATATAAAATAAAATTGACCAGACTGACTTACACCACAACCACCCAGCCATTTACCAGAGAATCCCCTGACATTGGATGAAACCTCTGTAGTCCATGGAGGACTGAATAATATTTTATAAAATACAGTATTAAAGAAAGATGAAATGAATGCTTTGTTTAAGTTAAATGAACAACATCAAAGTCACAATTCAGTTACATTATGAGCTTCACAATGGGCTGTTTATGTGACATGAGCTTATAACTCTCTTACAGAGACATCTAAAAACTACAGACATGACAATTTCCTAGGTGTTCACATTCACTGGTTCCACATAAGTTTCTAAAAGGTATCACACAGAGACATGTACACAGCCATTAGAACTAATTTTGTAGGTTGTGATTCTGTAACAGGTATGTGCCCTGGAAAATAGCAGGGGTAAATCAGCATCCCTAAGGAAAAGTACTTGAAAATGAAAACTACAAGCACCGGCGGCTCTCTGAAGTTCTGCCTAGTCAGCATTGTGTTTCTCTATTTGCATGGGCTTATGAGAATTTGATGTAATTGAAATTGCCTCTTGACACGGTTTATCTACTTCATCTGTAATCCAGTCTCCCTATCGCTCACTCTCAAGGATCCTTGAATGAGCCCCATAATTCTATCAATGCAAACAAAAGTGTTTCTGATTGCATCTTCTGGATCCAAGCCATGTAGCTACTCAGCAAACCTTGTAGAGAACACTGGGGCCTTGCAGCCTCATTCACCACAGCCTTATTAATGAGAGGTGATGTTAGTGTTTCAAGCAGTTCCCCCAAAGGGCCAGACATGATCAGAAACAGGAGTGACTGTGCTGAAAATGGTACAAGCATAAAATATAATAAAATACAGTCCCTATTGCAATAAAAAATAAAATAAAAGCATGCTCCATTGTGGGATGTTGCACAGGTAGAAAGGCAGCAGCACGTGGGAAGGCTACAGCATGACTACTACAAGCACTGCACAAAGTATTTCCAGGCAAGTTGTTTTAAATTTTGTGCATATAAATGTATACAGCAGCATTCATCCATTCTCACCACAGCAAGTAAACAGAAATCTTCTACAAGTGCCAAGGGTTGTGTAGTGGTTAGAGTGTCAGACCAGGACCTGGGAAACCAGGATTTGAATTCCCACTCAGCCATGAAATTCACTGGGCAACCTTGGACTCATCATTGCCTCTCAGCCTAACCTACCTCACAGGGCTGTTGTGGAGATTAATTGAGGAGGGAAGAACCACGTGTGCTGCCTCGAGCTCCTTGGAAGGGAAGGTGGAGTATAGATGCAATAAATAAATAAAATAATAAGACCAGTGGCACATTCACACAGGGATCCCATGCCACACACATGCCACCTCTCTGGACCTCTTCCTTTTCTTAACATCTCTCTTCCTATACCCATGTTTCTTCTCTTGCACACAATCATGAATATACAATATTGCACTGTTGTTAAAAGCAGGCACACTTAACAATCAAACCCTTATACTCAGCACATGCAAAATCTTGCACTCACAAAGTTTCTCCCTCACAAAGTTTGGAGAGGTGTTTTGCCCCCGTCCCATGTGATTGCTAACTGAGCAGAGGAATTTTGTACCAGCGGTTCCCCATGCTGTGCTCTGCAGGTCCCTAGCACACTGTTGCCCACACTGTTCAAAAGGTTTCCAACCACCCTTGGAGGCAGGGAAGGAGTGACTGACTTTTTAAGCTGCCTTCTGCTTGCACAAACATAGGATGGAAGGTATTTGTTTATTAATACTACCTTTTATACTGCCTTTCAACCATATTCCCAGGGTGGTTTATAAAAAGATTACAGTACAAATATATATAAAAAACATAAACTAAAAGCTACAAAATTATAAAAGCAGTATAAAGCAGTTGACAGGATTACAACTGCAGTTAAAAATAAAAAATAAAGTATCTGCCTGGCACCAAAAAGACAACAGCAGGTAAAAAAGCCAGTTAAAAACATGCTGTTAAAAGTTTGGGGCATAGCTTTAAGAAGGAAACTTATTCCATCTACCTTTTCCTACACACACTAACTGGAATTAATTCAAGGCCAGCTAGAGGCATCTTGAAATATTTTGACTGGAGGATGCGGTGTTCTCATTAGATGCAACAGTACAAAAACACTACTAGGCACTTGGGTGGTTTGTAATGGTTTGTGGTTGAAGCTTGTGTGGCAGGCTTGAAAAGCAGGCTCATGATATCCAGTATCACTGGGCTGGTGCCAAGATCACATACACAGGGATGTGAGTCTCCTTAGGGCAAACTCAATGGTACTGGTTCAGTGAGAGTGAGGGAGATTACATCAGCTGGTGGTCATGCTATTAGTTTGTATTAATCAAATTTTGAATGGTCTTCCCATTTTTATTGTGCTATTTTATGAGTGATGACCTTTGGCTAAGCAATAAAGTTTTGGATTTAGTCCACTGAAGAAGCACAACCTCCTTACCAGCCCAAATCCATATCCAATTTGTCTAACCATACAGCAAGCTTTGCTATGTAGTAATCTGCAGGTTTATTTGGATTATAAAGCCTTTGTTGCCCTATCTGCCTTTGAATTCAAGTTCCTGTTGTTGTTGTTGTTTAGTCGTTTAGTCGTGTCCGACTCTTCGTGACCCCATGGACCAGAGCACGCCAGGCACTCCTGTCTTCCACTGCCTCCCGCAGTTTGGTCAGACTCATGTTCGTAGCTTCGAGAACACTGTCCAACCATCTCGTCCTCTGCCATCCCCTTCTGCTTGTGCCCTCAATCTTTCCCAACATCAGGGTCTTTTCCAGGGAGTCTTCTCTTCTCATGAGGTGGCCAAAGTATTGGAGCCTCAGCTTCACGATCTGTCCTTCCAGTGAGCACTCAGGGCTGATTTCCTTAAGAATGGATGCGTTTGATCTTCTTGCAGTCCATGGGACTCTCAAGAGTCTCCTCCAGCACCATAATTCAAAAGCATCAATTCTTCGGCGATCAGCCTTCTTTATGGTCCAGCTCTCACTTCCATACATCACTACTGGGAAAACCATGGCTTTAACTATACGGACCTTTGTTGGCAAGGTGATGTCTCTGCTTTTTAAGATGCTGTCTAGGTTTGCCATCGCCTGTCTCCCAAGGAGCAGGCGTCTTTTAATTTCGTGACTGCTGTCACCATCTGCAGTGATCATGGAGCCCAAGAAAGTAAAATCTCTCACTGCCTCCATTTCTTCCCCTTCTATTTGCCAGGAGGTGATGGGCCCAGTGGCCATGATCTTCGTTTTTTGATGTTGAGCTTCAGACCATATTTTGCGCTCTCCTCTTTCACCCTCATTAAAAGGTTCTTTAATTCCTCCTCACTTTCTGCCATCAAGGTTGTGTCATCTGCATATCTGAGGTTGTTGATATTTCTTCCGGCAATCTTAATTCCGGCTTGGGATTCATCCAGCCCAGCCTTTCGCATGATGAATTCTGCATATAAGTTAAATAAGCAGGAGACAATATACAGCCTTGCCGTACTCCTTTCCCAATTTTGAACCAGTCAGTTGTTCCATATCCAGTTCTAACTGTAGCTTCTTGTCCCACATAGAGATTTCTCAGGAGACAGATGAGGTGATCAGGCACTCCCATTTCTTTAAGAACTTGCCATAGTTTGCTGTGGTCGACACAGTCAAAGGCTTTTGCATAGTCAATGAAGCAAAAGTAGATGTCTTTCTGGAACTCTCTAGCTTTCTCCATAATCCAGCGCATGTTTGCAATTTGGTCTCTGGTTCCTCTGCCTCTTCTAAATCCAGCTTGCACTTCTGGGAGTTCTCGGTCCATATACTGCTTGAGCCTTCCTTGTAGAATTTTAAGCATAACCTTGCTAGCGTGTGAAATGAGTGCAATTGTGCGGTAGTTGGAGCATTCTTTGGCACTGCCCTTCTTTGGGATTGGGATGTAGACTGATCTTCTCCAATCCTCTGGCCACTGCTGAGTTTTCCAAACTTGCTGGCATATTGAGTGTAGCACCTTAACAGCATCATCTTTTAAAATTTTAAGTAGTTCAGCTGGAATACCATCACTTCCACTGGCCTTGTTATTTGCAGTGCTTTCTAAGGCCCATTTGACTTCACTCTCCAGGATGTCTGGCTCAAGGTCAGCAACCACACTACCTGGGGTGTACGAGCCATCCATATCTTTCTGGTATAATTCCTCTGTGTATTCTTGCCACCTCTTCTTGATGTCTTCTGCTTCTGTTAGGTCCTTACCACTTTTGTCCTTTATTATGGTAATCTTTGTACGAAATGTCCCTTTCATATCTCCAATTTTCTTGAACAGATCTCTGGTTCTTCCCATTCTGTTGTTTTCCTCTATTTCTTTGCATTGCTCGTTTAAGAAGGCCTTCTTGTCTCTCCTTGCTATTTTTGGAAATCTGCATTCAATTTCCTGTATCTTTCACTATCTCCCTCGCATTTTGCTTGCCTTCTCTCCTCCGCTATTTGTAAGGCCTCGTTGGACAGCCACTTTGCTTTCTTGCATTTCCTTTTCATTGGGATGATTTTCGTTGCTGCCTCCTGTATAATGTTGCGAGCCTCCATCCATAGTTCTTCAGGCACTCTGTCCACCAAATCTAAATCCTTAAACCTGTTCCTCACTTCCACTGTGCATTCATAAGGGATTTGTCTTAGATTGTATCTTACCGGCCCAGTGGTTTTTCCTACTTTTTTCAGTTTAAGCTTGAATTTTGCTATAAGAAGCTGATGATCTGAGCCACAGTCCGCTCCAGGTCTGTTTTTGCTTACTGTATAGAGCTTCTCCATCTTTGGCTGCAGAGAATATAATCAATCTGATTTCGATGCTGCCCATCTGGTGATGTCCATGTGTAGAGTCGTCTCTTGTGTTGTTGGAAAAGAGTGTTTGTGATGACCAGCTTGTTCTCTTGGCAGAACTCTATTAGCCTTTGCCCTGCTTCGTTTTGAACTCCAAGGCCAAACTTGCCAGTTGTTCCTTTTATCTCTTGACTCCCTACTTTAGCATTCCAATCCCCTATAATGAGAAGAACATCCTTCTTTGGTGTCAATTCTATAAGGTGTTGTAAGTCTTCATAGAATTGGTCAATTTCAGTTTCTTCAGCACCAGTGGTTGGTGCATAAACTTGGATTACTGTGATGTTAAAAGGTCTGCCTTGGATTCGTATCGAGATCATTCTATCGTTTTTGAGATTGCATCCCAATACAGCTTTTGCCACTCTTTTGTTGACTATGAGGGCCACTCCATTTCTTTTACGGGATTCTTGCCCACAGTAGTAGATATGATGGTCATCCGAACTGAATTCGCCCATTCCCATCCATTTTAGTTCACTGATGCCCAGGATGTCAATATTTATTCTTGCCATCTCATTTTTGACCACATCCAACTTACCAAGGTTCATGGTTCTTACATTCCAGGTTCCTATGCAATATTTTTCTTTACAGCATTGGACTTTCCTTTCGCTTCCAGGCATATCCGCAACTGAGCGTCCTTTCGGCTTTGGCCCAGCCGCTTCATCAGCTCTGAATCTACTTGTACTTGTCCTCCGCTCTTCCTCAGTAGCATGTTGGACGCCTTCCGACCTGAGGGGCTCATCTTCCAGCGTCATAACTTTTATATGCCTTTTGTCTTTGTCCATGGAGTTTTCTTGGCAGGGATACTGGAGTGGCTTGCCGGTTCCTGCTCCAGGTGGATCACGTTTTGTCAAAACTCTCCACTATTGGGTGGCCCTGCGCGGCATAGCTCATAGCTTCTCCGAGTTATTCAAGCCCCTTCGCCATGGCAAGGCAGTGATCCATGAGGCAAACTATGAGATTCTAGAGCATACAGGCAAGACTCCTGCATTCAAACGTAACAAACTCACACAGAGTTCCATTCACACATCTAAGTTACCTGGGTAACTGCTGAATGAAGCACGGCCTGAGCTCGTTTGTGGATCATCAACTTTAAAGTCCCAATGCTTATAGATTCTCAAAGTGGCCGCATATGTGAACCAGCTAGAATGAGCAAATAATATATTTTCATATCCAGGGAGGACCTAGCCAAGAGAAGTAATAGCCATGTTAGTCTCATGCAGTCAAAATGACAGAGTCTTGTGGCAGCTTAAAGACAGACTAATTTATTGTGACATAAGCTTCTGTGGATTCAAGTCCACTTCTTCAGACGCATGAAGTGAAAGAGAGGGACAGAGGAATGATCTACCTTGTTGGTCTTTGGCTAGTAGACTCAAGAACAGATGCATCACAACAACAGAAGCACAACCAACATGGCTGAGTTGTACTGGGTAAATAAAACAGCATGTCTGATTGCAACTTGTTAGCAGAACTCCAGATAGATCAGTAGTCTTTGACATTTTTCAACCTAGGACTCACCATTATAGACTCACAGAATCTTAGAACTGTAGATTTGGAAGGGAGCCTAAGGGTCATCTAGTCCAACCCCCTGCTTTGCAGGAATCTCAACTAGATGGCAGATGGCCATCTAACCTCTGCTTAAAAAACTCCAAGGAAGGAGAGTCCACCACCTCTCAAAGGAGTCCATTCCACTGTCAAACAGCTCTTAAGGTCATAAAGCTCTTCTTGATGTTTAGTTGGAATCTCCTTTCTTATAACTTGAATCCATTGGTTTGGGTTCTACCCTCCAGAGCAGGTGAAAACAAGCTTGTGATAGCCCTTGAGATATTGAAAGATGGTTATCATATCTCCTCTCAGTCTCCTCTTTTCCAGGCTAAAAATGCCCAGCTCCTTCAACCGTTCCTCACCCATTTATCATCTTAGATTAAAGGTGAGTCTTGGGTTGGGAAAGGTTGATTACTGATGATCTAGAGTCCTACTAACAAGTTGCAATACGGCAATGTACTGCTAGCAATTCATCCAATTATTTTTCTTCTTTTAAAAGGAAATAGCATCCATATCCCTGAATCGGATATTTTTGTTCAATCTTTTCAATTGCCTGTCAAAATACTGTCAGTAGGGCGCATCTTAACCCTTCCATTTACTTATATTTGAATTCTTATGTTGCACATCTACTTAGATTCCATATCAGAATACCTGTTGTATATTTCCAAGGTGTATATGAATAATTTATAAATCCAAAATTCTCTCTCCAATAATATATTTTAGTTTGGTATTTGCCATTTCTGTGAACATCAGTTTTAGTAAAATATGCATTTTATGCAAATATTGGTCTGATTGAGAGAGGGAATTCTTAGGACTTGACTTTTCTTTCAAACTATTGCATATCCAATATCTTGATTACATTTTTGACTGGGACACTTCTGAAACTTTCTCCCAGAATAAAGTGGGGCTATTTTAGAGAGAACAGACAACGACAATTAATATATATATTTTTTTAAAAAAGCATTGTAAAACCAACAGTATGAGATTTAATTAGCAATGCTATGCATGCATGAGGCTGAGAAAAATGGGGTCCAAAGTATAAATTCCATTTTGGGGTGCAGTTGGTTACATCTTTTCTTTTAGGCCTAAACATAGAAACAGGAATGTTGTTGGTCTCACCTTAATCAGAGCAGAGCAATGGCCCATATCCCATAGGTACTGTGTAGAGTCTCCTGTCATTAAATTAGTCATTGCTGAACTGGAGAATAAGGCAGGAATGAGGTCAAGCAGATCTCCAACTGCATTCAGGAAATAGACTTGGAAGGGAGTGAGAGGCTGGAAGTAAAGAGAGATGAGATATTTGTAATTTTAGACTCAAGTTTGCCATGACAGTGGTACCCAACACAGTAATAGCTGTCCATGCCTGAATGACTTTTTTTTCCAAGGAGGGAGTCTGAAGAACTACGGTAAGTCAAGTGACAAGTAATGAAGTTTTAGTTCTAGTATACAAATCAAAAATTAACAAATTACCAGGCCTGAAATTTATTGAAGAGATCAGATGTGAAACTGCCATTTTTCTGCAAAAGGATATGCAACATCACCAATGTTGGCCTCTTTACTCAAGAGCTGAAAATCAGCCACTGCAATGCCAATTTTGAAAAGGGGTCCGTTGAGGAACTCGATTAACAAAATGGCTGCCATGTAGATGGTGAACATGGTTCTGGTTCCCTCAGAAGAGGTGGCTGTCCATTAATGGCAATTTTGTATCCCATTCTCTTTATACTGAGAATGTAGCTGAGGGGGCAGAACACATGTTTTACATGAAAGGAGTCCCAGATTTAATCCCTGGCATCTCCAAGTTGGGCCAAGAAGGACTCCTGCATGGCACCCCAGAGAGTCAAATGTTGACAATACTAAGCTAGAAGAACCAAGCATTTGACTTGCCACAAGGCAGTTTCCTTTGTTCCTATGTAGAAAGATGTGGTAGGACAAAACTTCCCTCTGCAGTTCTTCCTGTTACTAGATAGGACTGGTGGAGGAGACAGTGGGAAGGTGGTTCTTCCCTCAAAAAAATGCACAACTAGTGAATGACAGAGCCAGGGCAAGCCTCCCTCCTTCAGCATGGTTGATGGGCTGGGGATTAGGAGCTCAAGGAAACCATGTCAGCAGAAGAAACTGTAGCTGGTAGCTGTGAAAACAGCAGATTTCCTAGTACTGTGGAATAATACAAGCTGAGCATGTAAAATTATGCAACAGCTAAAACAGAAGAGGAATGTACAGCAAGTCAGTATGTTTCTTCTCAGTATCATGTGTAGAATTAGTTTTGCCTTGAGAAACAGGAAATCCAAACTCTTTGCTAATAATTCTGGCAGAATTATCATGACATGGTAGAAGTTGGTTTCCTAATCAAAATTACTGTGTAGCAATAAAGTTTTCAAAAAAATTATCCTCTCAGTACGCTTCTTCATAATATAGCAGGGAATAAGATTGTTTTCCTAGCCTTCTTTAAGATTACGAAGGGTAGAGAATTATGTGAAGTTTGAATATAAGAGTTTAGATGCAGCTAGTTACCAAAATATACTATTTGCCAAGATATTTGCAGGAAGGGGTTTAAGACGGCGACTTTAAACACTGAAATTTTGAGATTAAGGAAAGCAACTGTATGTTATGTATACATTGTTCTCTAAATATATTCAATATTTAAACCCCTCATTTCTTTGGAAAATGTGACTATAAAGAAATTCCTTCAGCAAAGAGTTATGCTTTGGTCCTAAGATCTAGACTAATGACAGAGCAAAGGATGCTTGACAGTGCATTGAAGGTGGTGCTCAAAGTTATGTGAGGTATTTAAACAGATAGAATAATAGAACTGTGAAGTAGGGTGGGACCCTGAGGAACATCTAGTCCAACCCCATGCAATGCAGGAATATGCAGCTGTCCTATAATACAGGGATTGAATCTGCAACCTTGGCGTTATCAGCACCTGCTCTAACCAACCAAGTTGCTTGACTAAGGAGTGTTTTGCATGTCAGAAGTTAAAGAGTTATTGGATCTGGCAAGCATGGGATGCTGCAGTAACAACTGACCTAACAAAGAGACAGATGGAATAGACTTTTGTTTATATAGGCATATGGATCCTTGAAAAACAAATATAGGTGATTATTGCCCAGAGCTTATTTTGTGAGAAGGCAAAGAGAATGGATTCAAAAGCAGCTCATGGAATTCTGCCAGATGCTTCTGATGGAGCTCAGAACAGGTAGAAGACAGTTTATATACTACTTCTATCATAGCCATCCAGAATATGCAAAGACAGACCAGCTGCTGTAACAGATTTGATTTTATTCTCTCTTTCTGGGTCCCATTTTGCTCTGTGCTGCGTATAATTTCATCTCTTCAGATTGCTGTGCCTCAGATGCTGAAGAGGGAGAATGAATGACCCACTTTAAGAACTGTAGTGCTTTTAAGTACCATATTGGCAAGTAAGGCACAGAAAAGACATGTACATCACTACTACTGACTCAATCAATGCAACACACACAAAAACTCTGTGGGGGAGGTTGTGCACAATAGTGTGTGGCACTAGCCAAATATTGCTACAGCTGGTATCATAAGAAAAACTGCTCCTAATTTTGGTACACACAGGGTTAAGTTAATTTTCCAAGTGACTAAATGAGGGAGAGAATGGGATGAGTCCTGTGTATACATTATTGTATACTGTACTCTGGCTCCTGTGCACTCACAGTTTTTTAATCTGTGTACACATAATGTTATCCATGATGCAGTTCTATCCTGTAGTTTCTTGTAAAATACTATGCTTGACATCAAAATTACCTCCATGCAAATTTTTTGAAACATGCACTTCGTCTGGATGTGACCAAAGTCAGAGAATGAGGACAAAAATCCTGCAGAGGTTTTTCTTTTACTCTGATGGTGTTCCTACTTCATGCTAGAACTTTCAATTGGAACACTTCTTTGCAAGATTATTTGCATGTCTAATTAAAAGCCAACTGTTGCATTTCAGCAGGTTAAAGTTCTTTTGTTAAAGATCAGTGCGTTTTACAAAGTGAACCTATGCAGTCAGAATTAAGCACCAGAGTTCAATGCAGCTTACTCCCAGGACATCATGCACAGGGTGGTAGTCATGCTAATTAATACATTTGGTATTACATGTGTGCACACAGAGACAGATAAACAATAATGGATCAACACTCCTAAGTTTTGAGAATATTTGGGGACTATTCATTTCTGCACCACAGCCCTTATCCCCAAAATGAATCCTCCCTTATACACAGCTGCAATCTCACCATTTGTGAGAAATCATTTAGAACATTCACACCCGTTTACGCACTCACACCCGTTCCATTTTACGGTATGTCTGTTTGAGCAGTGATATCGTAAAAGCCCATTTTCGTAAGCTCATGAATTTAAGCAGCACTTTAACTTTTCAAAGTCAGAATTTGGGGGGGGGGAGGCTTATATTCAGGCCAATACAGTATGTGAAAGTTACAACACATTCGTGTTAACTTCTAGTATAATATACACATGTTCAAAATGTATTTTATCCAGAAGCAAGGTCAATGTATTTCAACTGTATTTTTACTTCCAAGGTGCTTAATAGGATCACAGATCTGGTTGTGAAACAATTCTCAACCTTTTTCATTTCTTCTTTCTTTCCGTAGCTTACTTTCAGAGAAAGCTGGAAGCAAAACCATCAGGGGATAAGTGCTATTTATTTTAAATGCTGCTGATCCTGCCTTCATAAACCCTGGGCTCCATGTTTCCTTGCAGTGCTTAGACAAAGACGGAAAGGTCAGTTAGTTATTCGTGTCTTTACTCTCCCAGTGTGAAATAAAATGGCTGAGCTTGGCAATAAAGGTGAAAGCTATTTGTCTCCAGTCAGTTCTCAACTTGCTAATTCTCAATGCTGCCGCCTCATTGATATCCCAGAGGGCTGCCGGCCCACACAACAATTATGGCTACAATGACAGCAGCTGCATGCAGTGTCACTTCCCATTCTGTGTGTGTGGTAGAGCATGTGCAGACAGACCTTCATCACCCCACCCAAGTTTCCTAAAGGCCTAGAGTTGCAAACAAGAGTTTCTGGAATTAATATTAAACTCTGATACTGTGCACCAATTTGATAGCGGCAATCTAAATGGATTCTTTGATGTAAAGAAAGAAGAAAGCAGTAAAAACACCGTTTCAGTTTTTTTGTGCGGTCTAAACTGTCTTTCCCCTTCAAGTGATAAGCCTTACGGTTTTTTGAGTCTTACTGTTTTTTGCTGTCGCTTAGCCCACTCCACTGTTCCCATGTACAGCCCATCCAACTGGGCAATGATGTACCCGGCATGCCTCCAGAAGGGGTCATTCTTGTTTTTTTTAATTTGTTGTCTGGTCCACTTGTCTTGTTTCCTGTAGAGAGGAAAATGTGACTTTAGAGTGCGTTTTTTCACAAGCCAAATAGCCTTAAGTCCAACTAGGATCAATTGGCACTTGCTCCTGAGTAAACACGCTTAGCTCAGATCACACTTTTATCAAGTAAACGAACATTGTAGCCAGCTGACAAAACTCAGGTTGTGTTAATAAATGTTATTTTGTTCAGAGATAACTAAATCAGGTCACCTTTCAACTTGTTTCACTTATAATTTTATATGGGAACAGTTCGTATATTATATACTCTCAGGGAAATTTACTTGCCCAAGAACCAGGGTGGTGCAGGGCGTTCACTTGCATCTCTATAGACACCTTGCACTGTCAACTCTTGCAACATCTCCCAGGATGCTTCTAGAGGACTGTCTGTTTCAAACAAAAATCCACTAATGTTGCGCAACCTTAAAGACTTAAGAAATTTATTGTGGCACAATATTTTCCTGAATCAACTTGTTCAGTAAAAACAAGAAAATATCACCAGGGTGACCGGAACTTCTAGGCAACTTTTGTTCCTATTTGTGAAAAGGGCATTTTCTTTTTATAACATACCGCATAAAATCTTTAACTTTTCTCTCGATGAGGACATTCTTAATCAGCTGTGTATACAGGTTTGCAAGATGGTCACACATGTGTCTGGGGGGGGAAAAGAGGAGGGAAATGTTATAAATACAAATACCCACTGTCCATTAGACAATGGTCTTGGACCTCATGGTCCTGGCTACATTTGGACTTATTTTCATATAGACCTCAGTTTTGTGTGGATACCTATATGGACATTTGGAGAACTTATATTAACTTACATGTTTAACCCAAGAAGTATGTGCTGATGGTTACTGAATTCACATTGTGAAGTGATGGCTGTTAATTTTATTTTATTGTTGTTTTTTAAAAAAAGTTTTGTTAAATTTGCAAAGGTCTGGAACACTCCATGCCTCCTGACCCCTTGCTCAGCTAGTCCACAGTCCTTGCACCACCACCTACCCACTTCTTGTAGCAAGCAGGACTTTAGCTTTGACCAACAACTTCTAGAAGAAAAGATGGGCGAGCAAAGATATTGGCATAGTAGGAGGGTGAGGCAACTATAACCTCTCTCACTGGTTCATACTTCTGAAGGAACAAGCATAATATTTAGGTTGGCATATTATCCCCAGTTCCCACACATCCAGTAGAGCATAATGACACACCACTCAGTATAGAGTTATAGCACACAACTGGAAGCGCTCCAGGAAAAGTACCATTAGCCATGCAACACCCAGCTCGTTGGAACTTGTCCCAATCCGCTGATGAAACCCAGCAGGAGCTAGAACAGCCCAGCTCAAAAGGCGTTCCTCATCCCTCAAATTATAGCTCAAACTATGAAAACGCATTTTTTAAAAACAATAGACCATCTGCTTCTAGGCCAAATGTCCAGCATGTATCTCAAGTCATACGTCATGCGTTGTGATACATTCATAATGAATGCTGACAGTAATGAATGTTGATATGAAGTCCCAAATTGGCTTTGGCAAGATGGGCCCAGAACACTAAACAAATATCCAGTTTATCCCAAGTTTTGAATAAGATACCACATTTCATCTAATAAGTTTGGATGCCTCTAATAAGTAAACATTAAGATGCTTTGTCCAGCCATGTTTAATAATACATATGATGCCATAAACCACATTCAGAAATAAATTGTGGATAATGTGTATTTTACTTATAGCTGATCACAGACAGATTTCAGGAACCTGAACGCTATTATAGTACAATGTAGCTCTCTCTCAATGAACGATTACATCCCCCATATACGTAGAATTCCCTTCCAGCTACTGTTAAGCAAGCATCTTCAATATTAAATTTTACACATTTACTAAAACTTACTATTCGTGTTCCCTGATGTGTGACTCAGCTATTTATTATTTGTGTATTACAGATGATTCAAATGTATATTGCTTTACATGGTTCCATGTTTGTTCACTGAAAACATGTTTTATGATTAAAAGGAATATAGATCGGTAACAATAAATATACAATGAGCTCAGTTGGCTCTTCTTCTCTTCTAACATGTATACTTGTAATGCCCCCACCAGATGACTCCATTTAGTTTTCAGAGGTACTTACGAAGCAGTGAGATAGCCCTCCAAGTAACCTGCAGCGTACATGAGGTCTTCGTTGCTTATGGGCTGGTTACCATAGCCCGCTTTGATCTCAAGAACCCCCCATCCTGTAGACTGTACAGTGTCATTATAATAGCCATAAGCATCACCATTCTTATCCAATACATCCTTAACCTGGAAGGTCTTCTCAGTTTTCTGCCAATATACGGTGGCATAGTGAGTATCTGTAAATAATTCAAAGAGAAAATTGGAAAAATAGAATACCATACTGCAAATGGCAGTCCCGTAAAGTACTGGATAACTCATTTCAATAGGAAAATATAGATCCACGGGTGGTTCCTTTTTTAAAAAAACAAAACATATATTTATTAAAGATTTATTGGTTTACTAAAGTATGTGCAATGTCTCTTTTTTCAAGTTACATTTTCTACAGATCAGTTTCATTTGTTGAGACATTAGTGTTACTTTAGGAAGAAAAGCGGGAAAGAGGTGGACTGAGTGGGGGTGGGGTCGGGTGGCAATGTTTCTGTTATTCCATGGGTGGTTTCCAAATTACACTCAGAGTAAGGTAAAGGTAAAGGACCCCTGACAGTTAAGTCCAGTCACGAACCTGCGGCACTCATCTCGCTTTACTGGCTGAGGGAGCCGACGTTTGTCCACAGACAGTTTTTCCGGGTCATGTGGCCAGCATAACTAAGCAGCTTCTGGCGAAACCAGAGCAGTGCACGGAAACGCAGTTTACCTTCCCACCGGAGCGGTCCCTATTTATCTACTTGCAATTTGACGTGCTTTTGAACTGCTAGGTTGACAGGAGCTGGGACCGAGCAACGGGAGCTCACCCCATCACAGGGATTTGAACCGCCGACCTTCCAATCAGCAAGCCCTACAGTCAAAGTAGAGCTACTTAAATAAATTAACTTCAATTACTCAAATCCATTTATTTCAATAGTCTGGGTATGATTTTGCTGGATATCACCCATGGGACTACAGTATTAGTAAATGTGAGTGGGAGAGATTTCCTTCCTAGTCAAATTAGTGCATTAAAAACCGTTGTGTGTCTGGTTGGGTACATAAAACAGATTGTCAATAATAAAAACCCATATTATTATAAATGGTTCTTCTGACAGGCTTATGATAATTCCATTAGCTTATTAGAGCTAGAGAACAGATATTTTTTTCTTTTATGTTTGTTGTAACATGGCCATTATTTTCCAGGACCAGAATATATCAACATTAAGAATTATTAGCTCCCCTAAAAAAACAACCCAAAAGGAACAGTGGCTTCAATCGTAAGAATTGCAACAAGATTTTCAATCACTAAATTGGGCTTTCATACCTCCCACTTTTAATTGCACCCCCCCCCCCCCAATGCTCTCCTAAAGTCTCTGGCCTATTTGTAGCACAAAAATGTAGGAAATGCATGATCTTTACAAAAACAAAACCACTTTAAAGGATGTTAAAGCTCAGATTTCGAAGTATTTCCACCAAAAGGCATCATCCATGGCTCAGCCTTGGAGACTTCAAAAGGAAATGAAAAAGATGTTTTTGTGCCAGTCAGAGATAAACACTCACATAAAAATGTCGAACAATAAATGTTAAGACCAGAGGATGTATAGGCACCATGCACTTACTCTCTACACACAAATTCAGGTTTTGAATTATTCTCTTTGAACTATTTCTGGATGATTGTGTAATTTTATGCTGCTTCAAGGTAGGCCTAATCTGTCACACTGATAGCTACAAGAAACCATTTTGCCTGAACACTTTGACATAGCAAATAAAAAGCTAGTTTCTTTTACCACTATGAAAATGTTCCTATCTGATTGAAATAAGGTAACTTACTTTCTCTGTTCTCAACATCTGCATTTTCCAATCTCCACAGTATTCTTGTACCTAATTTTCTCATTAGTATGCTCTTTGTTACAGCATTTCAGTTTAATACCTTCACACACCAGGAAGCACATTTTATGTGACAAAACCACTTGAGAGCTTTTATCTTAAACATTGTGAAATATGCTACTATTTAAAAACCCATACATAAACACACACAAACAAACAACTATACTTGGAAATAAGTTCCATATGAGCCTTGCTTGTTCACGGACGCCCACAGAAGGCCTTTGCTAACCTTCAACAGCTATTTCTAATAATGAATTGTAGTGTTTAACCAGATCTATCCCATTTAACTAGGAATATAACCAGACTTTAGCTGCTATGCTGCAGGATACAATCTGATGTAAACCAAAGTGATAAACTTATTTGAATTGATACCAGGGCTGGCCCAATACATTTTTGCTCCTGAGGCGAACCCCAAAATGGCAGGGTCCTCTATGCCAGGGAAGTAGGGGTGAGTGAAGATCTAATTTAGTAACTAGTGGGGAATAAAGATTTGTATCAGGAACAAGAGGGGAGTGAATATCTATGTCATGAAGGGGGGCGGGTTAGCGACGAACTAGACTTGGAACAAGTGGTGGTAGGAAGGAATCAAATCAAATTTGCCTGGTGGTTGAAGTGAGAATCAAAGACCATTGTGCGGTCGGACGAGTGCTCTGAATCATGCTGGGCAGGTGCAGAACCCAAAAGATCCCAGAGGGCAGCCCCCTTCATTTCTTCCCTAGGGGTGGGGGGAGACCAGCAGCGCCTCCAAGGAACATGCCACAGATGTCAATTCCCCTGAAACAGCACCTTGCCTCCTAGGTCCTGATCGATACCTCTAGTCTCCGTTGTAAGCCACAGTCTCAGCAAAGACAACACACACAGAGAGCAAAACCTGGATAATGAGCATCCAATTTAACACAGCATGACAACAACAGAAACTCTTCAACTAACCTATTTATTTGAAATATTTTACTTAGGATCTTGTTTAGCAGAACAAATGTTCACAGGTCCATTCAAGGAGGTGTATGGTAATATGTCCTTGAACACAAAGAAATTGGGAGTCATCGTAGGAGGAACTGAGATTCATATTCAGGATGTAAACTTTCCCAGTCCACAGGATTGCAGGTCATTCTTTTAATCACTCCAGCTACTAGGTTGTAATTACTCTTCAAGGCAACTCTTATTTAATAGCAAGTACAGGCAGTGATGCATGTGTGCTTTTGGACCCAGAAGAGGGCAGAACAGGGGCAGGATGTAATGGGGCTTTAGCAACCTGATGCGCATAGGGCCCAGGAATGGAACCCCTGCACAAAATGGCGGGCACCTGTATTTAAGTTCAGGGTTTTCTTTCCAAGAAGCACTTCAGTTTATCAGCCAACAGCATTCCAAGAAACAATTTGATAACTTCTCCTTAGTAAGCAGTGTTTCTCAGCAACTTTTGTTAAATAAACCATGCACAGAACTTTGTTCAGTTCAAGCAACTCCAGCCTCCAACTGTTTTAAGTCTTTTATGACCAGTGTTGCAATCTTTTTCTTATTCCAGAGAGAACGGTGAGGGACCCTGGGTTGATTTTACACATCTCTCTTTCCTTCGCTCTCTCACAATACACCAAACAGTGTATGATGATGTTTGTGGTTTGATTGCTTTGCTATGTTAACAACAATGCAGTTGATTCTTAAATAAAATAGATGGAATGATGATAATTTAACATAGCTTTTACATGAGAGCAAGCTCTCCCAGAAGTGAAGAGAAAACAGTCTATGTCTTGAGTCCTGCCACACCAAATTTGCTCCTAAACCAAGGCTGACTCACTTGTGACCCTCTAGATTAGGGCTGCCATAGATCCAGAACTCAGACATAGCTGCGATACAACTGTAGTAAACAGCGGACGGAAATAGCTGGAATGTCTGGGAAGTGTAGATTTTGGCCAATTTTCATAAAATTAGCTCAAAAACTAAAGAAATAACTTGTGCCAATCAGAGCTACAGATAACTTCAGATTCACAGTACCTGACTGAAAGGGAATCTTTATTTGTTTCACTTTCATCACATACTTTCTCCAAGGAGCTCATGACTGTGCAAATTATTATTGTTATTGTTTATTTAAATTTGCATACTGCCCTTCATCTGAAGATCCCTGAGAAATTCACAACATAAAAATACAAAATACATGGTAATAGAAAAACAAACCAATAACCTCCTCACATAGAATGTCAGTCAGCCAAATGCCTGGTTGAAGAGAAAGGTTTTTCCTTTTACATCTACCACAACAATGTCCCAGTCTAAGGCTTGTGTGTAAAACTCACACACAGCACGCTCTCAGTCTGTTTATAATTGCTTGTAAGCATAACCTGATGTGTTCTTGCCTCCAGGCTATCATCAGGCAAGATTTGAGCAGTTATAAATGAAGGTGAGGAAAGAAAGAAAGAAGAAAACATGAAATGTTAAGATGACTGTGACAGCAAAGTCTTAGAGGAAAAGGAGGCAAGAAAATGAGGTAAACCAACACCTGCTTAACCACAAATACCATGGGTGTTTTCTCATTGTTGTTGGCTTTTTACTGAACTGTTTTACTAAAAAGCCTCTTAACCTTTGGAACTTAAAAAAAAAACAAAACCCAACTGGCACAACAAACTAGGGCAATTAGATATGGGACGACCAATAAGGCCTCAGACACACTAAAACGCACTCAGCTTTGACTTGAAAGTTTTTTTATGGTAACATGCATTTTTGAGAAGATCTTCTAAAAAACCCCAACCCTTATTTTAAAAATAGATTGAAAAGTTATCAATAAGAGAAAAATGAAAGTAACAGAAGAAAATGCATCCAGATAAAACTAGACTAGCCAATATAAATTCCCAACCCTCAGTTCTGCTTGTAGATGTAATGGTAATTAACTTATTGTTATTACTAAATTCAGAGGGTCATTTTGTTGCCAGCTTTATAACTGCACCTCAAGGTTACCTGATGTTTCTGTCTGGCAAAGCTGAACCGTCACACAGTTTACATATGGTTGGTGTCTGTTGATTAACTTTTATAGCTACTGCAACTTAACTAAAGTAAACTTTCTCAACATTTCCTGTGAAGGCAGAACTGTTTGGCTGAACAATTCACATTGCCTTCCATTTCAAAATGATGATGTTGCTTCTTTTGGGCAACCTAAGAACAGCAAGCATTCTCTTTTATTTTATTTTCTGATCCCCAAAACCAAAATTACTATGTGGGATAATAACAATTTATAATGTCTATCAGGCGTGAGAGGTCTATTTTCCAACCAAGTATTTATAATTAAAACATTTGCCATCTTGCTTCGCTGACACAGCAGTGATTCGCTGGATAGACTGAATGGTGGCAAATCTATATTAACATTCCATTTGTATTTTTTCATCTATTTTCTCTGGTACTTCTGTTTCAGAAGTGAATGCCTGTTCACAGACAAGGGAGGGCCAGCTACAGAAGCCAGCTCAGGTTCAGCCTGAGGCAATTTTAACTGGCAGGGCAACCTAATTTTAATCAACATGTGTTAATGAGTTTCTCTTAAGAAAGATATTTTCAGGTTGGAAGGAAGGAAGGAACACCGGACTAAGTTCAAGTTGCTGCCATGAACTAGTAGGACAATGGGGAAGAGGGAGAAGATCCCAGCGAAGGGTGTAGCCAGGACTGGGACACGCCAGGGCAAGCTGGGGATGGGGAAGGAGAGTTTGGCGTAGGAAGTACCCGCGGGGTGACAGAGGATGACAAGGGGATGGGAGTCAGTGCACAGGAATCAGAGCATTAGGACGCATCAGAGGTTCCTATCTCCATAAATATGGCAGGCTCTGAGGCATAGGGAACAGTAAGAGGAGTGCTCCAGAAGGCTTAGGCAGACAAGGGCCCACAGCCCAGCTCCCTACCTGGCCAGGTGGGGCTCACTACCTCTAGGAAGAAGTACAGTGGTACCTTGGTTTAAGAACGGCTTAGTTTATGAACAAGTTGGATTAAGAACACTGCAAACCCAGAAGTAGGTGTTTTGGTTTGTGAACTTTGCCTTGGAAGCAGAACATGTTCCGCTACCTGTTGAGTGTGTTCCATTTGTAAACTGAGTCCCCCGCTGCTATGGGAAAGCACGTCTTGGTTTAAGAACAGACTTCTGGAACGGATTAAGTTCGTAAACCAAGGTACCACTGTATGTGATTCCTCAACTGGAGGAGGCTTGGAGCAGGTGAGGGTCACCTGCTTCGTCAAGCCCAGATGCTGCAATCAGCATGCAAAGTATAAAAGGGAGGCAGAGCTGAGGTGATTTGTCTGCTCAGCTGCCCATGTTGGTCAGACCTCAGCGTGGATGTGCCAGGATTTCTGAAGGACTGTGCATCAGGGTAGATTACAAAAATATCACAATTAAAAACAAATACAATTTACATTAAAAGCCTAAAATAAAACCACCAAACAACAGCGCCACAGAACAGTGAATTTATCTACTTGCATTTATCTATTTATCTACTTGCACTGTGACGTGCTTTCGAACTGCTAGGTTGGCAGGAGCAGGGACCGAGCAATGGGAGCTCACCCCATCGCAGGCATTCAAACCACTGACCTTCTGATTGGCAAGCCCTAGGCTCTGTGGTTTAGCCCACAGCGCCACCTGCGTCCCTTAAAGAGGGGTAACTGGTGAACAAATGGAAAAAGGTTTCCTATCCTACGTACTTGTGGGCTTCCCTGAAGCATCTAGTTGCTGAAGTTTCCTTTTTCTGAGGTGCTGTGAAAGCACAACTTTTTCAAGACTACTGTATGACTTCTTTGCCATGTTCTAGTCCTACTGCAGTAATGTACACCCTTCGAAGCACTTTCTCGCCCTCAAAGAATTCTGGGCACAGTAGTTTACCCCTCACGGAATTACAGTTCCAAGCAACCCTTAAACTGTAGCTCCAGAAATTATTTGAGGCAACTAATGTGCTTCAAATATGCTTTAAAGTTATAGCGTGTACATTGTCTATGTCTCTGCTGAAGCATTAGAATCAAAGAGTTGGAAGGGACCTCCAAAGGTCCATTCTACTGTCAAACAGCTCTTACTGTCAGAAAGTTGAGAAAGCCAGGCTTTTGGAGTTGGCATGCACCTGTATCCAAAAGGTTAGCATGCCCTTCAAAGGAAATACAAAGTGAGACATAAGAATAATATGGCCAATGGAAATATGTTGATATGCCATAATATTGTATATTAGATTATTTTTTGAAGACAGCAGCTCTAAAGGTGCGTCCAAGTTGTTTGGGCAATGTTAAATAAAGATTTAAAACAACAGAGACAGGAGGGGGGAATATGTTGAGGCAGAAATTGTGCAAGAGTTGCAGCAACTTCAGCTAATAATTGCCAGAATAGATGGTGGCCACAAGTAAACTGTATTGGTTGAATGTATAATCAAATTCACTATGCCAGCTTGCCCATTCACCCATAGAATTAATACACCAGCAGTACATATTATCTGCTGGTGTTCTGATTCTCCACACAGATGGGCCAATTTGCATGGTGGACCACAAGTGAGGTATATATGTGGCTGCTGTCACATCTCTTTCAGCTCTCATTAAAGCTGAAGACTGTGCAACATCGTTAATTCATAGCTTCAACTGATTCATGCACAGTTTAATAATATATTCCAAGATTACAAGCACCATTGTTAATGCCATGTGATAGTTATGATGACGATGTGCTATAAAAATACTTTACATTAACACAGTACAGTATGCTAATATTGGAATCAGTGGCTTTTCTTCTATTTTGCAAGGCTTCTTTTAAAAGTACAAAAAACACAACTTCATCTACAAGGCAATAGCTCCTACAACGCTAATATTTCCAAGCTTTGATGTGGGCTCTTGAGGCTTTTTCATAATTCAGAAAACAAGAGTGCCCTGATGGTGTCTCACATCCCTTAAGTGTTGTGTACAATTTGTTCTCCGACTATTAGAACGAGCAGCTGAGGGGTGGAAGACTTTATGCAAGCTATGCAAGCAGCTTTGCTTAACTGCAGCTTATGCCCGCATTTCTTTTTACTGTTGGATGCCACGTTTCGATCCATGTGGCCTGACAGCCGCTAAGGTACGAACATTAAAAGTTACAACTACAAGGAAAAACGCCTTTTTGTAGTATAGAGTAAAATTACCATTGATGGTGGTGGTGGTTGGAGGAGATGTCTCATTTTGGGATCAATCAAATCACACACACAAAAACACACACATCCTCTTATGACAAGACATGGGGTCTTTCTTGAGGAACAAAACAGCTGCATGAGTTTGAAGACCCTGCAGCCCCACAGCAACCTAGAGAGATGCCATGCACCCCCGACTCCTCCAGGAGAAGCCCCTTTGCTTTTCAAATGTTAGAACCTGGGCAGCCTCGACCTATCAGCGCTCGGCGCCGTTTCAGCTCTGAACGAGCGGCGTCTCCGTGAGCATTTTTTTAAAATGTTGCATCTCTTTCATCAAGGGGCAGCGGGGGGTGAAAACAAGAGACAGCCTATTCCAGAAAGGTGTCCGGCTGCTACTCCCTCCCTCCTCCCTTGGAACCGGGTTTCCCCTAAACGTATCCTAGTACCGAGCCTGAGCAAGGCTGTTCCCGGGCACTTTCCAGACACGCGTCTGTGGTCTTTCTCACCTGCTCGAGTTTCTGCCACGGCCCAGAGAAGGAAAAGCCCCCAGGAACAGGACCACCACCGGCTGGAGGAGGAGGAGAAGGAAGGGGGCGGGAAAGAGGCGCCGCCGCCGCAGCAGCCGAGCCGGGCCATGCCGAGTCGCGCTTGGTGTGTTTGTGTGTGTTGTGTCTCAGACGGAGGCGGCCCCGCGACTTGGCAACTTTGGCGTCCTCGGTCAGAGCATGGCCCGCCCTCTGCCAGCCCCGCCGCTGCCCCGGGGTAGCCACAACAGGCCCGCCCTAGCAGGCTTGGCGGGGTGGGATTAGAAAACCGGGAACGTCGCCATCCACCTCCTCTCCCGGCCCGGGCTTTTTCGCCTTTTTCATTTCTTTGTATATATTATTATTAGTTGTGCAGGGAGGCTGAAGGCCAGTCAGGCGCAGCTGGGAAGAAGGCGTTTCGCTGTGAATGAAACGCACGGTTTGTGGTTTCCCTAGAGTTACTGAACGCGAAGGGATTCGCCCCGCGTGCGCTTTCGCTTCCCTGTGGTAGTTGCTAATCGGGGTGGATAAAATAAAGTGTTTTAAAAGTGGGTTACGAACCACCCTTCCAAACCCTACTAAGGCGTGCTTAAGAGATCGAGATCACATTATACGGAATTAGATCTTATTGGGGTGTTGTTAAAAGAGTGGTGAAAAATATGGGTACAGTATTTCAAGTTCTCCAAAGTTATTTTTCAGGCTATATACAGTACTCTGTGAGTAAGTAGGGCAAGCACAACACACGCACACACACACATGAATGAATATATGAAAGACTCGGATGCTATCTTTCTGCAATGTTTCCAGACCAGGGTAGTTTACAAAATGTGATAAAATATCCCACCCGAAAAAATTCGGGGGTGGGGATAAGATGCTGAACAGTATGATGAAAAGTGCCAAAGTGTGTGGTTTGTAACTTGGAAGTCAGCTGCACTGAGTAATTTCCATTGGACTCAGTGGGGCTTATTTCTTTCCATCAGACTGTATTATTAATTAGGTTAGCTGGCTGTTAGATACCAAACATCTGACATGCTAGCAAGACTTGAGATTAATTTTAGGTGGTGAAGTGAGAAAGAGCTAGTAAAGCCAGATCCAGGTAGTGTTACCCATTGGCTGGAGAGCATGGAAATTCATCTTCTTACAATTGTAGAGTGGGATAACTTTCTGGAAAGCTAAACTTGTATTTTATGAGAAAAACAAAAATTGCAGGTAGCCATGCTTCTCTGTAATACTGTATGTTGGTGTTGGAGTTTCATTTCTTTTTAAAGTCCATTTTGTAACAAATTGAGATCATTTCTAAATTTTACACACCACACCAGAAAACAACTATTGTTCTACCAAATTAAGTAGGGATTTGAAACCTCTCAAGTTTAAGACCATTCTTTGATTATCCAAATCCATAACTCACTAAACATGAAAAGAAAAAGCATTACTTTCTATAGTATCTTTGTGTGTACAAACCTCTTTTGTGCTGTTATATTGTGAGACACCCAGCATTTTCAGTTGTCCAAACAGCACATGGATTGGCATTTTCTGAGAAAATATCCCAGTCATGTGCTCTATAAAGAAAAGAGTCTCCTATCAAAGTTCCACTCTAAAGACACCAAGCAATCATGTGATTTAGTCCAGAGGCAAGATCAAAGGATATTTTTGTTCCAAAGGTTTGTTTAGGTAGTGGTATTTTTAATCCCCAACTTCATGACGGTTAAGGGAAAAAATCAACTCAAGGTCAAATAGATTTTCTGCTGTGTGGGAGAAGGTGCTGTTCTGTTCTCAGTTGCAAGGAGCCAAAATGGTGAGTATATGAATGTAGAATGATGTGTACAAACCCATGGTTACCATTCTAATTTCCCTGTAGTAAGCTCACATGTGGGTCAGGAGATCATTAGTTCAAGAGTTATCCACACTGGCCTTCTGCCCCAAACTGATTTTACATGGAACCTGTGGCAGGAAGAATGCAGTCTGCTACAGATGTTACCCACAGGAAGTGCTGGTATGCCTTATTTCAGGTATTAAGGATAAAAGCCCTACTAATAAACAGTGACATGTGTATGTAGTTATGGTTTTGTTTTCTTAAACCAAAACAAGATTTTTCAGCTATAGATGTACTTTATTTCACAACAAAGCAACTTTTCTTGTTTCACACTTCTCTAAATTATAAGTTCTTGTCAAGGCAAAATAGATGTGCTATTACATTGTAGCTTCAGTTTATGATTTACAGTGACAAATACAGATGAAAAAAATGTTCATCACACTATATGATACAGCTATGGAGTTTGTTCAATTTAACTGCTTTCTGCTTTCAGTTATTTGTTCCATTGCAGCCTTTGCCCATGATATTGAGGGTTACTGCCAAATATATTCAGGTACGTTATCCAAAATGTCATTTTTTTTCTGGCTTAGCATATTTATACCCATGGACTGTGGCTTAAATGGGTCTCTAATAATTGAAGTATAACGTGACTATAAAACTTTACACTGGCTAGAATGTGACCTGTAGTCAGTTTTATACAGCGCATGTACTGCTTGCTTATTTGTTTTATGTAAAACACTTCCCCCAATTCTCAAAGTGGCTTACAGAATATTTGTCAGATGCAGTCTTCCCATACCTCTAAATTACACCAGACCTCACTCCAGCTGTATCCATGACAATGTGGCTATAGCAAGAATGGGACTGCCCTCTGACATCCACTGTACCTTTATCATAGTGCAAAAATGGTATCTGCATTGTGCAGGTGCCTGCTTTGCTGTCTTCCTTCACTGCTACTTTAGCCCACAAGCACCAGACTGGATGTGAAGGGAGGTGCCCTCAGGGGAGCTGCCCTGTTTCCTTCCTCCTCAATTTTAGGAAGCAGTATATTGGTAAAGCTTCCAATTCATCAAGAAGCATCTTGCATTGAGTCATTTGCAGTTTTGCCAATGTAGTAGAAAGAATGTTCTTCCCGCAGAATATTAACTACAGAGGACTCACAAAGGTAGGATCACATTTCTGTCCTCAATCCACCCATACAATACTGCAAATATGTAGGTTGTGTAAAATTTGTCTTATATTATTTAAATCTAACTTTCAGGGATTCTTGGGTCGTGCTCTTTATCCAGTTTTACAGGTAGGTACTGGTTTTTTCTGTAGCCAACTGCAGGTATTCCAGAGTGCCTTTGCGACAACTAGGCACACGTGTAATCTCTCGCACCTGAAATTCTTCTGTTTGCTTTTTCAGAAGACAATTGGTTATCATCTCAGCAAAGTCAGCTTGCAAACGCTGCTGATTCTCCCTGGAAATAGCAGGAGAAAATTGGTTTAAGTGACTCAAGAGATATATTTACTGTGATTCTTAATTATAAGGCTTTCAAAGATTCTTCTATTCAACCCTCCTTACTTGATATTTGAAATGCTGAAGGCCAACTACACATTATTCTGGAGCTCTCTGGAGCTTTTGATGGAGAATTTGTCAGATCATCACTGCTGCACTGCAACCAACTTCCAAGGACTGCCACCTTCCTTAGGAGTTCCACTGCCATTACTTCCTTTGAACCTTAACCTCTGGTCAGAAAGGTCCCAAAGGTTCTGGGATAACCACAAACCAGGACATGAACAAGCACCAACTATACCTGTAATCCCCTCGTAATTGCAGGGTGACTCCAGCCTGTCCTTGGTTTACACAAGTAACATAAAATAGTAATGCCGTATGGGAGAGGAATACCCCCTGAGCCTACAAAGTCAACCAGTCAAAATCCCAAACAGAAGAAAGATTTATTTACGATCAGAGAGCAATAAAAACTGGGGGATTATTTAGGGGCAAACAGAGATCAGACAAAGAGCGCCATCACAAACCAAATTTAAAGGATAGTTTCTATCTACTATTGTTGTTTAGTCGTGTCCAACTCTTCGTGACCCCATGGACCAGATCACGCCAGGCACTCCTGTCTTCCACTGCCCTATCTACTATGCAGCACCTAAATTCTCATAAATCAGAATGCTAGTGAAGGCCAAGTTGGATGTTCAAAATTTTCCAAAGCACATGATTGGATTTAAGAATTCTGTGGACCAAGAGGCGAGGCATGCTGGGGCAGCTGGATCCTCCAATCATCTTATGACCTCAAGAAACGGCCCTGAGGTTTGACATGTATATCAGTTAAATGGTGTTTTGACACCTCCATAGGGAGCAGAAAACAAAACTGCAGATGAGTAGTGGAGGAATGTCACCCATCTCTGCTGCTACACAGAACAATATAGGAAATTTCCTGTCAAGGATGAATGTGGATGCCCAGTATGTAGGATGGAAGCAAGGTAGAAATGGTGCAACTTAACCATTTTTACAGATAACTTCCTGATCTAATTCTTATATTTATAATTCTTATTTATATAGGGGAAGGACTAAGCCCAGGGCTCCAGTATAATGGAAATCTAACCCCCTCTCTCATGTCACAACCCCAAGCTAAGTCTCTTTCCCTTCAGCTCCTATTAGCTGTAGAGGGGAAAACTTGCAGCTACAAGTGTTTTTGCTCTGCGTTTAGCAGCTCAGATATATTGTGTGATCTGGACTGGGGCCACAGCCTAGTGAGAGAGGATTAGATTTGCCCTACTTAAGAACATACCTAGAAGTGCCTGCTGTATTGGGTCAGGGTGCATCTAATCCAGCATTTTGTTCTCAGTGGCCAACCAGATGCCAATGGGAAACTTCCAAGCAGGATCTGAGTATAATGGCGCTTGCAATTCCCTATATAGTATCTGGTATTTAGAGGCATACTACCTCTGACAGTTAAGGTAGAACACAGTGATCCTGGCCATTGATAGCCATATCCTCCATGCATTTGTTTACTCTTTTAAAGCCATCCAATTTGGTTAACACTATTACCTCTTGTGGAAGCAAATTCCATAGTTTAGCAATGCACTGTATGAAGTAGTGCTTTCTTTTGGTTATCCTGACTCTTCCAACATTCAGTTTCATTGAACTCCCCTGAGTTCTAGTATTATGGCAGTATGCTAGTGACACTCAGCTCTGTATCAGAGGCTTAGCTGGACTTGCCTTGGACATGGATAATATCCCTTACTGTACCAAGTCAAGCCCAGCCAAAATTTAGCTTCTAGATCTTGGGAGAACAGCTGTCAAATTTTATTCTCTGTTTCCTTTACTCTTTCTGTATCTTCTATTATTTGGAATATAAAATAGATCAATATCATCAATATATCAACTACATTAATATAGGAAGCCTGTTATTGCAGATATTCAAAGTAGTGAAGAATTACCGTATTTTTCCGTCTATAAGATGCCCCCATGTATAAGACGCCCCCTATTTTTAGGGACTCCCAATTTAAGAAAATGGGGAGAGATCTATCCATGTATAAGACGTTCCCAAATTTTGGACATTGTTTTTTAGGAAAAAAACAGTCTTATACATGAAAAATACGGTACTTAATATTTCAACTCTATTAAAGAAGAAAAATAAAAAGGAGAGTGACTGGGAAACAACTGATGCAAGAGAAAGAAGGAAGGCTCAGCACAGAAAAATGTAATAAACATTCCAAGAATTATAATCCGACACCAGTGTCACTTGAGCAAAGGATCCCATTCCCCCTTCCTTGAATAACCTCGTATGAACAAAGCTGTACCACTCATAAATTAAAGGCAGAGAAGCTTCCTGAAAAACTAAGTAAGAGCACACACACATCAGCTTCAGTGGTGCATGTCAGTACAGTAGTACCTCGGGTTACAAACACTTTGAGTTACAGACTCCGCTAACCCGGAAGTAGTACCTCGAGTTAAGCACTTTACCTCAGGATGAGAACAGAAATCGCGCACCAGCGGCCCAGCAGCAGTAGGAGGCTCCATTAGCTAAAGTGGTACCTCAGGTTAAGAACGGTTTCAGGTTAAGAATGGACCTCCAGAACAAATTAAGTTCGTAACCAGAGGTACCACTGTATTAACATCACATCTTTCATTGACCCACAGGATCAAGATGCCAGATAGGGGGAAAAATCACAGTGGTATACTTCCAAATGTTGTTCAAAACAGTCACCTGTGATATCCTGTGATTTGTGTTTATATTGTATTGTAATGGCCATTGGCTACAAACAATAAAAATGATTGAATAGAATAAAGGAAAGATACCCTACTCTCTCCCCCAATCTTTTACCTTTTTGTAAGAGCAAACCTAAACAAACATTTTTGTTTTTGTTTTTAAAAACATGCTTGTTTTAATGGATATTGTGTTTGTATTGTATATAGTGTGTGCACTGCTTAGCAATTTTAAAAACACTTAAGTGGTTTAGAAATGCTTTTTAAATAAAAAGGCGGTGATGCCACCACATGTGTAATTCACCATAGGTTAAAGTGTTGCCTACTTATGGGCCCCTCCCAACACACCAGTGTGCAAGCCTGTAAAAGGAGTAGCAGGATGTTCACACCAGGAGTTAAGACATGAGAGGCCTGAAATTACTGTGTTAATTGTTTAAGTTTGTCATAGATCTGTAACACAGCTGGATTTCAAACTAGGGAAACTAATCTTCAAGAGCAGAATGACTGGCAAGACCTATTATATAAACCAAAATACCACCTTAGTTCTATAATATATGTTACAGAATGCAAATGCCCTGAATGCCATCTGCAGTATGTTGGGAAAACAACTACAGTCTTTCATGCCTATTTCAGAAATCTTAAGTCAGTAATCACACACACACAACACCCCTGAACAACCTGTTACAAAACATTTTGACCTTTCAGACTTGGGAATACTTCCAGTAGAAAAAAACAACCCTAGTTCTGCAGCAGTCAAAACAAGAGAACTTCTATAGATAAAGACTGAACACCATAATGCCACATGGCTTTGCCTTGGGGGATAATTCTTAAACTTTTACCTTTGCCTTTAATTCTTTTTTTAATTATCCCACTTATAGAACAGCTTCTACGTTGCTGGAAATTCCCTCTGTTCTCAGGGGGTTCTTAGAACACCTGGACTACCAACTGCCTGATTTTAAATCCAACCAAATTTGTTAATGAAGCAGGCAGAAGCTGAAATGTTTTAGCTAAATAATTTTATGGGGGGGGGTATTCAACTAAGTTTTACTCAGAGTAGACCAACTGAAATTAATGGCTCTAACTGGGTCATGTTCATTAGTTCTGATGGGTCTATTCCAGGTAAAAATTAGATGACTAACATCCATTGTTATCTGTTTTATCAAGTCATTGACAGTGTGATCCTACAAGTTTACTTGGAGGTCTTACCAAGTTCAATGGAGCTTATTCCCAGAAATATGGGTATAAATAAGACTGATTAACACTACCCAGACATAACTTTTGTCATATCAGATGAAAAGAGTAACGCAAGGAATTGTGAACCTAGGATGCTGGAGATTCATGTAGTAGCGATGCATCGCCTGAACTCTGACCTCTTCACAACCTATGTTCAGACTGGACATCTGCTTTAGTATGCTTGAGTAAGTGTGAATGAATAAGGATAATGTTTAGACCTTGTTATTCAATACAAAAAAATTGACTGCAGTATAAAGGTGTGTGTTTGGCCATGGCACTCCTCTTTACAAACGGTGCATAATGCAACACTCCATCCTCCACTGGTTTTTCCCATTGGGAGAAGCTGGAGGGAGAATAGTGGGTTGCACAACATTGAGGATTCATGAGATCCTAGGATATGTGCATGTGTCCCCATGCACATTTGCACAGTTGCCATATTGATCTCTGCCAAGTGCACGCCAAACAAGATATTCACAGAAAGAGAGAAAAGAAAGGATACTGTAAATATTGATTTGTGCATTCTGTTAACAACCAGCTATCCAAGAATCACTTACACAGAAGGAGGTGTTGGAAGATTGTATTTCTGGTCTTTCACTCCTGTCAGCCAGTAAGTGATCTCAGTTCCTTTGCCCTAATACAAAATAAGGAATAATACTTTGAGATTAGATTGCTGTATTGTATATTTTTATGTTCTTTATATTGCAGCACTTTATTATCTTTGTATAATTTATTTAACGAACATGGGGCGCATACGGCATATTCCTACTGGGTGTTTTAAACTAAAACCAATACATATGGGGGGGGGGGGACAGAATAAGCTACCTGAGACTACAGTTCTGTTCACAGAATCAGAGAATTGTAGAGTTGGAAGGAACCCTGAGGGTCATCTAGTCCTACTCCCTGCAATGCAGGAATCTTGTCTAGCCTCAATCGCAACAAGTCTTGTTAGAGATATCAAGAAAGTCAGGGTGATGAAGTAGTTAAAAAGTTGGGCTAGATGTGGAAAATGCAGGTTCAAATGCCTACCCACCTATGAAATTCACTGGATCATGGCCCCAACTAATAATTTAAAATAATGATAATAATAATAATAATAATAATAATAATAATAATAATAATTTTCCTCCTTTTAGATATGTGCCACCTCTAGATTGATTTTGAAAAATTATGGCTATTTGAATACATGCTGTGTGTGTACACACGCACGTGTGTGTTTGCATGTGTTAGGTCAGCCTTCTGTTAGGCAGAGTGAGGCAACTGCCTCAGATGGTAGATGCTGGGAAGTGTGCCGTATTGGCAGCAAGTTGTTGGAAGACAGAACTGTATTTGCCATGTGCATTGCCCTGCACTCCCCTCCAAGCCTAAACTAGCCTGCTGCCTCCCAGTGCGGTGGAGGATGTTGTTGAAATAAAATTCTACTGTCCGCCCAGTCAGCTTCTCTGCATAGAAGTGGAGGTTGGTACAAATCTTGTCCTTCGCCTATGTCAGCAAAATGTTGTGGGTCACCGGGATGTGCAGTTGTTTGTTACCTTCAAATATGTCTCTCCTCGCTCTTCATATTGGAATTGGCAGTCTGTTCTCTTGAGAATAGCAATAGTGGAACCACTTACATGAATCCGTAGAGCTATAGGCATGCAAACAAACATACAGTGTTTTAATTTGCTTTTTTTAATGTTTGGTTTTGTGTTGTGCCAGTCTATAATGTACTTAAGATAATGAGAGTCTTGTGTTCCATTAGTAAAAATGAGCTGACACAATTGTCTCAAAAATATGCTCATCTTCTGAATAGCATTTGCAAGCAGAGCAAGGCAACTGACATCATAATCCTCAAGGCATTCACGTAATATTGGACTTGTCCTACCGGCTTCAGTCAGACTGATTGTCGTGAACTAATTATTGTGGCTACTTTAATCTGAATATTTATAGCCGGAAGGAAGGTTAGATGTCTCACCAAGCAGAGGGAGAGGACCAAGAAAAACACCTAAAATACAGCAGAAATAGAAACTCTAGCAGTCCTTTGAGAAAAACCTTCTAATGGTGTGATTATTTACTACATGTTATCCTACCCTTTCTCCAAAAAGCTCTGGGTGCTGTGTGTAGTGCATCTCCTCTCAGTTTATTTTCATAATCCCTATATGGTTCAGAGAAAGTGACTGGCTCAAGGTCACCCAGTCAGCTTCTACTTTATTAGGATAAAATAGGGGTAAAGAGGTCTGGGTAAAGAGGTCTGGATTTGATTATAAAAAGTAATGTGTAGTGTAGATGTGAATTTGTCCTTACGTAATCCTGTAGATTCCATTCTTGAAGCTGTGTTCACAGTATCTCCAAACAAGCAGTAACGAGGCATCTTAATCCCAACCACACCAGCTGCACATGGACCTGAAAACAATAAAGCACAGAGCAGGAATTAAGAAGGAGAGGGTGTTTGCCTAGGAAAAGATTAGCCCACACACTCTCAAGATCACATCATAAACTGAGCAGGAATTAATTGGAAGTCATCAATGTGACTCATTAGGAATCAGATTTCTGAGGTGCCAAGATCTGACCAGGCCAGTACAAGGTCTGTCCTGGCTGAGCATGTGTGTATATTTCATTTACAGAATTTATAGCTTGGAACAGGGAACAAAGTAATAAAGACAAAAACACACAAGATGATATACAAAAGTTTCAAAATCACAAAAAAACATGTCCAATAACAACAAATGGACAATTCTATCGTAAGAGAGACAAGCAAAACTACAATGAAGACATACAACAAAATTTCTTATTTAACCAAATATCTTGATAGAAACAAGCAAAGGATATTCAATCAGATTAAACAGCACTCCCTAAACAGGAATTCCTGTATGTCAGAGTTTAAGGCTAGCAATAAGCAGCAAAGGTTTTCAAGGAAAATCGGACGACCCATAAGAAGTCTAAGGGCTTTTTCTGCTCAACTAAGCACAACTGGGACTGTATTCAATTTAGTCCCGCTCCGAAGGCCTTCTGGTAGTTCCTTCAATGCTAGAAGTGAGGTTACAGGGAACTAGGCAGAAGGCCTTCTCGGTAGTCACACACACCCTATGGAACACTCTCCCATCAGATGTCAAGGAAATAAACAACTATCTGACCTTTAGAAGACCTCTGAAGAGAAGACATCTGTATAGGGAAGTTTTTAATGACTGATGTTTTACTGTGTTTGATGCTTTAATTTGTTGGAAGCTGCCCAGAGTGGATAGGCGACATATAAATAAATTATTATTATTAATCCCTAAGTAGACCCACTGAAATGAATGACTCTAAGATAATCATAGTCATGTCCATTAACATTAATGGGTCTACTTTGAATAGGATGAGCAGTGAATACAACCTAGAGATTGAATTCACTATGAAAGACTGCTATTTGTGATTTTGAAACAGTGCTCCTCTCTGCTTCTACAGCCAGGGACTAAGTTGGTTCAATACTTGGCACTTCAGGAGCCAGACAAGGCAAATCTGGAGCTTTGCCACAAAGCATACCCACACGGATCCTAGCATTCACTTTCACAGATTTGCTTTATTCTGTCCCCCACATCCACAGATAATGCCACTGCTGATACTTTTTCTATGATGCAGTGAAGACTACTGTTTCTGAGGAGGAACTTGTCAAATCATGATGGTGGAGGCAGTTGGTAGACACATGAACTCCATCACTTTTCTTGGCATCCTACCCCAGAACAGACTTGCAGCTATTAAATACAGAGAATAATAAATGAAGGTGTTGATGAACGGCTTGCAACAGGCTACAGACATCTGCTGAATCAACTAACTCTGTCCTCTCCTGTATGCATGCCTGTCTCTCTTCCACTACAGTATTGTTATTGTAGATTCTTGCATTGTAGTGGGTTGGACCTTTGGTTCCCTTTCAACTTTATGGTTCTATGTTATAAATTTTCAGGGCCAGAATCTGTGGCTGCAAGTCACCCATAAATCCTGGAATTAGTAAAAGTTAGAATTAATCAAGGTTTGATTAAACTGTGCCAAACACAGAAACCCCTGGATTTAGTTTATGCTAACGAGCAAGGCCAGCTCAAAAGGGGGCTTGTAACAGGCCCCCATCCAGCTAGGGCTTTGGAAGAAGAAAGGCTGGTGATGGCCGGTCATTAACCCATCAAGGAAGCCATCAAGTGTTATCATGGGAATGGCTGAGCCATGAACCCATTAAGAGGGCCATTAACAGAGGCTCTCTGGGCAGGCCAGAAATGGGGGCAAACCCTTCCCTGACGTGACAGATAGTTAGCAGAGACAAAAGGCCAGTGGTTCCGGAGGAAGGGAAAGAATTGCACTGGGCGATAAGGTAAAGGAACAGGACAAAAGTGTCACTCTTGCAAGCTGGATCGGGGGGGGGGGGGCAGAGCATGAGGGGGCTGTCTGTTTTATGCTGCAGAGAAGGTAAGACACAATGTTTTGGGGTCTCTTTGAATCCGGCAATGGAAGGAACAGGACCCTCTTAGGATGTGAATGCTCTGTACTCTCTGCATCTAGGCTCAGGTTGTAAGGTAAAGGTAAAGGGACCCCTGACCATTAGGTCCAGTCGTGACCGACTCGGGGGTTGCAGCACTCATCTCGCTTTATTGGCTGAGGGAGCCGGCGTACAGCTTCCGGGTCATGTGGCCAGCATGACTAAGCCACTTCTGGCGAACCAGAGCAGTGCACGGAAACACTGTTTACCTTTTCGCCGGAGCGGTACCTATTTATCTACTTGAACTTTGACGTGCTTTCGAACTGCTAGGTTGGCAGGAGCAGGGACTGAGCAACAGGAGCTCACCCCGTTGCAGGGATTCGAACCACCAACCTTTTGATCGGCAAGTCCTAGGCTCTGTGGTTTAACCCACAGCGCCGCCCGCGTCCCAGGTTCAGGTTGTAGGTATGTGTAAATAAGCCATATATTATAAAGACACCACAGTCTCCACAGTGCTTCATTGCCCAAAAGAAAACACTGGTAAGTGCGCCTGGTACTCCTAAAATCTCACACCACTTAGAAATTGCAGTAGCACGTAGCTCTATTAATTTCAGAGTGACTAACTTCCAGCTGGGCAGAAGCTATGAGGCAGTAGGAGCATTTGTGGATTTAATGCCTCCCTTCCCACTCTCAGCTACCCACAAAAGTTTTAAGTATCATCTCTGTACTACCTTCCTTCCGTATTTCCTCTGTTCAAAGTCACCCTCTAAAGAGCGGTGAAAAGGGCAGCAATTAGACAGCCACTGTTATAGGAGAATAACCAAAGTGGAAATGAAGAAACTTCTCGTTTCAGAAGGGTTTTCAACGGGTCAACAGAACACGTGCATTAAGCCAACATTTCCTATGATCCACAAGATTGCCTTTGAAAATGCCATCACTTACCTACAGGACCGCCTCTCCTGGTATGCCCCACAGAGAAACTTATGGTCTTCAAATAAAAACATCTTGAAGGTCCCAGGCCACAGAGAAGTTAGGCTGGCCTCAACTAGAGCCAGGGCTTTTTCGGTCATGGCTCCGATCTGGTGGAACACTCTGTCACAAGAGACCAGGGCCCTGCGGGACTTGACATCTTTCCGCAGGGCCTGCAAGACAGAGCTGTTCCACCAGGCCTTTGGCCAGGGCACAGCCTGACTCCCTCCCTCGGCAATCTTCGCGGAGCTTTGGCCCAATGGTTGCCAGTGGCTTGAATTAATTAATTTTATAATGAATGATTTTAGAGTGTTGTTTATGCTGTACTTTTGTACTGTTTTATTGTTGTTAGCTGCCCTGAGCCCGGCTTCGGCTGGGGAGGGCGGGATATAAATAAAATTTATTTATTATTATTATTATTATTATTATTACTCGCACAGTTCATCAACCCTTATTATATTATACAGAACTTCAGAACTGAAAACAATTATATATCCTAAAACATTTATTCGCTAAGTCATACTTCAGTCTTTGATCTGTAGATTCTTTTCCTCTCAAAGGACTGCAACCTGAACTATAAAGCAACCAATTTCCAGAAGGCTCTTCATTCTCTGTGGGGGTTTTTTAAGGTGCTAGTAGAATATTTTGTCCAAGCAACCATTAGCGATAGCAGACAGTGAAGAGCAGCTGTGTTCAGCTGCTGCATAACTCTCTCTAGTGGAACACTATGTGACTGAAACGTAAGCACTGGGGTCAGGGGAGGGAAGGGAAGGGAAGGGAAGGAAGAAGAGATGCATTCCCCAAAAATGCTTGTAGACGTCCTGCTCTTATATCTCTTCTGTGCTGCTGAGCCAGTTACAGAAACTGTAATTATTTTGATAATTAATTTTAAAATAGAGCCTCTAAGGGCCGTTCCAGAAATCTGTTTTTAGCATTGCAAACTTGTAGTTCTTATTTATTGCGTGTCGATGAGAGTGCTTCCCCCTTGAGATGGCATTCTGTTTCAGGAATATTGCATTTTCCAGTGGATGCTCTGTATTTTTTTTCCTACTTGGTAAAATGTGATTTGTATCCTGTATAATATGCCCACTGTTATTGCTATTACTTTTTAGAATGTGATGGTAAGTGGTAACTATTGGACTCTGCTGGTATGTAAATCGATGCAAATGGCACAACATTCTCCTCCTATGCCATTTTATGACTTTCTGTATGTGCTTTTGTAACTGTACTTTTTTTCTTGTTTCCAATGCTTTAGACTCTAGAGATTGAATTTTCTATTCATTGTACCTCTCTCAACATGGGAGTGATCATCAAGCCTTTTAAGAGAAAAGTGGTGAACATCAGGAGAGGTACCTAGTTCCATACTGAAATGGCCCATAGTTTTTTGTGCATTTTGCTTTACTTTTCATTTGTTTTATTTCATTCTCTAAGCACCCACAAGCACTGAAGCATATTTTCCCTAATATTATAAAGAAATTTCCCCTAATATTATGGTTTTTAATATAATTTTCGCGCTATGTATTTTTCATCCACACTCCCTCCTAATATACTCATTTCTGAACACAGTATTTAGTTGGAGAATGGCTTTGCAAAATTTGGTGAAGTACAAATTTCAAAGGATAGTGCATTTTGGTTCATGTATAGTTTCAGGAAAAGCAGATTGGGTAGGCTTATGTCAAAGGAAGCCAACCCAAGTTTCTTTCCCATCCTCATTCCTTTATTTTATTTTGATCAAATATTTGATATATATCACACCATACCAGAGTGAATTCCTATTCGAATCCATACAGGAAGACCTGGAAGATGTCCGAGTTCAAAGGAGCCCATGAAGCTGAGTATATCTAATGCCATCATGGAAATGTCCACTGCGTGACGGTTGCCATTTCTCTTTGGTAAACCGCTTACTACCATATATGCATCTCCAATGGTCTCTACCTGTTGAAACAAGATCCAAAGTCATTATTTTTTAATCTAACGAAAGAGCAATCCAATATAGGAAAAACCTGAAAGTTCCTGTTCTTTCCTGCTCAGGAATGCTTATCACATCCCAATTAACAAACATGTTTACACACGTATTTGGAGTTGCAAATAGTACTCCGTATAATATTTATAGGTGACTGTGATTTTCTCTGAGGTGAAGAACTGTTCTTTTAAAATGTTAAAGAGAATCAAACCTTCCATATTTTGCACAATTTTAAACAGAAAAAATAACTACTACCTTTTATTTTTCGTTTTTCTTATATGCTTTGTTTTGCTTTCTGTCTCAGAAGAAAACATTTCCCGCCTTTTATTTTGTCTCTTAAACTGTTTCCACAGTGGGAAATTCATGCACATGAGGTTCGCTGTTTCCTTACAGACCTTTGCCCAGACATAAGCACTTTCAATTTTCTGCCTCTGAAATCTATCGCAATGTTTCCCGTCCACACTAATGGGTAAAGCATGGATTAGCCTCTTAAAGGATTGGTGGCAATGCTCTGCCACCCCCCTCCTTTCACCTCAAATCATTCTACCTAGCCTTCTGTTCTCTCTTCCCAGTTCTGGTCACCTTATAGACATCATGAGGGTCAAGAATTTGATCAAAGTTCTTGTAGATGTCATTGAGCATGTCCACCACTTCCATAGGGGTGCTGTATTTACAAAGGGTTGTGAAGCCTACAATGTCACTGAAGTAGATGGTGACTTCTTTAAACAGTTCTGGCTCTACCCGTCCAGTTTCCTTCAGTGACTTTACCACAGGCCTGTCAAAAGGAAGAAGATAAGTATCGTAGGATGAAGCTTCTCAAGTTCAAAGTGTGCTTTAAAAAACAGAAAAAAATATGGCAGTACAGTAGTTCTATTAATCCTGGTAATGATAAAAGACAACACCATTCTAAGTAATTGAGATTTTAAATCACAAATGATATGGGCAATCACTCCATCTCCTTTCAAAACATGTTAGAGGTCAGTGGGTAGATGGTCATGTTTTGCAGATTTGACAGGATGGCCTTTTGATCCTCTTTCATGCCCAGGGACATTTCAGCTGTACAGATATATAAGCTATTAGTGCTTGTGTTATAATTGAGGAGACAAACCTTCTTCTGCTTGACTCTAACCTACCTGGTCAGAATTGGAAACTGGTGTTAGAACTGCTTATTTGTGTGCACAAACTCAAGCACACAATTCCTTTCTCTCAACATGGAAGTTCTGTTTCCTGGCAGAATTCCAGGTTGTGTAATTCTATTCTGTTTTACTAAATTTCTGTCTCTGCTACATCATGGCAGCTGGTGGCTGGGGCAGGCAAAAGCTTATAGGCAGTTGTATCCCATGCCGGCAGAGACCAGCGCTTCCTTGAAGATATGGGGTAAGTCCAATTGTGCCCTTTCCAGCTATGTGATTCAAACCCATAGTTAACACAATGTCAGGAAGTACAAGTCTATCTTGAAACCAAACTTGGATTGACTTCATGTTCATATATACTATTCTGTCTACTTGCCCTTCATTATTTAGCAGTCATTTAAATCTCTGCCTGTCTTTCTCTCACACACAACAGAGCGCCTGCAGTTCTAGTTACAACTTCTAAAAAAAGAACATAAGGCTGCAGATGATCCAGAAAATGTGGCCTAAGATTACCAAGAAGGGAGCATCTTTCCTACAAAATGCTTAAGAGGTTGGAGCATTTTAGTAAAGGGCAACTAAGGCAAAACGTAAGAGACATTTAGTAAATGAGCTTCAGGTTGGCAGAATCCCACAGCTGGGCACACACCTGCAGAAGGCTGCAGCCAACATAGTGTGCCCCTGACATCACCCCTGCTAGGGTTTTTATTTTGAGTTTTAGCTGGGCTGGACAGAGACGCTTGGCATTTCTCTGTGGGCTGAATCCAGAGCTATGGGTTTGTGGAGCCTGGAAACCTAGTGGGGAAGCAAGATCTGCTGGAGTGTCAACTTTGTGAGCCTTTTTATCCTATGGTCAGATTGTGTATATGTGTAAACAAAGCCATATATCCTTAATACATCAAAGTCTCAATTGACCTTCATTCCAAAGAAACCAAATCCTGGCTTAATGCTGGAACCCCTTGAGTCACATGCTCCTCAGAGACTGGGGTGCACACAATCCTATAAATAAGCAATGATAACTTGTTTAGAGCCCCCCCCTGGTGATTTCTTGTCTGATTGGACAGCACTCACCCTGGAAGAAGCATGAAGTTAAGCCTGTCAGCTCTGTCTCGCTCTGCTTTGTACAGCTCAGTTCTCTCTTCTACCAGGTGCTCCAGGTTCCGTGAATACAGCTGCAGGCGTCGGATTAAGGTGTCCATGTAGCTTTCATTGGTTTGGCTGTGGTAGTTGCTGGGAATGTTATAAGGACAAGGATGAATTTGAAGGCTGACAACACAAGGAAATTCATGTACATGACACCAGTGTATGGCTGCCATGTGGCCAGAGTGGAAATCTGCCAGACTTCTCCCTCTGAACTATCATTCTGGTTTAGCAGAACTTTTTTCTATCAAAGTAAATCACTTTCATACCTAAATATCTTAGCCAAGGTAGTCTCAATTTTCTTAAAATCTGGTCTCTTCTCTGGGTCTTCCTCCCAGCAGCTTTCCACGAGGAGATATACCTAGGGATGCACAATCCAATACAGGACTACTTTAGATATTTTGGTTTCCATGATGAAAACTAAAATAGTGCTCCCCCACCACATAATCCTTAGCAACCCAAACTGCCTTCAAAGACTATGTTGTAACAATATCCAACCTTCTTCCCACCATTTTCATAACTCAATCAGCCACTCTCTGGAGCACCAAGTTCCACCCCTTATTTTTGCAAGCTCAGGTAGACATGCCCTTTCCAGGTGTAATGGGTTGCTGCTGGTCACCTATTCCAGATTCTGCTCATGTCCAGTTTTAATCCAGTTTTTCCTTTGCCATGGAAAATCTGATTAGTAAAATAACTCATTTTACATCTGCAGTCACTCCTGGTATGGAAGCTTGTTAGTGTGTTTTATTTATTTATTATGGTAAGCAGTTTGTAATGTGTGTGGTGAAGTTTCAGTGGGTGATCTCCATAACCACACCTATATCTCTTTTTGATCCTCACCTAAGCACAAACTATACCATTTTTTTCTGGTGGCCCATCAATACCAAAAGGGGGGGGGGATCCTATTTTCACCAGTTGCCAGATGCCCTGTTCAAAGTATTGTAGATATTAATAATGTGCAGCTTGAAGCAACTGGATGCATAAAAACTTACTCCTTTCGGACTAAACTGTTGTCCAGACCCATTAGTTTGATTCAAGCTTTACTTACAAAATTTTATTCAAAACAGAACAAAACATAAAAGATACACCCAAATAGTCCCATACAATATCTTGTACATGTCCAGCACAGGCTCAGCATTTATAAGAAATAAAATGTAATTCCAAACAGACCTAGAAGGCCTCCCTCTCCTTACAGCTTCCATTTTGCCTGGAGCTGTAGTCCCTCTTGGAAAGGTTCATTTGTACATCCTCACTCCTAGAGAGCCTAAAAGGAGATTTGAACCCAAATACCTTTGCCACATGATCAAAGGCACACACTCCATTTAAGAGCAGACAACAAAGCAATGCAGACATCGTATTATTATTATTATTATTATTAATAATAATAATAATAACAACAACAACAATATAGAGGTCTTGCACAATACTTCTTTATCAGTCTTATGCAAGGCCTTAGCCTTAAATTTAAAGCAAACAGAAACAGAAATTGCCCCACCATCACAAAAAAAGGACACACCTCTTTTCTGCCAGTTGTGAAACATGTTAACTAAACTGGTTGGATAACTGGTAATTTTTGCTCTTGATCACTTCCCAGATTTTCCCTAGCACTTTTTCAGTCAATCAGAATGCAGGTCACACTTGCCAGGTAATCAGTGTTATCTAAGTTAACCTATAGCACCCCTCCCTCCCCGATACCATACCCACTCCAAACTGTTAAAATAACCAGCAGCTAAGTCAGGAGCTATTATGATGTATGAAAGCTCATTACATTGGCTTCTGTGCATTGGGATTGTTAATAGGAGATGTTAATGTGGTGTAAAGGCAAAACACTGGAAGAAAAAAAGTTGATTACACTCCTCTCTGTCAAACTTGCTAGTTTTAACCTGTGCATGCCGTGGGCATAACCTCTTACTATTCAGTTGAGCTTGGCTTTCTTTCAACATGGCCTTACCTCTTGCTTTTTCTCCCCCTCTGAATGCAATAGAAGATCCGGCCGGAAAGGTCTTGCTCCTTTATTGCTTTCTACTCTGCAAAGTTTCTCTAAAACAGGAGAGGGGAAAAGATATACAGAACAATTCAGCACATGAAGAAGACACTTTAACACAAGAAGCAGAGCTTTTCTAGGCAAGCAGATTGTGTCAAGGTTGTATTATATAAAACAAGATGGGCTTAGACCAAAATCCTAGATCTGAATGAACACACTCATTCTTTGATAAAGGTCTGCATATGGTGGTTTTTCGATTTGTGAGACATGCGAAATTAAGAGTGCCTACTGGGGTGAACTGACAGGTTGAGGAAGATATCTGCATTTCTTCGGCACGGCACCAAGATAAGATGCAAGATGAAAAAGAGGAAAAAGAATCTACATCCCCCATTTCTCCCTCCCTCTGCCCAGCCATCTCACATCCTGGGTGTCCCACCACATTCCTGTTACAAGTATTTGAACATTTGTGGTCAAGCAAGGTTCTTATCCCCATGTTGGAAAGTCTAAGTAGATTTCTAATTAACATGCTCCACAGGTAGAAATCCAACATGAAAGCAAGGCAGCTTCCTTTAAACTAAAGGCCAGAGCACATGGGCAGGGCATTGGCCTAGTGCATGCAGCCTCAATGAAGGGGCAAGGCTTGGCCCATGCTCTTTCATTGCCCCTTCATATGTTCAAACTTTCCCCAGGAAAAATTGCATTTTACTGCTGAATGGCAAATGCAAATGGCAATCCCTGGAAAACCTGTCATCAAGCCTTTTCATTACGTACAATGTTTACCTTTATGATCCCGACAATTGTCAGTGTAGAAGGTCTCCTTACGCAGTATGATCTCTTGTGCTATAATTCCAAAGCTGTACACATCGCCTTTCTGAGATATGTCACCATGGCGGAGGTGTTCAGGAGCAGTCCAGAGATCTGAGGAGCAGGAAGAGTGTGTGTGTGACAGAAACAAGCGGATGAAATTGGTCAACAATTGTCTACTGCTTTGGGGGCTCAGCGAAAAGCAATTTACGAAATTTATGAAATGAACTAAAACCAAACAAAACACTGGCATCGGTAGGGTTGGCCCAACACATTTTACTTCCTGAGACAAAGGAGAATGGCTGGCCATGCATCTCAGAAGAAATGGTTGGGCAACATTTGTCACCACAAGCTGTTGCCTCAGTCGGCCCAATTGTAGGGTTGGCCCTGGGCACAGGCATATCTTCCAATTTCAGCTGTTTCTGATCCTCATGCAGATGGCATCAGAAATCACATCATACCACTGTTGGATTCTCATAGCTACACTACTGCTTCAAGCTGTGGTGCTGTGTGGCTTAGCGGAGGCAGTTGGGGGGGAAATATAGTCATACCGTAACTATAGTGCTATACTGAAGTAACAGAATATTAATGCCACATTTCCCGACAGTTCTCCTATAAAATGCAGTCAGCCTACAAATATTCATGAGGAATTCCCGAGTGAGGAATTCATCTTCCTTGTGTACCTTTTTTTGGTGGAAGAATAGAATTGCAGCCATAATCGGTTATCTTCACAACCATGCGGTTATCCACAACACAGTTTGTAGATTTCAGGCGGCCATGAAGCTCTGTTTTGCTGGAATGCAGGTAGGACATTCCCTAGGATATGAAGAGAGACAAAAAAACCCACAAGTGTCTGCTTAATTTTAGTGTCTGCCCCAAGTTTCCTAGGGAGGGGGAATGACTGTTTTATCTGGCTGCGGCAGAGGAAGTCGGAGGACTGAAGGACCATTTCCATCAGCTCTGCTGAGAGATCAGCTCCACCAAGCTCTTCCCTCCGGCAACTGTCACCCGGCAGTCATTCCGTGAGGCTGCAGCAGCAACAGAATTAGTAACACAGGCCCACCCCATTGGCTCTGCTGAGAGAGGAACATCAGGCTCCCCCATCCTTATGAGGAACGGTTGTAGGAGCTGAGTATATGTAGCCTGGAAAAGAGGAGACTGAGAGGGAGATATGATAGCCATCTACCAATATATCAAGGGCTGTCACATGGAAGATGGAGATAGCTTATTTTCTCCTGCTCCGGAGGGTAGGACTTGAACCAATGGATTCAAGTTACAAGAAAGGAGATTCCAACTGAACATAAGGAAGAACTTTTTGATGGTAAGAGTTGTTAAACAGAGGAATGGACTCCCTTGGAAGGTGATGGACTCTCCTTCCTTGGAAGCAGAGGTTGGATGACCATCTGTCATGGATGCTTTAGTTGAGATTCCTGCATCAAAGGGGGTGGGACTAGAATGACCCTTGGGGTCCCTTTCATCTCTACAATTCTATTGTAGTATGATCTGAAGCAACCAACCTGATTGTCTTTCCACCACAGAGACAACGTATTTCCCTATTTCTCTTCAGCGTTCTCTCCATTTAAAAAATAAATAAAAATAAAAATTGGAAGCTGTACACTCACTCCTCCTTAGTTTTTTGGGAGGGGAAAAATATGCATATGCCAATAGGCAATAAAAATGGAAAAACAAGCAAAACACCACATTTTTAGGAGGAAATGAAAACAAGTCTGACTTGCACTTACAGCTTCTTGTTTTTCCTGACACACCCTCTCTTCTGGCATTTTTGACACGCTGAGAGGGCTAAACTACATGGATTGCACCATCCACCCCCCACAGAAAGCCATATGTGATAGAAGCTGGCTGAGTGAAAGCCTATTTCTTCATTAGGTCTGGTGGATCTTTTCTATGTTTGATAGGCTGAGAGGATACAGAAACGTTTTACCTCTCTTCCCTTATTCTGGAAGAGTACACTCTGTCAGAGTTTTCAGAGAGGAAGCTTAAAGCAGCCTTTACTTAAATCAATGTGTAATGCAAATGTGTAACCTGCATTAGTGGCCACAAATTCTTTTGAATTGCAGAAGCCTCTCTCCCGCAAGAGATGTTCTAAGCCAAGTTAAACAGCAGGCAAATATGGGGTTGGGGACCCCACAGTTCTTTGTGTTTATCATCTTGCACCATGGTTCTGATTATGTTTCTTCCAGGGAATACTTCTGCCATGTTCCAGCTGAAGGTTGGGACACTCAGCTGACTGATCTTAAAATGAGGTGTCAAATGTCTGCCTTAGAACTGAAGTATAGGCAGATGCTGTTAGAAATGCCCATCTTTGCCTCACATCCAAGCACTGACTGGAAGGATTAACTCAGAATCAGGAGGAGAAGGATAGCAACAGACACTGTTCCCTTCTGTTGTGAGGCAGAGACCTTGTAGTCTGAGTTCACAGTGAAGACCCAGCGGCTCAAACTTCTGTCCTAAACGTGCATCAAAGAAGTGTCAGAGACTAGAACGTTCAGTAACCGCTGTGTCTTAGCCTGCAGTTATTTGCCCTACAAAGAATGTAAACAAGCGTGCAGATTCTGCAGAGGTGTCCAGATCCAAAGTAAGCCAGAATCCATAAATAATATATATATATTTTGCTAATAATGTGAGAAACAAATGGAACTGATCAGACTGACCCTACCTGACAGTACCTTCTGATCATAAAATGAGCTAATGTTTGATTAACATCTTCTGCAGAGACCCGTCTCCAGGTCCCCTGTTGGAGCTGTATTGCATTCTGGGACCCCAACTTCACCATTTCTGCTGTGGCACCCCAACTTTGCAGTTTCCTCCCCAAGGAGGCAAGTTTTTTTATTTTGGAAATTTTTAAATAAAATTTGAGAGAAAGGAATACACTTTACAGCACCAGCTGAAGATCTTCCTATATGCACAGGCAGATGTAGATTTTAAATTATTTCTCTTTGTTCTAGTTTGTTCTTTAGTTGTTCAGCTTATTGGGATTTTTAAATTTCCTTTAAATTTGTTGATTTTTTAATGCTTGTTCACTAGTTTTAAATTTTTAAGTTTTAAATTAATTTGTATTTATGGGTTGTGTGTGAATTACTATTTATTCACAATGTTGTATACCACGCTGTAATATTTTGATATTTGATATTTTGAAGGGTAGTTAAAAAAATGTAAAACAAATAATTAACTTCATAATAATATGTTACTACATAGAAATAGGCCCAGGACACTATTTTACATGTGTACCAAAGTAGAAAACATTTTGAACTCCAGAATCAGGTTTGCATAGACATATACAGTATAGGGCCTAGTTCTCACTGAAGTTGTAAACCTGGGTCACCTATATCTGTTGGCATGTGGGGGCTCACATGAGCAAAAGGGTGATTAAAATTCCCATGCATGAAATTCATACCTTTAAAAGCACTAAAGGTAAAGGTAACTTTTATCTTCAGCTGCAGCATTGTGGATGCACAGTAAGGCCTTCTTAATTTGTGGCTCATTTTGAATTTCTTTCCACTTTAGCTGAAAAGCCTTTTCCTACTGAGAGCGTTATTTTTACATTTCTAAAAAAAATGGTAACCACAATCTCAGTTTCTTAAATAAAGTTCACTCTTTCATTTAGGTGCAGTATTATTATTATTTTCTCTCTCATTTCAGCAAAATGTCAGAATTTAACAAGCATTAAGTGTCCCAGCTCTCAACAGGAAAAAAAAAATCAGATTTCCTATTGAAGGGCAAATAGTACTTATAGAATCCTGTTGTTAGACATTTCAGCAAAATACCTTATATCCCATCATTCACTCAAGGCAAGATTATGCCTCATTAAGTTCCTCATTGCCATCCATCTACTTACTTTTGCAATATCATACATGACAGAAATCTTAAATTCCCAGTCCATGAAGGTGCCATCTGGGTAGGAGATTTTATCATTCAAGACATCCTGAGATGAAAAGATGACAAAGAAGCTGTGGTAAGAATCTTCTCTAAAAACAAAGGAAGTAGTGTTGTTTCATTTTTAAAAAAAAAATCCAAAATTCATACGTGGTAGCTAATTAGAACCAACCAACATGTCACAAAATAGTGAGCAATCTTTTGAGCCCTCCAGAACTATTCATCAGGCTAACTAGTAAACAAAAGGGTGTGACGGGTTGCAGGATAGAAAAGCTGGCTTAATGTTGAAGCCACAAAGGGCTCATTCAAACTTCTGCTTGTCCTGTGCCTAAAAAGGAAGGGGCTGAGTGGTTTTGCCTTTGCCCCACCGCCTTCCCCTGGAAAACTCGTTCTTTAGCAATAAATTGGAACAAATGGCAATCATTGGAAAGCCCAATTGCTGTTTATAGCAATTCAGTGCTAAAGATTGTGTTTCTCCAGTTGCAATATTGATGGTAGTACTGAGAAACTTACAAGACCAAGAGCAACACAAACTACCCTTCTTCCCCACTGCCTATTTCTGGCCCCAGCAAGGACTTGTCTTTAGATGTGATGGGTTATCACCTGTCTTTGTACAAACTGATGAGTGAGCTACAGAGCTAATTACCCGCAATGATCCTCTCTCGCAGTATTCAATCACTCCATAGATCATCGTGTCCATCTTGACAGTTCCGTAGAACTTAGTGAGATTGTAATAGTCAATCTGAAGGAGCTAGGACAAAAATAATGGGCATGTTAGAAGCAGAATGATGACGTGGAAAATTAGATACAGTGGTATGGGAATATGATGTCCTCCTATGCTGCTTGGTATGGGAATATGATGTCCTCCTATGCTGCTATGCTATTGTTCAGCTACTATCACTCAGTGCTTTCCAGTTCAAAAGTGTATGCCAGGAGTCAGCAACCTTTTTCAGCCGTGGGCGGTTCCACCAACCCTCAGACCATGTGGTGGGCCGGACTTTGAAAAAAAAAATGAACAAATTTCTATGCCCCACAAATAACCTAGAGATGCATTTTAAATAAAAGCACACATTCTACTCATGTAAAAACACACTGATTCCCGGACCATCCGCAGGCTGGATTGAGAAAGCAACTGGGCCGCATCCAGCCCCTGGGCCTTAGGTTGCCTACCCCTGGTGTATGCCAATGCCCGCAGGGTTACATTGAATAAGTTCTGAAAAATGAGCTTTCTACATTGCCTCTGCAGTGAGATCTGGCACACTGAAGAAGGCTTATTGGAAAAGGAAGCGCTTAACATCTGCACTATGAAAGAAATAAGAAGAAAGAAAATTGTGGTCTACATTTTTCAGTGGATATGCTGTGGTTGTGGGTTTAGTGTTTACCTTGTTTAGGTCTATTCTCTGTTTCTCTGTAAAATTCCCATCATTGTGCTTTAAATCCTTCAGGATTATCACCTGGAAAATCAAAAGGGTTGGTAGGAATGAATAGCAGCATCACAGTAATCCATGTATTGTACAATGTCATGAGAGGTCTGGATATGTAGGTTATATTTTAGAAATACATTTACATGAAATGTTACATTACTTAACCATTGATGGGGAAATGGGCACCATTATCCTTTGCAAGGGTTGTGATATGATCTAAGTGCAATGAGAATCCTTTATACGTACAAAGAGGTAACAAGAGAAGAACTAGGTGAACAAAACATTTCATCAGTCAGCTTTATCCAGTTCAGGTCCACACGGAGGCTCCCCACCCCCTGCAAATGGGCTTTTCAGATACACTTTCTCCTTTTGGCATGCACATTGCGCAAATGACTCAAGTAAGTCCACTCCTGTTTTCTGAGTTACTATATTCATTGCTCTTCCACCGCTTGTCATCTATATGAGTTGGTAGAGCTTGGTGGAAAATATCCCAAGTGTTTATTATTGTCCCTTCCCTCAATCACTCCTTCCCTGCCTTCTTTATGGGCACGAGCTCAGGTATTTCTGTAACTGTGTAAGCACCTATTTTAAAAAACAAAAACCACAAAATTCCCAGTAGTGCACAAGACTACAAAAGCAAATGGGGCCAACCTAAGCAATTATGCTTCACAATATGCAAATTGATATTTTTAGGAGGGGGGGTATCCATTTCCAGTTGTTTGTTTATTTTAATCTTCAATAATGGAGGTCTTGCACAAGACTGATATTTGCCTACCTCTCTGCAATTGTGTGCAAGTCCTCCCAATATCCACCCAAACCTCAATACCTCAATGAGACCTCCTTACCCCATAATGTGCAACTGCTCCAGTTGCTCTTCAGTGATGATTATTTTATTTACAGGAATAATTATATTTCTTTTGGCTGCATCATAGTTCAATTGAGCTGATGTGGAGGGCAACAGAACTAATCACAGTGAGAGATAGGTAGTGGTAGCTTGCTTCTTGGGCAGCAATCCTGATCTCAATTACCTGGCAGTAACCCCCTTAGAATGAAATAGGATTTACTTCTGAGGACACATAGCTAGGATAGCAGCCTTAGAAGGCTGGATGGACCAAGAGCACAAAACGTTACACTTCAAACATGTGAAGCTGAAAGGAATTGGAAGGAAGGAAGGAAGGAAGGAAGGAAGGAAGGAAGGAAGGAAGGAAAGAAAGAAATTTGTGACAATATTCTTGAAAAAGCAAGATCAGGCAACCAGGAGACCCTTTTATCCTTCTCGAACAGCCTTTAAACTGCTGGAGTTGTACTGCCTGTACCTCCCGACACCTAGTTACTTCATTTTCTTATCCAACAGGCCACATATATAGACACACATATTTCACAGCTGTACCCCTCCACCCCCTGCCTCACCCACAATTCCTTCTGCCTAGATACAGTGAGAAATAATTGTGATGGGAGCAAAATAAAACAACAGAAACCATCCATGGCTGGACTTGAACCACCAACCTTTTTGGTTAACAGCCAAATGTAGCAAAGCACTACAGACGCTTGCAGGAAGCTATCATGGAAAGTCAGACGATCTAATCCTCTCTCATGAAGTAGACCAGGAAAGCTTAAGTCACAACTATTCAAATTGTTCTTTTAGAATATAAAATGTCTCTGATGGGTCTGATGACTTAATTGTTATCTGTCCATTTGGTTGGTATTTTCTGAAAATGAATCCGAACTCTTTTTGTGCTAGGAAAGAGCAGCACTTCTCCTCTTGCCGCAACTCCCATTTCAGGGAGCTTGGCAAGCACCCTCTCCTCCTGCAATTCTTACCCCTCTCTGTGTTCTTAGGCTACCCTTAACCTCATTGCTTCCACATTCCTGTCTCCCTTCACTGCCAATCCCTCTTTATATATTTTGTCTGCTGGATCCTATTTATATTTTTAAAATTTTAATACATAGGCTTTGTTTAAGAACAGTGCTGTGCAAAACAGAGACTTGCTGCCCTGTTCAGTAATCTAGTCCTCGTCAAAATGGCCTCAACCTTCATCATTGTAAAAAAATAAATCAACTGCAAGGCCAAGTATAGATAATTTCAACAGTTCTGCAGCCTTTCCAGGGACTACCTAAATAGAGCAGATAGACCAAAAATGGTTGGCACACCACAGTTTAAGAACCTCTGCTCTATTGTATCCCTGTGGTTTGCAAGTAACTGGGAATGAGCATGAAATGGCACCTTATCTTGTACAAGATCATTTCCAGAGGAGAAAAGCAGAGATGCTGGAGTAAATGTACCTTCTTGTCATATTTGCCTTGACGCAGCCTCTGGCTGGTGTCACGCCTTGTGTCGTCATCAATCTGAGAATCAAAGAAGGCTTATTTAGCTGACTTCAGGAATGCATAGTTTTAGCGTAGTTTTAGATTCAGAACAGCAGGGTCCCTTCATGATGGTCACAGCCACATTCTTTCTAATATTATACAATAACCTTATAATTACACAATAATAACCATTAGGGGTGCATTGAATTAATCAATGCAGGTGCCCTTGTGTTGCCTTTCAGCTAGATCTACTGCTTCTGTGCACATTATATAGACAAATTCTTTTGAATGCTCCAATATCATATTTCAGAGTGACTTGTTATGCTTTCCTTGAAGTTCTATGGTACTTAGCAGCACTTGCACACCATTCTCTTGAAACTAAGCATCTTGTGTTTTCTGTGTTCCTAAATGCTTGGCTTTCGAGCATATAGTGGCTGTAAAGCTCCCGTTTCATGCAGATTAGGTGGTTCTAAGATGCTGGTGACAAGGACCTTGCTGCAGAAATAGCAGGTCTTCCACCCACTGCAACCTCAGATTACAACACCACAGGTAATATATCCCATCCTGGTGTGTGCAAGAAAAATATAATTTAGCACCTATGTTTCCCGCAATTTGTAAGGGCATCAGACTCAAATATACTTCTCCAATCATGAGTTGTGTTGTGGTCCTTTGCGCTTGAAGAGATTTTAAACAATACATGCATACTCGCTTACCATTTCGAACTCACAGTTCATAATTTTCTCTGCTGTGGGGTAGAAGACTGTATTTCTAAGCATTTAGATCATGCCATTTAATGTCTGGGAAAAGCTTGTTCCTTCCTCACTCCACTCCAGTAAAATAAATAATTGTAAGAGTAGCAGAATTGTGAATGTTATTTGGAATGTAAGTCATGTAAGATCACAGACATCTACTAAATATTGTTACTGTGGGTGCAAGAAACCCTAAATTCCAGATCAAGTTAGTGTTAGAATTTAATTAAGGTTGGGGTGTTAGAACTGGGAAATAACCAGACTCACGTGTGTTAAAGATGTGTATTTGACCTGTGTACTAGACGCTTCTAATCATTTAATTAGCATGTGTGAAAGCAAATTATGCTGGGCAAATTTACTAAATTGTGTATTAGGTACTTCTTAATCCAAGGAAATCAACCTGAGTTGAAAGGAAATTGAGTCAGCCTAATTTCCTCTGAGGTAATGGCTTGGGGGGATAATGATCAATTAGCACATCAAAAGTGTGGCACCCCTCCCTGAGTTAGAAAAGCGAGACCATGAAAACTTAGTAGGAACTGTGTGATGTAAGCGGACAGGAGGAAGTTAGAGAGACATGGCTGATTTGCTGCTGGGCCGCAAGACTACAGTGAGGAGAGAAACAGAAAACTCTTGAAATGTAAAGCTTTGAACCACCTCCATCTAGGCTCAAGTTGTACAGAGATGGCACACTTATTTTTTCTCCAGCTATTCTCCCTCTCACCTTCCATCCTAGCCAATGTGAGGCCATACACAGAGATTAGGATATCAAGAGTTTTCTAGATAGCGTCTATGGTTCCAACATCATGGTTTACTATGTTCAGGAGGCACCCAGTACCATTTTATTGTGAAGGAGAACATGTGCCATAGACGACTGCTGTTTCCTACCTTCAGACTAACATGACTTGTCTCGTTAGTCTCCAGAGGAACAATCTTGTCAGATGGGATGTGGGACCATTTTTTCTGGAGTTCAATGGCTCTTCTATATTTCCTGTACATCAGAAAGACAGGTATACTTGCAGTAATTTTTGAAGCATTTGAATCTGGAATTAGGTGCCGTGGACAGGCACGACATTTTAAGAACTTCAGACGCTAGTTGTCTGATAATGAATGGAAATATTGACCTTTTTGACGAGTCAGTTTGAGTCAAGCTGAAAGCAGACTTCTTAGAAGTACCGTAACCTTAAAGTGTGCACTGACCTCAAGCCAGTATCAAAACTCCCAATGACTAAACTGCTACAACTCAAAGATGGGATGCAGATATTCCATTACTGAAGTTTATCTGCTAGCATGCGTCAGGTGGAGGGGGAAAGGGAAGGAGAGAATGAGAAGGAACCTTTTTGACCAAGTAGGTGACATAGTCAAAGCAGCAAATCCACCACAGGGGGCTTGAACAGCTGGGAGAGCAAGGGGTGCCAGAGCTTATGCAATTTAGCTCATCTATGTGGGTGGTGCTGTGGGTTAAACCACAGAGCCTAGGGCTTGCCGATCAGAAGGTCGGCAGTTTGAATCCCCGCGACGGGGTGAGCTGCCGTTGCTCGGTCCCTGCTCCTGCCAACCTAGCAGTTCAAAAGCACAAAGTGCAAGTAGATAAATAGGTACTGCTCTGGCGGGAAGGTAAACGGCGTTTCTGTGCGCTGCTCTGGTTCACCAGAAGCGGCTTAGTCATGCTGGCCACATGACCCGGAAGCTGTATGCCGGCTCCCTCCGCCAGCAAAGTGAGATGAGCGCCACAACCCCAGTGTCGTCTGCAACTGGACCTAACGGTCAGGGGTCCCTTTACCTTTATGCTAGTTGACCTTTGTACAGAGACTTCAAGAGCGTAAATTTCAGAAAGAATTTGTGGACTTAGGTCAAGGAAGGACAGAGGAAGAGGAAATGAGGACTGTACCTCAGTAGCAGCAGAGCGATGATCAGAACTACCACCACAACCCCAGCAAGTGTGAAAACAGCTATTGTCAGAATGTGCGGCCCTGTAAAAGTGAGAAATGGGAAATCAGACAAACTTAAGAAGAAAGTTCCGGGTAATCAAGAGTGTAATTAACCCTTCTTTGTGTGCCTCCTCCATCCGAGGTCTGGAGGGTGGCAATACGGAAACGGGCCTTTTCGGCAGTGGCTCCCCATTTGCGTAATGCTCTTCCCAGGGAGGTTTGTCTGGTGCCTTCATCATATATTTTTAGGCGTCAGGCAAAAATGTTCCTTTTTAATCAGGCCTTTGGCTGATTAATATCCTACAGCCTTTTAAATGTGTTTGTGGGAAGGGCGAAGCTATAGTTTTGTTGTTTTTGTTTTAACTATTAACTGTGTTTTTACCTTGTTTTTATTCTGTGACCCACCCTGAGATCTTGTGAAGGGCAGTATATAAATAGAATAAAAATAATAAATAAATAAAATAAAATAAAATAAATAATACCTGCATCCCTCTGCCTCAGGAATTCAGAGACAAACCTAAAGACTCTCAGTTGACATCTCATTAGATAAAGGCCTGTCTAACCCTCTTGAATTAAGAGCGACATAAGCTGATCAGCAGGTGGGCATGATTTTTGAAAAATGTCCTTCTTTGCCAAATTTGACCCAAAGGTTGGCCTGTGGGCTGGAGTTGCCCTACCCTTGGTTTATAATATCAGTCTGAATGGATGCCTGCCAGCCATTATCCCCTATTATTAACAGCTATGCATGTTATTACTATTGGTCTTCTATTTGAAGCTTCCCTCAAAGGGTGGTTTATAACAATATATTAAAATACACAAATCAATACAACAACCTTAAAACCAATAATATAAAGCAAATATCAAAACAAAACATCAAAAAGATAAACCATACATTCAGACAATCCAGCAGCAATCTATCTTTTACATCAGCCAAAACCATAAACACCGAAAAATAAATTCATCTTATGCTGATGCCTAAAAGTAGGGTAGAAAACAGGGAGCTCACTTCTGTCCCCTTCAGAATGGCCAGGAGTACCTCCTGCTTTCCTAAATGAGGCATTAACCACACCCTGAATCCATCCTGTCAGACAATCCTAGCTAACTTTTATTAGCCATGATGGGCAAGGTTCAGGAGAAGTGGTAGTAGGCTAGACACTGTCTGCATCTTCAGGCTGTAACAACTGAAACTGATCCCCACAAACCAGGACAAGGCGGTGCTCTGAACACTTTTACCTCACATGTGCTGGAAGGAATATACAAAAATGTGCAGTGTAATTTTATAGATGTCAGAAGCGAGCTTTGTGGAAGACTTGCCTTGTGCCTTCATTACATATCTTTAGGTGCTGGGGAAAACTTTCCTCTTCTCCCTGGCCTCTGGCTAATTAAACAATCTATGGCCTTTTAAACTGGGCAGAGGGTAATAGTTTTGTTTCCCATTATGTTATGTATTTTTTGTTTTTATACTGTAAACCACCCTGTAATCCTCAGATGAAGGGTGGTATATAAATTTAACAAATAAAATAAGCTCCATTGAGTTAAGCGTGGACAGGTCTGCAATCCTGTATTGTTTCCTAGGAGTAAACCCTATTAAATGCAATGGGATTTACTTGCACATGTATAGACTGCATTGTTAACCTTTGAAAAAATTAAGCCTGTACAGTCTAGGCCTAATGATTTCCACTAAACTCTTTTGAAAATGCTTGCAGCAACTACTTGGCAAACACTTGACCTTTGGTTTTTTTGGCATATGCCCATGTTTTCCATCTACCTCTTCACCGAAGGCCAATCTTATTTTCTCCTTAATTCTCTGACAACAAGGTCATCCTTGTCAGAACACCCGGGCTGGCTGATCCTACTCAGAAAGCAGGACATTGGGTCACCAATAAATAAATCAGTTAGCAAGCAAATGTCTTTGGCAAGTTACAAGATGGTTTTCTGCCCTGCACCTTGGGCTGAGTGACAAAAGGCTAAATAGCTCCAAGCACACTTTAAACAAATTACAAGCTGATGTCTGGAATTTAGAAATTGGATGACATATTTATATTTCTGAGGTTCTGCTGCCCTCTAGTGGTTTCAGTCATCCCCTCATGAAAAAGAAGAGCTTTCACAAGACTTTCTCTCACCCTCCACGTTTTTGCACCCAATTTAAAGAAAAATATTCAGGTTTCTGCCTTGCACATTGTTACTGTGATACATGACACTATATTTCTGAATTTGAGATGAAATTTATGAAAGGGCACTTAATAACTTTTGAATTAAACAAGGTATTGAAAAATAGAAACATTATGTTCTCTACAATATGCTCAGGTTTTCATTGTTCTTTTTCTTTTGTATTGCATCCTCTACTTCATTTCAATTTAACATCTAGTCTGATAAGAAATACAATAACATTTGCAGCCAAAAACAAAGAAACCCCCTTTACAGCCAAGGCATTTCATTATGTAGTTTGATTTGGATATAGAAAGAACAATGTCTAGGTAAATTAAGAAATCATGCTTTTAGAATTTGGAAAAAAAAAATTACCAAGCTGAACCTATGCTGAAAGTTTGAGACATTGTATTCTAGCTAGGCAGCACCATATTTACTCTCTGGTCAACTTCTACACCTGAGGCGTCATATACTTTTAACAGTCACAGTATATTGATATACCATTAGGGTAATTTATTCTTGCCAAGGGTGTGTTAAACATTCAATATCTATGTCTTTTATCTCAACAGTAGCAAAAACTGCTGTTGGAAATGGGAGAACATTTCTGGCATTAATGGGAATTGCATCATACAATCTGTGAGCTCACAAGCAATTGTGGGGGAGACAAACAATTGGAGAATTCACACCACACAGTGCTACAATGGGAAGCTGCTGAGCTCTGAGGCTAGATGTGTAAATCTCTGCTTAAGTGCTTTAGTACATTTGCCCTAGTTTACAAATTCCTAACATCTGGGGCCAGGTGAATAGGAAACTGCTCATTTAGCTCCAAACTTGAGTGGTACAATACAGGACAGGGGGTATATTTAACTGCTTCCCTGTGGTGTATGGGAGAGTTGGGGAGCAAGATTTGGGCCAAATGATCTGGGTCAAATGATAAAGAAGGGATTAGTGTAAGTGGGTGAATTATTTACCATGCAAGAATGATAAGTAAGGTGGATGGGGACACTGGGAATCCTGCAAATCAAGTAAACTCAGAATGGGCATCAGCACTGACATATTCAGTCTTTTTGAACTGTATGCTCTCAGAAAATACTCCCATGTCGGGTACTGCTGCATACATTGAAGATTGTTTAAGTTGACAAGTTGATTCAGAACTCGGCATTCAAAGAACAAAAAAAGACAGGTTTGGATTTTTTTTTTAAGGTAAATTATTGGTTTTACTACCAGCCTAATGGTTCCTGTGTTCAAACTGGATGTACAAGTCTCATTGATTCTGTGCAAGTCCCCTTCGCAAGAACTAGATTGTCTCACCAGTGCCAGGAATATCACTAGGCAGGGTGTGTTTTTTCCAGATGAATGATGGTTTGTCCGTCTTTGGTACAGTCTCATTCAGATGAGTGTCAAACCGTAGGAGGGCCTTGTACTAGAATGAGAAAATAGAGGAAGGTTTTAGCCTGAAACTCCTTTTCCCAAGAAAACTGATGGATGTGAATATAATGTCAGCCAAGAACCTCAGTCACTCTCCCCACACTTTTCATCCCTCCATCCTGGATCCCCTGCATCTCCACCATATTGAGCTGGTTTTGGTTGGCTTGTTAACAGAGTCTCTTTGCTCCTTTTTTCACACAAGCTGAGATTGAATCAGGAAGCTTCTAATTAACCATGGCATCCCATTTTACCTGAACCCTGGTTTAATATCCTGGGTTGTCCCATAGCCGGTAACCATAGAGTCACCAGGGGAGATTTCCCTCCTTTTTCCTGTATGCATTTATCCCTCACATTATTTTCCTTCACTCAAAATAGATTGCTTTCATCGACTATCACTCTGCTCATGCTAGGTAATAACAGCACTTTTCAACTCTGTGGGCCAAACTAGAAATGAAAGCATTCACACAATTTAGTAATTGCAAAAATTATTTCCCAGCAACAAACAGCATCCATGGCGGAATGGGGACTTCCATCAGGACCACGGCATGAGCTTTATCCCATTTACATTGCTGTGGCCCTTAAACTCTCCATCTCCAGCTACTTTTTGCATCTGGTTAAATGCTCCCCCACTGTTGTCAAACTTGACTGCTATTTACTTTTAAAAGATTATTTGCATGATTACTAATTGCATGCATTAACAACATGTCTGTTTTGGTGCTGTGCCTACAAGACTGAATGGGATGGAGCTAGATAGATAGCGATATATAAATATAATTCAAGAAGTGTGCCCATTAGCTCTGAGTAGGAGGTACATAAAGCCTCCAAATCCATTTTTTGAAAGGTAAATATAGGAGAAACCCTTTTTGGAATAACAGAGGGCAAGGAGAAATACAAACTGGCACAGTTAGGCAAGGGGAAAGCTACTGAAGTGTTTTCCGGTGCGCCATCTAATAGCTGCCTTTGACGCTAACCAACCACTTCCCTGCACCGAAAACCTTCAACAGTTCCTTGGGTTACTTGCAACTCCAGCTAGAGGCATGGTTTGGCCCTATACTTACTTCTAAATTATTTGTCGTGTACATAAGGGTGAGATTGACATCAACATCCCCAAATTTATCCAGGACTACAGGACCAAGAATACCTGTAAAGAGAAAAATAATAATCAAAGCCTGATAATTTTCCCTGAACATGACAGGCAAGCCAGCAGCCCAATATTCACCATTCATCTCACAGCACCTCTGTTGTACTGATAATATTCAATAAGAAGAATGAGACTAGTGAGGACACACTTTTGAAACACTTTGTTAAGGACAAATTTCGATCTCAATTTCTGTAGGCAGAGCAGAGCATCAGAAGCCACAGCCTGGAAGAGATATTAGATAAGGCTGGAAAAACATGGCAAATGCAACAGGAAGTGGGAATTGAAGATACAGAACTTGGTGCAGACAAATAGATACATAGTAAGAAAAGCATTGTGGAATATTATCTCAATATATGATCAGAACAGAGAGACTCTTATATGTGTAAAGAGGGAAAGATTTACCATTATTCAATATGGAGGCAGGGTTGTTGGAGGTAAAGCTGATACATTTAATTAGAGAAAAACTATTGCTGACATTTATCAATATTTTTAACCCCTTTTGGGTCTTTTTACTGAAATCATTCTGGTTTTGCTTCCAGTAATCTACTGTATTGCCTTGCCCATTAATGAGAATGGGATTAATAAGAGAAACACATATGTGATTACCTTTAAAAGTAACATTCCGAAACTGGCTGTTGAAGCTAGTGGGAGTAATTAAATGGCTTGCAAGAGAAAGTTTTTTCAAGGCATGTCCGAAGAGCAAAGCAGCATCCAAGTAGGCAACAGCAAAGTCATTTTTCATCTATAAGAGATAGTAAAAGGAGAGGGATTAAGCCACTGCCTCTCATATTGTTGGGCCCAATGTGTTCCTGAGTGAGTTGCTCAAAGATGGCCTCCTTCTTCCCATTCTGGTTTCCAGAGGCTTTGCCAGTCCCTTGGCTACAGCTTGTGGTTAGGAGAGAAGTTACCGGTAATCACAAGTCCCAGTTTGGATGATGCGCTAAAGCAAACCAAACCTTGGCTTAGCTCAGCACAGTAGTAAAAAGGGCAGGGGAAGAACAAGGTGGCTGCAAGCTCCTCTCTGGGAACCTGCATGTTCCCACATGAATGTAGATGAGCATATTCTTAAACTGCTTCTGGCCTGACTGCACTGGCTGCCAATTAGTTTCTGGGCCCAATTCAAAGTGCGGGTTTTGATCTATAAAGTCTTAAAATGGCTCAGGATCGCTATACCTCAAGGACTGCCTCTGTCCATATAAACTAACCCAGACTCTGTGTTCATTATCTGAGGCCCTTCTTCATGTGCCTCCTCCACAAGAGGTCCGGAGGGTGGCAACACGAGAACACGCCTTTTCTGCAGTGGCTCCCTGTTTGTGGACTGTTCTCCCCAGGGAGGTTCGATTGGCGACTTCATTATACACCTTTAGGCGCCAAGCGAAAATGGTCCTCTTCAACCAAACCTTTGGCTCACTGACATCCAATGCCCTTTTAAATGTGCTGTGGGAGCAGTGATAATTGGTTTGTTTGGTTTTTATATTTTATTATGTATTTTGTGTTTTAAAATATTTGTTATACAGTCGTACCTTGGTTCTCCAACAGAATGCATTCTAGGTGTCCGTTTGACTCCTGGAACCATTTGAAAACCAAGGCGCGGCTTTCAATTGACTGCAGGAGCATCCTGCAGCCAATTGGAAGCCACACTGGATGTTTGGCTTCCAAAAATCGTTCAAAAACTGGAACACTCACTTCCAGGTTTTGATCAATCAGGAGCCAATTTGTTTGGGAGCCAAGGCATTTGAGATCCAAGGTATGACTGTATTTATATTTTTATAGTGTAATTTGATGTTGCAACCAATGCTACTTCTACTCCTACAGAGGGATGCCAACTGGAACGTGCTTATTTATTGAAGGGCTGCTCAGACACGGTCTTGTGCATTCAAAATGCCTAAGTATTGGGCAGGCTGGGTGACTGTAGGAGTGGGGGCTTGCACAGATTCAGGATGTCTGGAACTGAAAGGAAAACTGGCAGGTTGACGTATTTGCTGAATATCACTGGCAAGCCATTGCTTCACTGTTGCTTAGTTTACATAGTGAAAATCAGCATTCAACGATACTGGTCTGCTGCTGCTCCGTTTAACTTTGCCTTCAGACCTGTGGAACAATTATGATCAGAAAGGGCTCTTTTTCCAGGGCTGTGTTGTAGGAGCACAACAGTAGTGAGCAAATAAATTATTATAAAATAAAATCACCCAAGGCATTGCATCTGGAGTCCAAGGAATCCCACTGCTGTTTGAAACTGCAGTGAAGTTTGATGGTTCCAGAGTCAGGACAAGGACATTCTTCATGTAACTGTATGAGGGAGCATCTTCATAGTACACATTGCTAAAAACAGAAAGCACAAGAGTCCCAAATGTAGTAAGAAGCAAAAGCATTTAGTCAACCAAATGACAAATGAAGCAAATGTTGATTAAATAACTATTTTTCTTTTTTAAAAACAACAACAACCCTGATGGTTTAATATAGAGACAAGGCTGTCCCATGTTTATTCAAGCTACACTAAACCAGGAAAGCAGAAGCCAAGACAGATGCCTTAACAGATGTGCCTCATGATCAGCAAGGATGTTGTGCGATGCCACAGATTGTACTTGCTTACAACTTACCCTTAATGCACCCATACCTTGGTCTTTCAGACCCAAATCCAGATGAGTCTGTATTGCTGGAAGAATGCCTGTGTACATAGGTATGTAGAACCAAACAGTGAAAATGTACTGAAAGACCTATAAACACCAACTTGGTAGTCAAGATAACCCTGGGACTAATTGGCTCGAGCTGCAAAATGGTATCATATATGCTTATCTGTTTGCTTTGAAGCTGTAGTTTTGGTTCAGTCAGCTACTCCCTTATCCGAGAGAGGGATGAAAGGTGGGAAGGGACCTCTAAGGCAGGGGTGAGTTAATTGGGCTATTGTTGCCAGCTTTTGTAACTTGCTTTTTGTATAAGTAACGCTTAACGTATTAGCCCCCCACAGACAAAGCCATCTTAAGGTGTGGTAGCAAGGAATCCTGCATTGAGTTGCTGCGTGTAAGTCTCTTGCTATAGCTCCACAATAAAGCACTAGAACTGATCTCTCGGGGCATTTTGTGCATCTTTCTTTGGAATCCCTGCAACTGGGTCCTTTGGGGCATCTGTCTATCCTTTGCCTGGTCTGTATTTGGACCTGTGGGGCAAGATCTAGCACATCTAGCGGGCAAGATGTGTTAAAGAGGGAGAAGATCAGAAGACCCCTCTGATGCAGTAGGACTGAGACTGACACTGCTGCCAATGGCTTGGGGTGTGAGGTGTGTAGCCCTGTTTCCTAGCACTGTTGCAATTGCTGAGTGCATTAATGAAAAATGTGAAAGCAAGTTTTGAATATCGCTCACCCATTTCGCAGATTTTTAAAAGCAACAAGAAAAGTGCATGTTGGCAGCATACAGGTGGTGAATGTATTGATTTTGCGAAGGAATGGGTTGCTTATTTATATTTCAGTGCATTTGTATGATTGTTACCTTTTAAAAAGGACTCTCAAAGGGACTTGCCTAGAATATAAAGTTAGACAACTGAGCCTACACATTGCTTTTGTGCAATTTGAAGCAAAGTAGTGGTGTGCTAGAAGAGAGGCCTAACCTTTCCACCTATCACTATATTTTACCTCCAACACCATATACCTAGCCTATGTTATCACCACCAAAAACAAAGCTGTCTTGTAGCAAGCCTACTGGTGGAAATCTCAACATGGTAATGAATAAACATTTTTCTCTCCTTCAGTTTGCAGTTCCAAATCCAGAATAATAATAAAAATTGAACTCTTATGATCTCATCCAGCATTTTACAAGTTCTTCCCTTCTTAGAACCCCTTTGGTAGTAAATAGTGCTTAGCTTCACGGAAACGTAATCCAGCAGAAAGCTTTGATATTATAATCAAATTCCTTAATGATTTATACTTGTTAGGATCTTAGAACAATCTAAAGACATCTGAATGAATGGGCTTCAATTTGGAGGAAATGGAAAACAGATTTACTAAGCAAAACTTTCATAATTCCCTGCTGATATACACCTATTCATTATTGAAGACGTGCATTTCAATTATAACAAATTATGGAAATAAGTTAAAACAAAACTTAACAAGAAGCAGCAGTTTAAACGCTCACACACAGGCTTCTCTTCTAGACCTTATGGTGGCAAATTTAGAAGTCAATGAAGGGATTCTCCCTGCTTTGTCCCACTCCATTTCTAGCAGAATTGGAACCAGTGACAGAAAATCCTATTTATAAAATAATATTGTTTACAGGATTTATATAGGTCTCAGAGTAACCCCCATTCTTAATTGTAGTGCAAAATTTAGGTTGCACTGGCACAGGATTATTCTTATTTAAATGAAAATATATACTCAGCACTCAATGTGACTCTTGAGGGGAAAACTTCCACATATAAAATGGCCTTTTTAGTCATTAGATTCCAGCCCCACCCCCAATATTGTAACATTTTTACCTGTGAAGATCTATCAGGATGATAACTATGTCCTCATCCACCTCTGCTTTTCCTAGGAGTCTTTTAAGGTCAACTGGAGACCTACATGTGATGATCACTGCAAACAAGAGCATGATAGAGAGTCAGCGGATAAGCCATTTTTATTCCTACTTTGAAAATACAGGATTTAGAACAGAGGAAGAGGTAAAACCATCAGAGCAGATCCTCATTGCAGGCATGTGGGTCCCAGAAAACTTCTGCAGGATCTAGAGATCAATAATGTAAATTGGATAACACAGCAATGTGATGATTATCAGGAGAGGAAGTAGCCTTCCAGTAGTTTACCATTTTGGCATTTAAAAGTTCTTCCCGAGAGCAAAGGAGAGAAGCAATAGGTTCATTTCCTGCGCTGGAGTGGGAAGGAGGAAGGACATACCGTATTTTTGCTCTATAAGCCTCACTTTTTCCCTCCTAAAAAGTAAGGGGAAATGTGTGTGCGTCTTATGGAGCAAATGCAGGCTGCACAGCTATCCCAGAAGCCAGAACAGCAAGAGGGATCGCTGCTTTCACTGCGCAGCGATCCCTCTTGCTGTTCTGGCTTCTGGGATTCAGAATATTTGTTTTCTTGTTTTCCTCTTCCAAAAACTAGGTGCGTCTTATGGTCTGGTGCGTCTTATGGGGCGAAAAATACGTAGTTGCATAAAAATATAAAAAGAACATTGCTGGATCAGACTAATGGCCCATCCACACCTTTTGCTCGGCTCTTTCCAGACACAGGTCTTCGCTTAAAAGCTCTGTGTCTGAGTGTGTGTGTGTCCCCCTCAACCTAGCCCTGGGATTGTTGCTTGCTCTGATTGAGCTTTAAAGAGCAGCTTTTCGCAGGGAAAGCCCCAAAGCAAAAATAAAGGGGGGGGGAGATGGCACTTAGACACAGAGCTTTAAAGGGTGGACCATATCTGTAAAGAGCAGAGGAAAGGTAAGCATGGATAAGGCCTATCCATGGATAAGGCTCAGTGCTTTTTTCTGGGGGTACTCAAAGGTACATAGAACCAGCACCGTTTTTCTGGGAGAAAAGCACTGGTTTAAAATGTGGTACTTACTGTAGCAACTTCATGTGAGTACTGGGACCCATTTTTTCTAGGAGAAAAGCACTGAGCATACTTACTCCAACAGTAGAAGATCAGATGGTTTCAGGAAGCCCCCAAGCGGGACACCGATAACAATCTTTCCCCCACTGTTTAAACCCATCCAATGACTGCCAGTATTCAGAGGTGTAGTACTACCTCTGATCCTGGAGGCAATAATATATGCCAAAACATGGCTTGTAGCTATTAAAGCCTTATCTTCCACGACTGCCTACTCTCCTTTAAAGCTAAGTTGATCACAGTCCCCATGTCTTCTGGAAACCAGTTGCATAGTTTCCACAGTGCACAGCTTAATAATATTCATAATGATGCTACATCTTCAGAAACAATCTATGCAAGAAGGTCTTTAGGAAAAGAGTCTTAAGACTTCTTCTGGAAAGCAGCACCCTGTTTGAGCCCAGTATCAGCAGCAAAACAGACAAGTGTTCAGGAAACAGCAGCGGGGAAAATCTGTACAGCATAGAAATTCTCTCTCTCTCTCTCCCTCCTTCTTTCCTCTTCCATTAATAGAATTCGCCATTGATATTCAGATTATAAATACCCAGAAAGTGTATAACCAAATGGACTTCAGAAACAAAGTACTCTTATTTATTTATTTTTTCATTAATTCACTTTTCTCCCTTTTTCCCTGACGGTACTCAAGGCTGCATGTAGATAAAAATAAGAACCACAAAAAAGGGAAAAAAGAAAAAAGAAACAATTTAACTCTTATTTTCTCCTTACCATTACTTTTTCTTTTTGGATTATTCACAATCCTTTGTAGTTCTATTGAGCTCCTGAGGATCTCCCGGAATTTCATGTTTATAGAGAAGTAGGTCACTGAAGCTTCCATAGCATTCATATACCTTGAAATTGGAATAGGAAATGAATGTTGCAAATCAGCTTGTGGCAATGGCATAGATTTGGGCTAAAGGTTTGGTGTGAGGGCCTCTAAGAAGTAAGGTACCTCACACATATCAGTACTATTAGAACAATTAATATCATGAACAAATCAATATATATTTATTCTGTAAGCATGAGTTCATTTTTTTTTAAATCTGCCATCCCCATTAGTCTAGCAGTCATTTACAGCAGGAACAGGTTCATAGCTTGTGGGTACTTATGGATCAATTAGCCTTGAAAGTGCCGAGTGCTTTGCATCAGTTTCATTTGGTGGCCCAGCTGTGCCTTTATCTTGACAGGGATAGCATAATTTCTGTTGTCCAAGCTCTGATAACATTTAGGTTGGACTATTGCAATATGTTATATGTTGGGTTGTCTTTGAAGGCAATTCGGAAACTGCTGTTGGTGCAGAATTCAGAAACCAAATTGTTGAACATAGTATCATAGATTGTAGAGCTGGAAGGGACCCTAGGGGTCATTTAGTCCAACCCCCTGCAATGCAGGAATGTCAACTAAAGCATTAACCTCTGGTTAGAAACCTCCAAGGAAGGACAGTCCACTACCCTCCAAGGAAATCTAACTGTGTAACAGCTCTTACTTTCAGTAAGTTTCTCCTGATGTTTAGTCATAATCCTGTAACTTGAATCCATTGGTTTGGGTCCTTACCCCATCCCCAAGCAAGAGTAAACAAGCTCACTCCATCTTTATGTTTCTATACAAATAATTTAGAAACATTCACCACTTTGCAACCTAAGTTTTACTGCCTGTATTTTCTTACTGCTATATAAAAAGCACATGAATCTGACTCTTGAAGAGTTTGTAAGTACAGTGGTACCTCGGGTTACAGACGCTTCAGGTTACAGATGCCTCAGGTTACAGACTCCGTTAACCTGGAAGTAGTACCTCAGGTTAAGATCTTTGCTTCAGGATGAGAACAGAAATCGTGCAGCGGCGGCGCAGCAGGCCCCATTAGCTAAAGTGGTACCTCAGTTTCAGGTTAAGAATGGACCTCCAGAATGAATTAAGTTCTTAACCCGAGGTACCACTGTAAATCATTTTTAACTTACCAAATGTGTGGTCTCTTTCTATGCTAAGGAAAGGGGGAACTTTGGAAGCAGCTTAAAAGCGAATATTTTAAAGTTCTTACATTTCCACACTTTGCTGTATATTTTGTGATTTTAAATCTCTGCTGGGGTTCTCTCGCCAAAGTACTTGCCCCAAACCTGGATCTTAGGCATCCAGGGAATTCTCTTTTTAATACTACAGTGGTACCTCGGGTTACATACGCTTCAGGTTACATACGCTTCAGGTTACAAACTCCGCTAACCCAGAAATAGTACCTCAGGTTAAGAACTTTGCTTCAGGATGAGAACAGAAATCGTGCTCCGGCAGTGCAGCAGCAGCGGGAGGCCCCATTAGCTAAAGTGGTGCTTCAGGTTAAGAACAGTTTCAGGTTAAGAACAGACCTCCAGAATGAATTAAGTACTTAACCCGAGGTACCACTGTATACCCTAATTCCTCCCCCAACCAACACTTACTTTCAAGGGGTGGGGTGTGTGTGATAATAATTCTGGAACACTGAATTTTGGTTCTGTTCCACATGTGAATTCCCATGATGTTTTAGAAAATCCAGTTATTTCAAACAGCGTAGAAGACTCTGCCAAGCAGGAAATGGCATAGCCAATTCCCATTGCAAGTAGTCAACAATACTATCAATATATGATTTAAGTCTTTTATGTAAAAACAGAAAGAGTTTGAAAAAGAATTGAAACATTGGTTATACTGGGAAAGTTCTCTACCAGAAGCAATCTTCAGTGTCATTGTCTTCCTTATAGATGTAAGTAGTTTCCCATGTGACACTTTTGAATGGCAACGTGGAATTCTTCCAGAAATCAACCAAGAAGTAGTTCAACTTCCTGGCTGGAGTCAACAGCCTTGTTAACTTTTCTTGGTAATCACAAGTCAACCCGAAACTCCCTGCAGAGATCAGAGGTGGGACCAACTCCGTCTCTAATCTACAAAAGAAAAGTTTTTCATTTTTATTTATGATTTTAAATTATATACATTTCAGTAGTTTTACAATCATTCTAACATTTCAAAACTGGACTTCCTCTTCTTTATGCAGTTCCTTAAATTTATTTTTTGTATTTCCTGCATATTCTTAATTAACTTATTCTTTTATTCATCTACTTTAAATATATGCTCTTATGAAACTGCAGGTTATTACAATAATCCTGCCAATGTCCTTATCTGTTTACAGTTTGTTTGTAAATATACAACAAACCATTTCCATTCTTTTGTAAAAAGTTTGTTATTTTGATTTCTTATTTTTCCAGTAATTTTCGCCATTTCTGTACATTCCATAAGTTTTTGTATCCGGTCTTCTTTCATCAGAACTTCTTCTTCTTTCCATTTTTGGGCAAATAACATTCTTGCCACTGTAGTTGAATACATGAATATATTTATATACACTTTAGGTAGTTCTACTCTATAATTCCCAAAAGGAAAGCTTCTGGTTTTTTGGTTTTTTTTACAAATGTTATTTTAAACATCCTTTTCAATTCATTATATATCATTTCCCAGTAAGCCTTACTACAAGACCACCACACATAAAGAAAAGAAAATAATTCCAGTATGGCTGCTACATTGATAGATGCTTTATCAATATGGGCCATATTTCCAATCCTTTCTTCTTTTGTTTTTCTGCAATAATCTTTATTAAATTTGTTAAATAATACATTTATTCCACTCATTATTCAAAACATAATAAGGTACATAAAGAAAAATCAGAATACCTCCACTTTAAATAGCATTACAACCATATGTCTTTAAAGATGACTTCCCCTCCACCTCACTACAGGTCCTTACATCTTCTTTTTCTTTTAAACTGTGTCCTTTTTCACATTTTCGTTCATTGCTCTTACATAACATACTTTATCTATCTGTTCTTTAATTTGCGAAAATTAATCAAAGGATGTTAAGGATTTTGTTTGGGAACAATGTTTTTCTAAATATACTCTATAGCACTCCCACTCACTGTTAAACTTTTGATTTGTTTGGTTTCTGATTACCTCTGTCATCTTTGCTAATTCTAAGAATTCACATAATTTGGTTTCTTCTTTTGTTTGCCTTGATTTCAAAATAAATATGAAGCCAGAAAGTTATGAGTACTATACTACAAATTCTCTCAGAAAAAACTGGGCAGATGGCTCTGAATAGTTAATACCTCTGTGTGTGAGAACAAACATAAAGGAAACATGCTCCCCAGTGTCAGTGCCATCGCTTTGAACCCAGATGTCATCCTATGAAGAATATGCACTAATTAAACCATTAAGAGTGCTCAGTTCTTCTTTCTAAATGGTGCTGATAAAGAGGACTGATGCAAGACTTGCATTTCATTTCCTCTTTCATGCTTTAAAATGGGCAGGGAACCATTTTTTCTCACCGCATTCCTTCTAGGGGCATCTGTTGGGAGTCACATGTTGGCAGTAGGTAGGGCAAGAGCCAAAAGTGGTCAGGGCACCCCTTTTTTCACAAGTGTTTGCTAGGCTCTTAAGCCGACATCACATTTATTCAGTATTTAGCCTTATTTGAATAGAACACTTCAGCTGATACTTACGAGACCATCTGGAATGTGGCAAAGGTGCACGTTGGGCCTAGAATAGTACACCCAAGTTTTTTATCAGCCTGAAATAGAAAAGACCAACATGAGGCGAGGGGTGGATAAAGTTTAATGGACAATCATGCAGATGCAAAGTAATACTGTGGTAATGAAGCAAATGGCTGGAAGATACTAAGGCATTGCAGTAATAAAAACAAGGTGAGTGTTGGATAACAGAGTCTGCAAATGGAGATTAAAAAGTAAGAGAGGTGTTATGGCCTCTACAGGGGCATGAATTAAAACTATGTACAGTAGGTGCCTGTCTAAGGAATAACTGTGCCCTTTAAGTATAGTGGTACCTCAGGTTACATATGCTTCAGGTTACATACGCTTCAGGTTACATACGCTTCAGGTTACACACTCCGCTAACCCAGAAATAGTGTTTCAGGTTAAGAACTTTGCTTCAGGATGAGAACAGAAATTCTGCTCCGGCGGCGCAGCGGCAGCAGGAGGCCCCATTAGCTAAAGTGGTGCTTCAGGTTAAGAACAGTTTCAGGTTAAGTACAAACCTCCGGAACGAATTAAGTACTTAACCTGAGGTACCACTGCATTAAAATGGTAGCACAAGCAGATTTACAGTGAAGCACACTGATACATAACTGGAAGGGAATGTAACAGTTTTTAAATCATGGATTATGATGAGATTTTTAAAACATGTACGTCAAGCCAGTGCTTGATGTATTTGGTTTCTAGCCGGCACTTGCTCTTTATTTGGTGAGGAACTCCTGGTTTATGGGAGCAACTAGGCCCACCAGGACTCCCCATTTGCCCCACTAGGCCCCACTAGGCCATTGTGGCTAAGCTACACCCAGATGCCCCACACTTGACACAATACCTGATGTCAGGGGTTTGGCAGGTAAAGACACAGGTCCGTGCCAAAAGCGAGGTTTGCGAATTGCATGGGCAGAGGAGAATGCTTCCCCTGATATCAGTGTTATGTTATGTGACTGACAGGTGAGTGCTCCTGCCCACTGCTCTTGACATGCAAGTGGAAGGGGAGCTAAGGACTTGGCCCACCGGCCATAGCTGTCAACCATCCCTTATTTGGTGGGAAAGTCCCTTATCCCAGTGCCGTGTCCCACTGCTGTCCCTTATTGATAATGTCCCTTAAATTTCCCGGGTTTCAAAGGAAGCAGCAACTCTCCCTCCCTCCCTGCTGACCAGGGAGGAGGGAGGCTCCAACTGTGTTGCTTGGCTGTGTTGCTCACCCAATAAGGAGTCTAAGAACGACTGGGGGGGGAGTGGAGCTTGCATGCCTTGTGCCGATCAACTCGGACGCGTTGCCTGGGGACTCGCCTTTGCTCAGCGCTTCCCAGCGGAGAGGTGACGGTGGTTTCCTTGCTGCATCCTCTTTGCCCGGTTGCTGCGTTTTGGGAACCACCGCTTGAGGCTTCATTTGGCTGCTGGCTGGGCTTTCTGCCTTTGGCTCGGAGGGGCTCAGGAGTTGAACATACCTATGCTCTGAAAATCCCTTATTTTGGCTGCTGATCCCTTATTTTCGAGGCTGCTGGTCCCTTATTTTTAAATCTGTAAGTTGACAGCTATGCCCCCGGCTGATCCCTTATTTTCGAGGCTGCTGGTCCCTTATTTTTAAATCTGTAAGTTGACAGCTATGCCACCGGCTGCATCCAGTTCCCCACTTCTGACCTAAAAGGATGATTCCTACATATGCGCCTTAATACTCACATAAATCTGCTTGATGAATTCCACACCTTCACAGGTGCTGGTGCGGCAGCCATTGGAGACGTACAGCGACGTGTCGATGCCATCAAATGCGGCACTGACATTCACATTCACATTGTTTGCTGTAACATGAAACGCAGGAGTGTTAGGTACTGAAACTATACAATGTTTTTGTAAGAACATATGTCATGATGCTGCAGCCTGTTGCAACATGAGTACAAAACAGCCAGTGGCACAGGCAGGCAGGCGGGTATGTAAGCAAGTTATTGAGGGGTGTGGGTGGTGGGCAGCCCAGATATGCTGCAGAGGAACAGTTAGGACAGTTTGTCAAGGCATGGGTGGTAGCTGGGTGATAAGTGGGTGGCACGTGTGCAATGCAAAGAGGAGGCACCCGCAAGTTTAATAATATAAAAATATTGATTTAAAACATACTTTTAAAAATAAAGTATGATTCCAATTCATAATTTTATTTAAGACAACTTTTTAGCTGTTTTGATTGTATTGATTTACAGATGATAAACTTGTGAATCTTGTAAACCAAGTTGTAAGGAGCAGAGTGTAAATAAGTAGATAAATAATAAAGAGCTGATAATTGTCTGACTATGCATTGATTGTAGGGCTGCCTCATCAAGTATTTAAATTTTCTATTTTATTATTATTATTATTATTATTAATTAAATTTGCATACCTCCCTATACCCATAGAACGCAGGGCGGTTCACAACATAAAATCACAATATTAAAAACACAAAAGCATTTCCTTAAGAGAAATGTTAATGGAGTAGCAGACTTTAAACAATCTCCACTAGTTTTGTCATGTGGAAGGCAAATTGGCCACTGTGCACTTCTTATGACATTCATTCTGTGAAGTAGGATCATATCCTCTGTTTGCTTGTATTGATGGGTAGTGACGTTTGTTTCAGTTGCAGATAGGGAAGTGTCTTTCATGTAACTAAAAACAGTTTTAAAATAGACACTCATGGAACAGTAGGGTGGGGGATTTTCCCTGGAAAGGAAGTAGCCTTGCTCAGGTTTGTCACATTTTAAGGGACACATAAACACTCAATTAGTATAGTAGTGAATCATCATCATCATCATTTTATTTTTTTATCCCACCTTTCCATAGTTAAAACCATGCTCAAGGCAGCTTACAACTTGAAAAGATTTACGGTACATAATGGCAACCATAACAAAAATAATTATAACCATCAACCACCTTTCTGCCAAGACCCAAGAGACAATAAAACAACTGTAACTACTGCATGGTTCACGTGGTGAAAGACGGATAATACGTGAGCAGCGGTGCTAGGCAGAAAGGAAGACAGCCTGTAGAAGCATTATTTTGTATAGACTCAGGGCCTGACATTTGACCCTCAAAAGATACTGAAGTGCTCTTACCTTTCAGGTCAGATTTCACCAGTTTCATGCCCCATTCCACAGCTGGTTCTATTTCTCCCGCACTCACTGGAAGCATAGAGTCATTCATGAGCATTACATTGATCATGTAGCCAGCTTTGTCACATCTGATCACACCACCAGCATGCCACAGAAGCTGGGTCAAGAAGAGCAGGGCCCCCAAAATCTGATCCACTTTTTGTTCTCTCATGATGCCGCGTAGTCCATGCCAGCGTTGCTTCTTGCGCGTACTGCACGCTTGATATTTTAAAGCGAGGATATTTGCTCTGTGCTCACCACTTGGTCAAGTTTTTCTTCTCTCAAATACGTCCTTCCGTTCCCTTTCTTAGCTCCCTTTCCACCCGCACCTGCCCAGCTGGTACTTCTGCTTGCAAGCATATAAGAGCAGCAAAACTTGTGAAATGCGAAGGGGCCAAAGGTCGGTTGTTCATGTTTGCCACTGAGAACATTAGAGCTATAAAACCGAGGCATTAGTCACCGTGAGATAAAGACACAACATGATAGGTAAGGGGAAGAGGAGGGGCCAAGAAGATAATGGAAGAGAACCAGTTAAAATGGAAATAAAATTAAAAGACCATTAATGCAGAAGGATAAATCAGATGGCTGCCTCTTGTTTGTTTTGCTTTTCCAAGTAACTCGTGGTAGCTGTAAAATGGGAGGCAAAAAGGAAGTTCCCGTGTGCACTAAATAAACACTGTGCTTTACTTTGAGTTTTTATTTTCATTTTTTGTATTTGACCTGCTGCTAACAAGAAATGTCTGGCTGTATCATTCTCCATACGTGTACACACACACATATTCATAGGATGGCATTTCCAAAGAACCAATCAATTAAAAATGCCCATGAACGATCTACCATTGATCCATTTGTCAAAATTCAGATAAATTAACTCAAATGTATGGATTATAACTGAATGCAGGTTCTCAACTGCCTCCAGAGAAAGAATTGTGTCATGATTAATAACAGCTGCTGTATTTATATTTGAAGTGATTGGGTTGTTCACAAATTAGATATGGTAAAAACAAACACCAAATGGCACAGAACATTCCTAGAGCGACTCCAATATATTGTGCTACCCTAAGCAACTGTACAACATGATCTAAGTAGGATTCCTTGCAGGCCTGGTCCACTCATGAGGCAAGGTGAGGTGACTGCCTCAGGTGGCAGGATCCACAGGGGCAGCAGATCCCAATATAGATCTTTAATCCCCCTTTATTCCTGATACCAGTCTTCACTCCCAATTTTCTCTGGCAATGAGGCGAGCACAATTTTGTGGTTCACCTCAGGTACCAAAATGACTTGAGCCAGCCCCAATTCCTTGAAATGTATAAGGGGTGTGTGATCTCTTCACCTAGGTCCTTTGGGGGTGAGGAGGGGGAGCGCTGAGCAGATTTGACAATTATGAAATAGTTGCTTCAGTTAGCTGCATTATGTTTTAAAGGTAGCAGATTAATTTATGGTGTCATAATTGATATTGTGATTTGTACTCTGTGACCTACCCTGGGATCAGAAACTGACAAAGGGTGGGAGACCAATATAAATAAATAAATATGTTGGGAAGCACTTTTCAAATCCTGTCTTATCATCAGCCTTGAAAATACTGGTTCTTCTCCTGTTACCACAAAAAAGCATTTGCTTGGCTTATTTGTGCCTTTAAGATGATCCTGATTATACTCAAATGCACTTTCACGACATGGATTATTTCCTTTTTAGAAACCTGTATGAGAATGTTCACAGATCAGAGGAATGAGAGGATGAAAGAAGAAACACCACACTAGCAGTTCTAAAGCGGGAGAAGGTGGTAAAGAAAGAGAAATAATGACAGCCCCTACATCATTGCAAGAAGTTATAAATGTGTTACTAGGAACTCAACTGCTTACCTTTAGCTATGACTGAGAAAGCTAATCAGGCTGAAAGATGGAAGGCTAGAAAATATGTAATGCAATGTCTGTATAAGAAACTATCATCTCCAACTGAAGCTGCAAACATTACATACTCTATAGTAGGACAACTATTCAAATACTTGAGCATTTTCACTGCTGCCCCACACAGACCTTGTTTGTATGTCATACTAAACAATGGTTTAGCAAGATGTGATCCACAGTGAGTATTAGGTTTGTGTGCTCCTCTTCACTTTCCCCCTCCTGTATAGCTAAGAGGAATAGTTTGGGAGCTCCGTCAACCACAGTTTGCCATGTCATCTAGTTTGGCAAACTGGTCAACACTAATTATGGGTAATGTCCACTGCTTTTTTCTGGGGGTACGTAGGGGTACGCATACTCCTAAACATTTTGTGAATCTTTGTACTTTTGTCCATTTACTGTATTTATTTTCCCCGATTTGAACTATAAAATGGTGGTTTACTTGAGTCAAAATAAGAGTACCCCTAAACATTTTTTAAGAAAAAAAAGCACTGGTAATGTCAATTAGCCAGCTTCTAGGACCCCATTTTGAAATGGGCTCGTTTGAAAGTGATGATAGCTTTAATCACAATTTGTTGAACTAGATGACACAATGAAATGAGCCAAAGTTTGGGAAAGCAAAAGCAAGCTGTTTAACTTCTCTTTCTGGCTGTGTGTGTTTGGGGGTGTGGGATGGACTGTGACGCTGAGGCTTGCTGAGGTTTGTTCTTGCTTGTGCATGTTACACTAAATTTACTTTTCATTGATCAATCCACCGTGACTTAAATATTTTTTCCTGGTTAGTTGTAGCCAGCCAAATTCAGAAATCTTCACTGTATATCTGAAATTAGCATATTCCAAACATTCATAGACTGTTAGAATGATTGCACCATTAAGTTGTCTTTGAAAATAGGAACATGAACTCTAAGATTACCCACAGTTCCCTTGAGCAAACAATATACTGTAACGTTTATAACTGTCAGAGATTACTTTTGAACAAACAGGAAATTAAACACCTATTGTGCAAACAATCCGAGTATTCAACATGCAGCAATTCAAACTGTTTTCCCATGATGTAGTTCATGACATAAACTTCATAAAGGGAATTTATTAAAGTACTGTCTAGATCTACCCCATACAAATGCAAAGGCCAAATTACAATTTTTAAAATATTCAATACTATTGAGGGATAAATGACAATCAGACCAGTATTCATTTCCTAACATGTAAGGCCTAACTTATATTACAAGCAAAACAATTAGAGAATATTGTGGCACTTTAAAGACTTATAAATTTATTTTTGCACATGGGGCTGTACTCAAACTTTGTTTTAAACTGCCACTTTCCCTCCCTCAGTGTTACCCCCGGCTTACTCTACTCAAATATCTGCTGTTGTTTCAAATCACCACTCCCCCCTCTCTGTTTTCTTTATTCAAATCTGTACTCTATTGTTCAAAACCAGTTTAAATTCTGTCTTCTCTTTTGCTCCCCTGCTGTGCACCCTGCAAATCCAGGATTGTGATGAGGCAAATCCTCCAATGGGGCGGCACTCTAACTTCATGCAAATTCAGGATTCTGACGTTGCACTACAAATCCTCCAATGGGGGCTGAATTATGACAGCCTTATTTTTAAGTATAAAGGAAGGTAATCATTCATGGACTCCTGAACTATGAAGGCTCAGGGCCTGGGGTAAACCACACTATATGTCCCCTGCCTTCATATTATCCCTGCCTCTGCTGCTGCAACTCCTCTTCATGGAGATGCTGTTAGCAGCCCCTTCTATTCTTGCCACTTTAGTGGGGGGTGGCCTCTCCCCCAGTTTAAGGGTTGTATCCAATCCCAGTCCTACTCAGAGCAGACCCATTGAAATTAATGGCCATGACTACTTTTTATTTATTTATTTATAAAACTTCTGCAACTTCTGACCAGCCTTGCCTTGCTTTACCTCCAGTTAGGTACTGTCGGTTCCAGCATCAGAATAGAACACAATATTGGGAAACAATGAAGCTTTGGATCTGGCAGCTCCAAGGCTGCCCCAGCATGCCCCATTTGGGCCTCTCTCCAGCCGGAACACCAGTGGTAGAAGACAAGATCACACTCCCTCTCTCCCTTTTCACTTGTATGCTTTTTTTTTTAAGTTCTACGTTTGTGCACAGGGACTCTTTAGTTTCAATTTATTGCACATATGCCATTCTGGGAGCCTTTTTGGCTGAAAAGTAGTGCACAAATACTCTAAATAAATAATCTCTTCTTCTTTGGCCTACAGCAACTTAAGAGCATTATCCTAAGAGAGAGAAATTACTGTTTTGTCTTTTGTTATGTCTTTTGTTACTGCAAGAAATATTTGCTCACTACTTTTACTTCTTATTTGTGTTCATTTACACTACTGTACATGCAACAGCCACCAGGGGTGTCCATCTTCCAAAAGCACACTGTTTTTCAGAAAGCATGTAGGTGTCTCTAACACTGCCTTTTTGAGCCTTTCTTTATATTTTAATATAAATCTTTTAATATAAATATTCACTAGACCCTTTTGTAGCTCTTAACGTGTAATAAACCAAGTCACTGAAAAACATTGCATGTGGTATAAACAAGTTCATTAATCACTCAAAGTACACAATCTTTGAGATAATGCAGGTAACGGATATACTGCTGATAGTATGAATTGTGGCATAATGCCACAGTTCAATACCCCCCTCCTCTGAAATCACTATTTGCTTTTTATAAGCAAGCATTTTTAACAGGACTGCCTTGTTTATCAGTTTAGTGATGATTTTTACTTTATGTACTTCTTTGTGTTCTAAATTCCTGTTACATCTTCTTTATCTAATATTTTATCTAATCTGAGAGCTACTATAGCAGCTAAGAAAATGGCATGGGAACCAGGAAGTTCCTGGTTTAAATGTTGCCTCTGCTATAAATTCACTTGGTGGTCTTAGTCAAACCAAACTTCCAGCTGCATTCACATATCTGCACCATATGGATAACACACTCAACTACTGTACACAGTTCTTGTAAGGATGAATAGTCACTTTGGTCATGTGAGGGAGTTTAGGCTGAGAATTAGGGCTTGTCCACACCTCTGCTTGTCTCATGACTAGAAAGCATGGGTCCAAGTAGTTTTCCCCTTACTCTCCTTGTTTCCCAAGGAAACCCCACTTTTTAGCTCTAAATCAGAGCAAATGTCAATTCAGAGAAAACCCGAATTTCCATTTGTTCCGATTGAGTGCTAGAGCGGTTTTCCTTGGGGTGGGGTGGAGGGTTGCCACAGGAAATGAGAAAGTGTGAAGAAGCTGGACAAATGTCACCCAATCAACTTCATGGCTGAGTGGGGATTTGAATGTTTCCTTACTCCTCATCCAAAACTCTGAACTCTATACCACACTATGTAAATACTAAATATTATCAGGTTATATGTCATAAAAGTAGATTTGATACAGGTGGAAGCTTGCAGTATTAAATATATTTATGCTTTGTTCTGCGTATCAGCATTCAGCGCTGTGGTATTTTGTGACAGAATGCCCACATTTAATCTTCAAAAACAGAAATAAGAAACCTTTATCTGCGATTAACTTGGGCATGAAAACACTGATCCCCAACCCCTCTAAGCTACTTCTCTCCCACTAAGCAGACCACTATCCATTATGTTTTCCCTAGTGGCAGGAAATACATTGATCTGGTTGCAAGTAAAATATATTCTTGTGGGTTTGCTATATGATCACTGTGAATGTGTCTACAATGGTACCTCGGGTTACATACGCTTCAGGTTACAGACTCCGCTAACCCAGAAATAGTGCTTCAGGATGAGAACAGAAATCGTGCTCCGGCGGCGCGGCGGCAGCGGGAGGCCCTATTAGCCAAAGTGGTGCTTCAGGTTAAGAAAATTTTCAGGTTAAGAACAGACTTCCGGAACGAATTAAGTACTTAACCCAAGGTACCACTGTATTGCTATTATTTTGCCTTAAACTTTAAGGCTTCAAGTAATGTCTAGTCAAGAGCTTAGGATTTGACATTAGAATATTGGTGCGTTTGAATTACTATAATGAACGAGCTATTCATCTGTAGAGCTGGAGTCTGCAACAAATACTTGGCAGGTTGACAGTTTTTAAGATACAGACAGAATGAGGTATCTTTATGTCTCCAGCATTCTCTCATCCAAATGAAACTAAACCTCAGTAGCAATGGTCCTGGAACTTCTCATTGCTCCCTGCAAAATGAGAGGAGTGCGTAAGAATATATAGGTAAAACATTTGCAGAAAGCGCAGAATGGTATCAAGATCTACAAATGCCACACAGCCACTAGCCCCAACCCAAAGCTGGTGATAGGAAGTAGAGTCTTGTTGCAGGAGAAAATGCCTAATAATCCTGTTCGAGAATTACACCTGCTTATTCAATTTTATGAAAGCTAGGGGAGGACTAAAATGTACTAAGAGAGCATTCAAGCAGCTATGGGGACTCAGCTACACAGATGGCGATAGTAAGCTTGCGGCAAATTCAATATATTTTTCAAAACGCTTTTTTAAAAAAGCATTTTCACATATTCTTTTATATGTGTCTAGATTCCACCTGGGTCTTCATTTTGATTTATAACAGGAGTCATACAGATGTGCTTTAAATCGCAGGATGCTGGTGATAAAAACGTTTTCCGCCCTGGCAATCATTTTTTCACATATAAAGAAAAGAAAAATCAGTGACTGCGTCCGGTTGTCTGCGTGTGTCGCTAGAATGAAGAGCCTAGGGGAGCAGCGCAAAATGTGTGCCTCTCGGAGCAGCCTTTGTCGCTACAAACCAGCGAGCTTCCCAGCTTTGTCTGTAAAATGCAGCCCTGGTGGAGACTGGCTCTCAAGCGGGCCTCTCCTGCCTCCACCCTCCCCGCTCCCCGAAAAAAAACCCACGGCTGCGTCCCCGCCTCTGCTGCGTCGCCAGCGCGCACGCATTCCTGAAGCAAATTGGGATAACGTGGCGCGGGATCAGCAGCGGAACTGTGAGTATGGCTGGCAGTTGCCACCCGGGCGTTATTTGACGCTTCCCTGTCCAGATTCCCCTTCCCTAGCTACCGCCCGCCCGCGCGGTTGCCAGGGGAACAGAGTCCTTGGCGAAACAGTAAAGCAGCCGCGGGTTGTAGTGGTTGCGGATTAGGCCTGCGGGCAAAATGGTGAGGGGCAGGGATGTTTTAAGGGGCTCCTCGGAAAATTGGGGAATGGAGGGCGGGGGGACGACTAGCGGAGCCTCATCCCGCCCCCCTCACCTATCTTTGCTCTTTCTTCCCTCCCCTCCGCCTTTTGTAGATGCTCTCGCGGCTCAAGCCCGCCGTCGGGGGCGGCTCTCAATCCGCTGACAAGCGCAAAAAGAAAGGCAAGCGAATCCCGCAGCTGGAGGAGCTGCTGACCCAGCGGGACTTCACTGGGGCCATCGCCCTACTGGAGGTACCAGGGGCACGGCTTGGAAAATGCGCACCTTGCGCCAAGAACCGACAGAGACGGCGCTGGGTTGTTCGTGGGGATGGGCTCAGAGCTGATGGTAGCCTTATGACTAGTGGGAGTTAATGCCTTGGAAATAAGGGGCCTTAACATTCACCCTCCTGTTCCAGCCTTTGATTCCTACAGAGGGAGAGTGGAGAGCCTCTGTGCTACTTTTATCGCAGCCTGCTTTTATTTTTCCTGCTTTGTGAGGTGTAGGAGGTGAAGTTTGACCTCTGCACAGAATTGCATTCTTCTGGAGACCTGGTACCACTTCCAGAAGATTACTTATACACTCTTAAGTACTGTTCACCATCCTGATACAGTTAGGATGTTAAGTGTGTGTAATGCTGATACTCCAAAGGCTGTGGGATGAGGACAAGAAATCTAATGTTCTCCACACACAAAACCACAGGAGGATGAGCAAAATGGATTACAGTATAAAAAGTTTGCCTGTGAACACTTGCATACTTATATTTCTTTAAAGCTGGCATAGGCAAACTCGGCCCAACAGATGTTTTGGGACTACAACTCCCATCATCCGTGACCACTGGTCCTGTTAGCTAGGGATGATGTGAGTTGTAGTCCCAACACACCTGGAGGGCTGAGTTTGCCTATGCCTAATTTAAAGCAAGAGTTTTATACCGATTGATTCAGTTTCTAATGTCTAAATCAGGGTGGGGGACTTTTTCCAGTCCTTCGTGGATAGCATTTGAGGGTGGTGGGATATGCCAATAGCAGCCATGGCAGGAGGCAAAAGAAAAAACACAGGTGGGGCAATGGATGCGATCCATACTTTTGTATAGTAGTCTACAAGCCACACAAAAGTCAGATGTTTCTCTGGCAATACTAGATGGTGTGGTGCAGCTGCCCTGCTCACTTTGTCTCCAGTTGCTTTGCTGCTGCATACCAGGATGGAAAGGGGTAGGGGCATGTTTGCACCATGCCAATCTTGCTGTCACCTCACCCCTTTCTCTGTCTCAGTATGCAGCAGTGATGTAGCTGGAGGGACATCAGGTGAGTGGCTATTAGGGACAGGCAGCAGTCCGAGAGGTGGGCAGAAGAGGCAGGGGAGCAGGAGGATGATCCAGGGGAAGGGCCAGCAATTTGTGGGGCTCTATGTCAGCCAGAGACAGGAAGAGAGGAGGCCATGACAGAGTTGCAGGAAGACTCAGAGGTGGAAAAGACAGTCCCAGAGAGACTTCTGCTATCCCTCCCCTTCTATCTCCCAAGGACAAGGAGGGGCTTAAAGTGACAGGAGCAGGTGGAGCTGCTACACAGGAGAAGTTGCTAGTTGCTTGCATACACCACACCAGACGGGGTTTAAGTGAGTTGGAAGGGGTGTGGTCACGCTGCTGCTCCAACTATAGTGGTACCTCAGGTTACAAATGCTTCAGGTTACATAGGCTTCAGGTTACAGACTCCACTAACCCAGAAATAGTACCCCGGGGGTTAAGAACTTTGCTTCAGGATAAGAACAGAAATTGTGCTCCGGCAGCGCGACGGCAGCAGGAGGCCCCATTAGCTAAAGTGGTGCTTCAGGTTAAGAACAGTTTCAGGTTAATAACGGACCTCCGGAATGAATTAAGTACTTAACCCGAGGTACCACTGTATCCAGGTTGGAGTCTGAAGAAGCAGATGCCTAGTTAGCTGATCAGCAGGAGTGAGGTGTCTGTCCCTTGCACCTCAGGAGCTGGTGTAATTGAGTGCTTTGCCAGTAAAGAACTAAACTTCAAATTGCTTGTCTTCATTGGGGCAGGGTGTGCTCAGGACAGTGGCATAGCCCCACCATTTCCTTTGCTACTATCCTGTTCCCTTCTATAAAAAACACACACCTGTCTCTGTATTGTCCAACAAGGCAAGCAAGAGGTATTATCACAGTTTAAGGACGCACACTCGCCAGGAAAAGCAGCCAAGGAGGCCATGGAAGAGGAACAGTGAGGGGTGTGGTCTAAGGAGGAGGCATTGTCTGGAGATAGTATTGAGCGTTGGAGAGAGAAGCATTGAGGGCCACATTTTGCCCTGGGCCTGTGGTTCTTCCACCCCTGGTCTAAATACTAAAGTTTCTGTTTTAAAGGAGGCCTATTCTACAGTAAGACATAGGCATATAGCCTTTGTGCTTTTCTGATGAATCATAGAATTGTAGAATTGGAAGGGACCCCAAGGGACAGCTAGTTAAACCACCTGCAATGCAGGAATCTTTTCCCCATATGCACTAGGCACTGTACCTTTAACGGCTACTTGTAGTTTGGTTTTGGTACTGGCGATGCTGTGACCAACCAATGAATTTCTGCTTATCAAGTTGTTAAAGACACAGAGTTCAGTTGGGAAAAACCAGCTATCAAAGTATTTTCAAAAAAAGTTACTGTATGTTACTTGCCTCCAGCCTCCTCATCACATTTATGTATGTCATAAATACTTAAGGCTTTTGAAGGTGAGCCAGGTTAAAACCCTTGAAAATGTCAACCATTACATATTTGCATCATATTGTGTGGTTTCATTCTACAAAGTTGCCAGCATAAAATTACTTTTAGGAATAACTTTCATATGAGAGTATCCACGTTTGGGCATCATTTTAATCTTAATGTTTTCCTTCTGGAAGTTTAAGCGTCATGTTGGGGAACAAGATGAAGATGCAGACCTCTGGATTGGATATTGTGCTTTTCATTTGGGTGACTACAAGAGAGCACTGGAGGTGAGGTGAGGAAATCCTGCTTCCTTTTGGAAGGAAGGGGGATATTGTCTTAATATAAAAAACAGATGGGAGTGGAAAGAGACGTGTCCTAGAGCAGTTCAGCAAAAAGGCATGCCATTTTACTATAAGTCTTGAAACAGAATGGTATATCCTCATGCTGGATTATGATTATGCATGCTTATGGACTAGTGAATCTGAGAGGCATGAGCATGGGAAAGGCAGGATTATTTATTTATTTATTTGACTTACATACTGCACAATTAATAAGGGTTAGGTATTGTCAGTTTGCTGCTGCTATTTTTCAAAAGTCTATGTTTGTGTAAAGGAAAATATGTCTTGGTGTAAAAAGAATTGTGTTTGTATTTCTTTCCCCATAAGACAGCACATTTAATTTTGATTTTTCAAAGCACATTTTTAAAAAACTTTATTTGGGATAGCTTGAAATTGGTGAGTTCTTCCATGTCCTAAAGATGTCCCCATCTAATGTAAAAGCTGGTATATATGTAACCCTTGATGGTTAAGAGATCAGGAACTGGATGAGAAATTGTGTTTATCTCTCCTAAACAGCCTATCTCTTTTTGTGCACAATATCTCAATTTTCTTTCAACTTCTTTCAACCCTGGCTTATGGTCTATGCAGTCATTGGCATTGTTGCACTCATAATTTAGAAGTACTAAGCAACTTTAAACTCTGTCACATTGAACACAGTTATAATGCCAATTAAAGACCCACATAGTCTTTTTTTATGGGTTAAAATTTAGTGTGGAAATAAAAAGTAACTCTTGAACTTGCCTTGGAGGATCTTGGCCAGTTGAAAGTGGTCAGTTTAGCTGGTGGCATGCTGAGAACCGGTGTATTGTAGTTAAGCAGGTCAGCATTGGGAATGTACGTCTTTAACCTCTCTCTGCAATTCAGAGGTAATAACGCTGATCTGCACTGCTGTAAGGATTCCTGAAAAAATAAACATGAAACATTTAATATTTATACAACATGTTCCCTAAGTGTTAGTAGTACATCTTGTTTGATAATACACTAGAAGCGAAGAGCAACATTGTTGGTCCAGATTGATTGATTTACTAAGAATATATATAAATTCTCAAGATGGCTGAAAACTCAAAATAAAATTTCTGTTTAATGGTTATGGCAGCAGTATATCAAAAACTGTTACTTGTTTCAGGAATATGAAGATCTGACAAAGCGATCTGGCTGCAACCCTGATGTTTGGGTGAATCTAGCATGCACTTACTTCTTCTTGGGAATGTATACACAAGCTGAACAAGCAGCCTTGAAAGGTAAGACGGATAGCTGATGCTATAATATTATATATATTTATCTCGGAGTAAGTCCCACCAAGTAGAAATGTAAAATGTAAAAATTTGTGTTGTTAAGGTGGTGCATCTGAGCAAATTCATAGTGTTAGTCACGAGTATTTACAAACCCTGAACTGCTCCAAGTGTTGGCATTAAATTTTGTTTTAATGCTTTTTTTGGATTTTCTTTCAGCTCCCAAAAGTAGACTTCAAAATCGCCTATTGTTCCATCTAGCTCACAAGGTATGTGGGAAACAAAACCATGCAGAGGCAAGTAGTATTTTGTACTTGGAAGTATTCTGAAACTCAGACCCTACCTTCCCCCATCTTCAAATACTACTAGTTTGAATGAGAATCCTGCCCAACTTGTCTAGGTACAGAAAGGTAGGGCAGAGACAGAGGCTGGGTAGGCACAGAGGACGAAAGCCCAGAAGCGGAGTGGTAAGATGACCCAAGAAGAAGGAGAGCTAAGGGATATGTTACCTATTGGAAAGCTATACTCAGTGGAAAGAGAAGTAGTATCTAAGGGAAATATGGGGTGGAGATGGTAGAGACCTGATAATATGTATAGAGAAGCCTTTTATTTAAGCACTTGTCTGGTAGCCATAGGCAACAAGGAATTGTGTACAGGTGAGTGCATGAAATTCCATGTAGGTGAGTGAGAGGGCTAGGAGAGAAGTGCGTCCTTATTCTATGGCAACCACGAAAAGCAAGTGGGCGACCAGAGGAGAGAAGCCCTGTCCTCTGCACCCAGCATAGAGATACAGCAAGCTACTGGATGCACAATAGAGAGTTCCATCCCCCTTCTGCTAACTTCCAGCAGACTAGTTAAAAAAGGGCTAGTAACTTTTGAGAGCTGATTTACTAGGATAAAGAGTAGTTGCTTACTGTCAGCTGTATTTATTAGTGTGTATGTAGTATGTCCTGCATCTGTGTAATCCTAGTTCTTATTTCTTGTATAGTTTGGTGATGAGAAGAAATTAATGAGCTTTCACCAGAATCTGCAAGACATAACAGAAGATCAGCTAAGCCTAGCATCTATCCACTATATGCGGTCTCATTACCAAGAGGCTATTGATATATACAAACGTATACTTCTTGATAACAGGTTGGATATATTTTTCTTTCCCAATCTGTCATTCTCTCTACTCTTTGGACATTTTATTGATGGAGAAGGGCTAAAGTTTCAGTGTATCGCTTTCTAACAGTTGGAGTTATACTCTGAGATTCTTGCTTCTTACTATAAATTCACTGTAGTACATCCCACAACATTGGGCCAATGGGATCCAGTAATAAGATTTAAATTTTCCTGTGACCTCCCAGAGTAATTTGGATGAAATTACTTAGCACTAAGATCAGAGATCACAGATTCCTTATATTAGCAATTAGTTCTTATATAAAAGATAACAGAGTTTGGAGATTACAGATCTCAGTGCCTGATGTCATACAATGTCAGGTGACTGACAGGTGGGCATGGTTGCATTCCAGAGGTTCTCTACTGCTGTCCTTGTCCTTCTGCACTGCAGTTTTCGTCTTCTTTCTTGTGGAATTCAGGTTTGCTGCAACACTTTCTGTCATGGTTTCTTTCTTCTGATTTCTAGCTGTGACCTTCTGAGCCTGCTGGCCAGCTTCAGTTATAGACCATATTCCACCTTCCAACATTTTAGGCAAACAGAAGAGCTGTTGAGTTTTCCTAAGTTTCTGATTCCCACTGTAACTAGGTTTCTTCTCCACCACCTTTGGGTGTTAGTTTCCTGGGCTCACCTGTTGAATTCCCTGACAAGCACAGCCTCTGAATAACCCTGTATTTAACAGAAAGCAACCATCTTATAATTAAGCATAAACATAAAGTGACTCAACAGTTGCATTTCTTCACAGATGTTTTAAAATATTCTCAGTATTCAAGGCATAGGTCTTAGTGATCCCATTTGGGTTGTTGCTTGTAGTTTCAGGAAACTTTTCTAATCCTTCCATGCACACACTATTGTTCATAGCAAAAGGCATTTGTAAATGCATTACAAAGCATTCTGCCAATGATAGAACATGTATTGAGAGTACACATGTGCAGTATTATTTGCACATTTCCGTTTAGGAGCATTCTGCTTTAGGTGAATTTTCTGCCACTAAATGTAGTTAAATGAAGAAACTTCGATGTCTTGCAGGGAATACCTGGCTCTCAATGTATATGTTGCCTTGTGCTACTACAAACTGGATTATTATGATGTTTCACAAGAGGTGCTAGCTGTTTACCTTCAGCAAGTTCCTGATAGCACCATTGCTCTTAACTTAAAGGCTTGTAATCATTTCCGACTCTACAATGGGAAGGCTGCTGAGGTACTTTGTTAAAATGTTTTTCTCACTAAAGTCATTATCTCCTTCATGCAAGTTTCAGTTTTGAAGTAATATTTCAGTTTCTGTAGAGAAGCTTTAACTTTATGCTTTGTACCTCAGTATGTGGTCTGTCTGACTATATGTATGTGTTTCTAGTTATGCTGGTGTCACTTCAAATGAATTAGTCACGTGCCAGTTCAGGTCCACAATATAAGATGCAGGACCACTTTCAGAGGGTTGGCATCATTTGGCACCTGTTGAGGCACACCGCCCAAAAGAGGCACTACCTGGCTAACTCCTGGAACCTCATGGCTCTGCTTGTCCTAGAACCATAGAATTGTAGAGTTGGAAGGGATCCCGAGGGTCATGTTGTCCAATCCCCTGCAAGGTGGGAATCTCAAGGCAAGTGAGCAGTGACGGGGGCAAGGAGAAGGAGCAGCAATTTCTGCTAGCTTTGTTCTCCCTCTGGGCAGTGGTGCAGATTAGGTTCAACAGGAGAGGGCAAGTGAATGGGCAGCAGTAAAGAAGAGGTGGGACAACTCGGGGAGGGGATGTTGAGAGCATTTTTGTGCAAGCCCTTCCCCCCCCAAAAAAAATTCTCAAACTGGCTCTGATAATATTTTTTTGAGTAGTGTCAATGGCTACTTCTGTTGATTGTGTGTTCTGTTCTTCCACTCACTGTTTTGCAATTTCTGAAAAAAATTAAGGCGGAGCTTAAGAGCTTGATGGACAGTGCTTCAACATCGTTTGAGTTTGCTAAGGAACTCATTAAACACAATTTGGTGAGTAGCTAGCTTGCATAATTTTTATGAAGTTCCGAATAACATAGGCTACATTCAAAAGAATGTCTTGTTGGTTGGCCCAAGAAAGTATTGTGTGAGGTGCAAGTAGTCTGTAAACCTAGTCTTCCAGTTGTTTCCCCATGTTCAAATGTGCATACCTAACCACAGCTGTGAAAAGGTGGTTTTGTTATCTATAAAGACTCTCCTTAGACAAGTTTCTAAGTATGCACAACTAACTGCTTTTGCCCATATTCAATCTTTATTTTCGTCATCTTTCCCTCTGTTTCTCTCCCCATCCCCTAGGTCAACCCAAATAACTTATTTTGGAATATTTGCTTATGAAACTAAGATGTCATATACAAAAATAAAGATAATCGTTTTGAGCTGTGCAGGAATTGGTATTTTCATGATGTACAAATTGTTGAAATTTAGTGGTGGAGTAAATATTTAACTTGTAAAATTCAAAAGCAGAATATATGACACATTCATAATTCACCGGAGGCTTGTTGCCTCTTAGTTTAACAAACATTTCAAAATGCATGTATAGTGGAACCTCGGTTTACGAACTTTATCCATTCCGGAAGTCCGTTCTTAAACCGAAACCATTCTTAAACCGAGGAGCGCTTTCCCTAATGAGGCCTCCCACCGCCAGTGCTCTTCCACCATACGGATTCCATTCTTAGACCGAGGTAAAGTTCTCAAATTGGGTCACTCCTTCCAGTTTTGCGCAGTTCTTAAACCGAATAGTTTGTAAACAGGGCTGTTCTTAAACCAAGGTACCACTGTAAGATGGTTCGCTGCAGGTTGTTTGCTGCTGTACTAATGCAGTGAGGACTTTCTTCTGCAGGTTGTATTCCGAGGAGGGGAGGGGTCTCTCCAAGTACTGCCTCCCCTGGTTGATGTCATACCTGAAGCCAGATTGAATTTAGTAATCTACTACCTTCGGCAAGGTATGCACATCTTCTGGATTTTGACTTCTTTTGTCCCTTAAAATGATTCTTTTCCTCCACATAGGGTACAAGGGGGTCTTTGTTTTGAGGACTGGCATATAGGTTGGTAACTTTTTACAATTAAATAAATTGCTTAGATTCCTAGCTTGTGAAAAAAGACAGCTGTAAATGACTGAAAAAATAGATCAGCCCAAGAAGATACAGTGGTACCTCGGGTTACATACACTTCAGGTTACAGACTCCGCTAACCCAGAAATAGTGCTTCAGGTTAAGAACTTTGCTTCAGGATGAGAACAGAAATCGTGCTCCGGCAGCGTGGCAACAGCGGGAGGCCCCATTAGCTAAAGTGGTGCTTCAGGTTAAGAATAGTTTCAGGTTAAGAACGGACCTCCGGAACGAATTAAGTACTTAATCCGAGGTACCACTGTATTCTTTTGCTAGTGGAACATTTCATTTTCCTGAAGTTGCTATGAAATAAGATCTGTGTGCTTGGTCGCAGTTAGAGGCAGCTGAGCCATCAGAAGATGGCTTTGCAACTGTACTTCCATACAGAGGTTTTATAAGGACTTAAATAAGCACACCTGAGACAAGGAAGCTACATGGCATCTCTGCTCCTCACTCCTCTATGCAAAACGCCATACAATGTGAGATCTATTTTTGCCACATTGTTTCCCATAAACTGCAACCTAGGCATATTAATTGGGAGAATCTGTAACATCTTCTTTGTTGTGGTGCTGAATGTTTGTAATGAAAAAAACATTTTTAGTAAAAAAAAAAGTCTGCCTAAATTAAGTGTAATTCCAGTTCTTGATTTGTGTGAGTTATACATCTGAATAAATTTTTAGTTAATTACCTTTTATCTTTTGGTTGTAACAATGATGGGAATTAGCAGAAAAAGCCCAATTTCTAACATCTTGAGTCAAAATACAGTTCTTCAAAATCTTACCATGCAATTCTGAGCATATGTATTCAGAAGTAAGTAGGGCTTACTCCCAGGTAAGTGGATTTAGGATTGCAGCATTAGTCTATTTTCCCAAAAGGTTGCATTATTTAGTGTCAACATTTTTGAATCAAAAATTCTTCTTAGGTGAAGCTCAATCACAGGCGGTTAGCCCTCTTCCTGTCCCATCCTCACAGGATGAATAAATGTATGAGAGAAAAGAATGTGATTTTTTTTTATCTTGCCCCTGTTCTGTTCAGAAGGCATCTGCTAATCCATTTTATTAAAAAAAGACCTTTGCTCTGAAAAAATAGCAGAAAATAAAAAATGACGTAACCCATATTTGTTATAAAGACTAAAGAAATGTATAATCAGCAAGTACACATTTGTTGCAGTTTATGGTTCCTTTTCATCCTTTGTTTTTGAATGCCTTTATGAAAAGATGAATTATGATGTGGGAAGGTGACATGGGAAATACAATATGCACTGTAATGTGTTCTTTCAGATGATGTGCAGGAAGCCTACAATCTGATTAAAGACCTGGAACCTACAACCCCACAGGTAAAAAGAAATATTTGGATATGATTATACATATAATGGAAGACATGGTCATCTGGGATAGGTTCTGTCAGAGAGTGGAACACTTTCCTAAAAGAAGATATTTGAATCTGTTTACTTTATTTGGACATAAAGTATATCATTCTTGGATCAAAACGAAACAGGCATGCAGATCTTCATCCATTTTTAAAACTATGGTTGAGTCCAGACTAAAGTTGCAATCCTAACCTCACTTAGTTGGATTTAGTCCCATTGAATTCAATAGGTCTTACTTCTGAGTAGACATGCTTAGGATTGTGCAGTACATTAGTTGCCCTGTTTCCACAGAAATCATTGTGAAAAGGTAGTCCTGTCTTGCCTTAGATTACACTGAAATCAATAGAAACCAAATGTTAATAGCTTACTCTGGATCTAACTCTGTATCTTTTAATTGTTTGCACCTTGTTTGATAGAGACAAAAGGATGAGTCACACAACACATTTGGTCAAAACCTTAAGACATTGTCAAAATATTTAAGGAGCACAAGAATAGCACAAATAACATATTGCGGTGTCTTTTTTTTTTTTTTACAGTTTAGAGATTTATTCCATATTCATACGAAACTTTAAAACTGTTTCAATATGCACTATCTTAATGCATTTAAACATGTGTTCTCATATAATATATTGGCTTAAAACTTCAGGGGAAAATGCATAGATCTTAAAACCTATGCTGGTTCTGTACTAAAAGACAGTGAATGGAAACAGTATTTTATAGGAAGAGAAGCATTTATTTGACAGACTTTTCAAATTAGGTTCAGAGCTAGTGAATGCCAGAAGAAGAACTGGAAAACTGAGCAGAAGATCCCCCCCCCCATTTATAATTTCCCTCCTTTTTATAATGTGTTCTCTGAACTACAGCCTCTGATTATTTCATGCAAGTTACTAACTGCGCGTGTCAAGATTGATTTTGGTTTATATATTTAATACAGTTACTTAGAAACCATGGAAACAGGCTATTCAGAAATCTATGTATTTGTAAAGCAATTTGAACAGAATACTTCACAAGTTGCTTTAAAGCTTCATTAAATGGTTGTCTCATTTTATATAATCTTTCTCTAGGAGTATATCCTAAAGGGAGTGGTGAATGCAGTCCTAGGCCAGGAAATGGGCTCAGTGAGTACAATACCTTTTTTACATCAGTAATTCATATGGAGTACACGAGAACACATTGCAATTCAGCTAACAGGTTGATTTTGATACTAACTTGCCTCTTGCTCTTTTGTATTTCCTACATATTTGCCAGTGAAAAAATGGAATTGTGAATCATCATATACACTAATGATGATGCTATAGGGTGATATCAGCATGTTTAGAGGAACCTCAAAATTTCTAGAAATAGAAAAAATATTGGGAGTGGGATTTAAGAAGGCAAAGCCCAAGACACTCCCATGGGGACTGAGTGTGCTCTGTGGCCTCAGAATGCAGAGTATTGGTGGAGAGGGAGGGGGAAATGAAAGACTTGATGGTGGAGGAATGAACTATGCTGCACAAAGGCAAGGTTGCACTGAACAGGAATCCTGCATATAGTAACATTTTTGTGACAGGTTGAATATTTCTGAAAGTCAATAAACTTAGGCTCTCCAGTCTACGGACAACCAGAGAGACTAGGTTCATTGCCCCCACACGTACTGCCTGAATTCCTTCGGCATCTGCAGGTGGATGAGGAGATAACCAAGATACTAAAACCCTTTTATTCTCTATTGTTAGCTGAAGTCTGTTATCTGGACAATGACTTTTTGTTTTCTTGTTGTGAATTTTAAAAGAGTTCTATTATTTTACACTTATATTATTATTTTAAAAGCCAAATCAAAATAATAAACTTTGTTTCTCTATCTGTTTTTACATAACATCTGCATGTAATATTTAGTTTGGTCTCCATATTCCAAAGATTTGTCTATGCTCTGCCCCATTGCTCAGCGCTTTCATGGATTTAATGTTTCTTTGTTTCTTTTCCAGAGAGACCACTTGAAAATTGCTCAGCAGTTCTTTCAGCTGGTAGGAGGATCTGCCAGTGAATGTGGTATGTTTTAACTTTTCTTTTTTCTCATTCCTTCAGATGTCAATATTGCCAGTGAATGCAACCATTTTGTTACCTGGGTCAAGTAAAAAACATGGTTAATATCTTTCTCTGTCTTAGTGACCCGAACCATATATATACACTGTACTTACATCTGCCACCAAAAACAGAGGCCTCATGTCTAGTTCGCAGTAATGTCTAATTTGCCTTACTTGGATCATGGCTTAACAATATTGCTCACTTTCCTGACTTTTCTATACATTCCTGTACATTTGCTTATCCCCTGCTAGCAGAAAATTCCTAACATAATTAGGAAAAGTTGTAGAAGACATAACAGGAGAATTGAGGAACTTGACACGCAGGTTGCATTTTCACAGATCATAATATGTACATTGTTTAGGTTGATCTTAAATTTGTACACCTAATCTGCATAGGTTATGAAAGTTCATATCACACTAAGCTCTTTAAGGTACTGCAGTGGACTAATATGGCTACATCTCTAAAATATTTTCAATATAATACATAAGGAGAGCCTGCTCTTTCCCCCCTTTATAGGAATCCTGTGTTCAACCATGCATAAGACTATTTTTACACTGGGATGTTTTCTTGTGTCGTGGAAGTATTGCTTATGTTTTATGCAAACGGGAATGTTTAAGCAAGTTCCACTATCCCAAAACAAGAGGACGCCTCTTGCTGGTCAGCTAAGAAACAGAGGAAAATAGTGAAAGAACACCTGACTGATAGTTCAGTTGGAAACCAATATGTGTAATATGCTATATCAAAAACACTTAGGGCTATTTTTCTCAACTTGTCAAACTTATTCTGAGTGCAGACTTGTTTGCCACAAAGTATAAACTGACCTGGTAGCCAGATTGTGGTTCTGGGCTATTATATATAGAGATGCTAGACTATGTTATCTCAGAAATAAACTAATCAGACTCAAAAATTGTGCATATAACTTCTGTTCTTCAGATACAATCCCCGGGAGACAGTGCATGGCATCTTGCTTCTTTCTGCTCAGGCAGTTTGATGATGTCCTTATTTACCTTAACTCAGTGAAGGTTAGTACGTTTTATATCAGCTGGTAGTCTCCTACAAATCTTTACATGTATTACTTTGTGTGTGATGCATAAACTTGCCACACAAAAAATGGAGGTGAAAAGAAGGGATGGTTATCTCAATCACATTTCTGAGAGAGTTTTATTTTAAAATATAAATATATATTCAGCCCTTTGGGGCAAGTGCCCTCATAAGGCAGCATAGAAAAACAGTTGTATAAAACATATAAAAGGAGCATCTTAAAATATACATTACATCCCTTTGAAAAATTATCAGTGAACCATCATCAATTGAATAAAGGCAGATCAAAACAAAAATGCCTTAAGAATTCTTTTTAAAACCACCAGTGAAAGGGCAATATACACTTTATGAATGACTGCGTTTCATAAGTATAGGTCAAGCCCTGAATATCCGGTACCCATCAGCTTAAGCTTTCTTCTTGACAGAACAGAGAGAACGACATGTGATGCTGACTTTTGAGCTTGGACAGGGTCATAGACACCTCTTAGAAACTTTGGTGATTATTTCAGCTTTTTTATACGCTTAAGTAAATGTAGGTGCAGGCCGTACTTTAGATAACCTGATCCCAAATCATTTAACATTGTAAAAGTTCACAAGTGCTTGTGCCTTATTTTTCTGGCATTTTCAGTGAGCATTCGATCGTCGGCCCTCTTTTTCTAAGTTCCAGTTTAAACTCCACTATGTATGTAATTAGGATTTTGTGCTTCTGTTGAATGTCATCTGCCATTCTGTGGACATTCTAATTTGTAGAGTAGAGTAGGAGGAGACATGATAGAGACAGGATAGACATGTTGGGGGAAAGGTGAATAGGGATCATGGTTTGCTGCTCCCACTAGCACTAGGGGGGAGGAATGAAACAGGAGCGATTTCTGTGTTCAGAATAAACCATTATCTATAGTTTTGTGACATGAGAACTGAGCTGTTGTAGAAAGGAATGAAAGAGATGAAAACAGAAGCAAATTAAAAATTAAAGGCCCACAAAGAGAGTCTAAAAACTGAGTACAATATAGAACTGATTAAATAAAAGTGCTTGAGTAAGCAGCTGGTGAGACATACCTGAAGACTGGTAGCACTGAACAAAGCCTGATTCATAATCTGATCATACAGTTAATTTGGTGCTTACACATTCCATTCTGACTGAGGCTTGGTGTCTGTTGGCATTCTGCCACTTTCTGTTCCCAACCAGTGTGTCTGGGAAGTGCTTTGTACCTCCCACACAGCCAAAGATATCAGCACAAATGACTTTCCCACAACTGAAGGTGAACAGTGCTTTTTCTTGGGCAAGTACTTGGCATGGATGTGGGCAAAAAAGTGCTTTGATCAAGTTCCACTTCTACATGGTTGTTATTTTGCTACCATTCTGAAATTCTTAGTCACTTAGGTGTGGTCACCTGGGCCATGCTTATGTAAGGGCAGAACCAAATAGGAAAGCTTATCTGTGAAAGATCTAAGGAATTATTGGCTGATTAGAGCGTCTTGGCTGATTAGAGCGTGTCCAGACGAGGTGCGGGCCCTCCTGGGGGATATCATCAATTTGTCCCTTGGCACGGGGACATTCCCAGGGGAACTGAAGGAGGCAGTGGTGCGCCCGCTCTTAAAGAAAACATCATTAGATCCTTTAGATCTATCCAATTACCGCCCGGTTTCGAATCTTCCGTTCCTGGGTAAGGTGATTGAGAGAGCGGTTGCTGAACAGCTTGGTGGCTTTCTAGATGAAACATCGGCTCTGGATCCATTCCAGTCCGGCTTCCGCGCTGGTCATCGGACCGAGACGGCTCTGGTTGCCCTAACAGATGATCTTCGTAGACAGCTGGATCGAGGCGGGTCAGGGCTGCTGATTCTTCTAGACCTGTCAGCAGCTTTCGACATGGTTGATCACGAACTTCTGGACCACCGCCTTGCCGACATGGGGATCCAGGGCACAGTCCTTCAATGGCTGCGCTTGTTTCTCTCTGGTCGGGGACAGAGGGTGGCGCTTGGGGGGGAATTGTCATCGCGCCACTCCTTGGTGTGTGGAGTACCTCAGGGTGCGATACTCTCCCCGATGCTTTTCAACATCTTTATGCGCCCCCTCGCTCAGCTTGTTCGGAGTTTTGGGCTGGGTTGCCATAAGTATGCCGATGACACCCAACTCTATCTGTTGATGGATGGCCATCCTGACTCGGCCCCAGACATACTGACCAGATGTTTGGAAGCTGTGGCTGGATGGTTACGTGGGAGCCGGTTGAAGCTAAATCCTTCGAAGACAGAGGTCCTGTGGCTGGGACGGGGCGATATGGGATTGGGGGGGGCAACTCCCATCTCTTGTGGGGGGCGCAATTAGTGCCAGCACCGTCTGTTAAGAGTTTGGGTGTAATCTTCGACACCTCCCTTTCCATGGAGGCGCAGATTGCAGCTATAACAAAGACGGCATTTTTCCATCTCCGCCAAGCTAAGCAGTTGGCTCCTTACCTCTCTCGCCCTGACCTAGCCACTGTGATCCACGCGACGGTCACCGCCAGACTGGATTATTGTAACTCGCTCTACGTGGGGCTGCCCTTGAGACTGACCCAGAAACTCCAGCGGGTGCAGAATGCTGCAGCGAGACTCCTTACGAGGTCTTCGCTGCGAGATCACATTCACCCGGTGCTATACCAGCTGCACTGGCTCCCGGTGGAGTACAGGATCAGGTTTAAGGTGCTGGTTTTAACCTTTAAAGCCCTATACGGCCTAGGACCCTCGTACCTACGGGACCGCCTCTCCTGGTATGCCCCACAGAGAAACTTACGGTCTTCAAATAAAAACATCTTGAAGGTCCCAGGCCACAGAGAAGTTAGGCTGGCCTCAACCAGAGCCAGGGCTTTTTCGGCTGTGGCTCCGATCTGGTGGAACACTCTGTCACAAGAGACCAGGGCCCTGCGGGACTTGACATCTTTCCACAGGGCCTGCAAGACAGAGCTGTTCCACCAGGCCTTTGGCCAGGGCACAGCCTGACTCCCTCCTCGGCAATCTTCGCGGAGCTCTGGCCCAATGGTTGCCAGTGGCTTGAATTAATTAATTTTATAATGAATGATTTCAGAGTGTTGTTTATGCTGTACTTTTGTACTGTTTTATTGTTGTTAGCCGCCCTGAGCCCGGCTTCGGCTGGGGAGGGCGGGATATAAATAAAATTTATTATTATTATTATTATCCCAAAGCGCATATGACAGGGATTTAATAAGGATGTCTTCTATTATTCAGTGATCACACAGTAACAGCACAAAATCAGTATCTCCACAGAACTTTAGCATCCCAAGAATCTCCACTTTAATTTTAAAGAGCAAGTGTCTCGCTTTCTGTTTGTGAAAATATTTCTAAGTGTGGGAAACCCTAGATAAAATCTCATAACTGAGCATTGATGCTGAATGGGGCCGAGTTTCAATGTACTGACTAATGCCTTGTCCTTCTGCAGTTATACAAATGAGCAGAAATAGCATTTAGGACAATATGCTCTGGGCTGTCCTTTGTATCAAGAGTATGTGGCAGGGGGTGTATCTTACCATACAGTACACAGTGGATGCATTCTGACCTCACATTTCCTGAAATTCCAGATCATGGATCATACCTGCTGTCTCATTCTTTCGTGCATCTGGCTTAATAAAATATTTCTGTAAAACAGTTTGACATGTTACCTGAACTGGCAATCTGGCTTAAACAATCCAGCCAAATCAGAATCAATCTGTAGTTTGCAATCCTAGTTTGCAGGGATTGCTCACATCACAGTTTGCCAGTTTGAATGTCACAGAAAACTCTGTTTTGGCAAACCAGGGAATGCTATATTAAGTTGAATGCACAAGGGGAGGAGGGTGCATGTGTACATTCGGTTAATTCATGATTAGTGAATGTGACATCTAGCTGCAGCAAATGTAATTAGGGTGGCCAGGCAAAAAAAATAGACAGGCTGCTGCACCTTTAATAGTTGTTGGAAGAAGAGAGAAATTCATCAAGTGTAGTTGGACTGGTGAAATTCTGTCTTCTACATACAACTTTTAAAGGTTGCTTGTCCTATTTTTCATCTTGTCACACTAAAAGTAACCTATTCATAAAAATGGGTGAAAGAAATCTAGAATCCTATACATATTCTACATCTCCTATTATGCATATTTGTTGTTGTTTAGTCGTTTAGTCGTGTCCGACTCTTCGTGACCCCATGGACCAGAGCACGCCAGGCACTCCTGTCTTCCACTGCCTCCCGCAGTTTGGTCAAACTCATGTTAGTAGCTTCAAGAACACTGTCCAACATATCATCCCCTGTCATCCCCTTCTCCTTGTGCCCTCAATCTTTCCCAACATCAGGGTCTTTTCCAGGGAGTCTTCTCTTCTCATGAGGTAGCCAAAGTATTGGAGCCTCAGCTTCAGGATCTGTCCTTCCAGTGAGCACTCAGGGCTGATTTCCTTCAGAATGGATAGGTTTGTTCTTCTTGCAGTCCATGGGACTCTCAAGAGTCTCCTCCAGCACCATAATTCAAAAGCATCAATTCTTCAGTGATCGGCCTTCTTTATGGTCCAGCTCTCACTTCCATACATCACTACAGGGAAAACCATAGTACATCATATATCTCTCCTGCTTTTGAGTCCAGTGGCCATTTCTTATGCAATTCTCTTTGGATGTGGGTACACATTAAGTACAGAATACTCATGGATTGCAGCAAATAGGAATACTGCATGCATGAATTACCGGTACTCACTGTTTTATCAATTTAGTTCTGAAATGGTTTTATCACTTTCCAGGACTGCTGCACTAAGGAACCCAAACTATTTGAACATACAGTACAGTACAGTGGTACCTCGGGTTACATACGCTTCAGGTTACAGACTCCACTAACCCAGAAATAGTGCTTCAGGTTGAGAACTTTGCTTCAGGGTGAGAACAGAAATTGTTCTCCGGCGGCATGGCAGCAGCAGGAGGCCCCATTAGCTAAAGTGGTGCTTCAGGTTAAGAACAGTTTCAGGTTAAGTACGGACCTCCGGAACGAATTAAGTACTTAACCCGAGGTACCACTGTAGTATAGTTCTAAGGAGATCTTCAGCACTCACAGAACTAAATTATGGAATTAGACATGAATGTTTTGAAGAGTTGGGTAGAGATTTAGAGAAAGAGGCAGTTTTTTCACAGCAGGATTTAACATGCCCAGAAAGAAAGGCATACGAAAGAAAGCTGCCACCCTGCAAATCCATTGTGACCAGTTCTGTGGAATGTTTCAGCTATGTACTGAGTCACAAAGCCATTTGAGCTACTATTTGTAAAGGTGTTTTTTTTTACTCTATTATCTGGTACATCTTCAAGTTTTAAAGTATGTTTTTTATTTATTGTGCACAACTTATTTTCCAGAGTTACTTCTACAATGATGACACTTTTAACTTTAACTATGCCCAAGCCAAAGCTGCTACTGGCAATACTAGTGAGGCTGAGGAGGTATGTAGCTTCTTCTTTAAAAACACCACATGCAAGGAACACACTTCCTGATTACCTTCTGGGTCATCTTGGATATGCTCTGAGGATAGCCTTTTTTGCTTTACTTCTAAAAATATATAATGCCTAGATGACTGCTATTAATTATCCTTCTGCTTAGACTGACTTTCCCTACTTGTGGCCTTTTTAGGTCTTGAAACTTTCTTATATAATGATTCTGTTGAATGTTTTGTTATTTGAAATTCATCTGTATTTTTAAGTAGACACATACTTATGGTATATATCATGCAGCAGATATTTAATGCAAACAGACATTTGTTTTTTCTATCTGTTTCCCCCTCAGGTGTTCCTCTTGATTCAAAATGAGAAGATAAAAAATGATTTTGTTTATCTCAGCTGGCTAGCTCGCTGCTGTGAGTCACTTTGCCCTGTTATAGAATGTAGATTTTTTTGTTGCATTAGCCCTGTTGCTATTTCTCCTTAAACTTGTTTTAACCTTGTGGGTGGATTTAATTAATTTTTTAGATATAATTGGATACCTTTATAAGAGGCAAGTGCCCTACAAAAAGTAAATCTTGCCATAGCCTGTGAGTAAGCAAGAGTGGTTGGGAGTCTACTCAAGGAAAAGGTGGTGTCTTGGTATCACTTGCAAAATATTTCAACAGAACAAGTACTGGTAAAAATTCTTGTTTGTTCTTGTTCTTTGGGACAAGTACAGCTGAGACAACTGCAATTAAATTTCCAAACATTTAATTGTTTGGTCCCTGCAGCACTCTACCTTAATTACATTTGTGAGAGAGCAATCTGAAGTTCTCATTAGCTATTGATAGCAAATATGCTCACATATTACGGGTTTTAAAAGGCAGCCATCTTGACAGAAGATCTGGCATGAAATTCAGCCCACATGGCTCTTGCTAACCATAGAGAGTTTGTGATAATTTTATGAAACAGGATATTTTGGCTCAGAGTTTGGGTTCAAAGTGATACATACAGGTGGTACAATACAGTAGAGAACCCTTAGATGGTTTGTCTCTTAAACATCACCTTTCTTGGTTTCTAAAATAGGATGGGCTGTTACTTTCTGCCCTGTAACTTTCCAGTTACCCACACAAACATAGGAAGGGGTGAACTTTGACCTCCCAACACACAGTAAGAAGTAGACTATGCTATCTGGTTCCTTAGTAAGGAAGTCAGTCAGGTTCAGACAGGCAGATCTCTATAAAAGCTTCATACATAATCTAGATGAACTTAGACATGTTACATTGCTGGGGTGGGGGGAAGCTGGCAAGAATTGCACAAAACTAGGAAATTTTATTTTATGGATTTGGATTCTGGATCACCTTCAAAGGTAGCCCCACGTAGAGCACATTGCAGGAGTCCAAGCTGGAGATAACTAGAGCATGCACCACTGTGGCAAGACAGTCCGCGGGCAAGAGCACTGGGGTTACGGAAATTGCAGTGGCAGCTTCTGCCAGCAGGAAGTTATACAATTGAGGTTTTCCAGTGTGACAGTGTGCATGTTTATGTGTGCAGCAATATTGTGCAAAGTGACTGATGTAATAATGTATGCAGAGCTCTGAATTTCTCTCAAAAATGGAATCAGTTGCCTCTTTAGAATCCTGGTTCCTTTACTGAGCTCTGTGAAGAATTGTCAGACAATTAAATGCTATTAGAGAATATTGTAGCAAAATAAATGCTGAATTGGTATCATCCTCTGCCATTGGTAAAAGTGCAGTGGTGTTAGCTGTCATAGCTTGTAAGTGTTAATTGGTTTTAGAGTCAACTGTTTCTACTGTGTTTGGTGTCGAGTAACTCTAGGTAAGGGCACTATATTTTTAAATAGCTGTTGTTGTTTAGTCGTTTCCGACTCTTTGTGACCCCATGGACCAGAGCACACCAGGCATAAATAGCTATACCAATGTAAATATATAATTATCATTATATGGACAATTATCTATAAGTTTTATTCTTAAAGTGCAGTAATAATAAGCCTCCTTTCAAAGAATAGTATAACACCAATATTTCTGGGAACCTTATAAGCATTGCTATTAAATGGACCTTAAAATTACAGACATGATATGAAATAGATACTTATGCTAAACTGGGTATATACAACTAAATGCTTTTATAATTGAATACCATTCATCTGTTTGACCAGTGTTTTTACATGACCACAGAAGAGCAATATAAGGCTAAGGAAATTAATGCTACTGGTGTATACTTGTTTGGAATAAGTGTAGAAATACAAGGAGTGTTAACTTCTGTGTACATATTATATAGAGAAGAGCAGAAAAGAGCAACTGGGGTTGAAAACAGGAGGACTACTAACTGAATTTTCTAATAGACCTTTTTTGTCTATTCAAATGTTCAGCCTGTCACTAGGAGATGCCTGCCATGTGCTCAAATTCCAAGGCAGGCATGATACGTCTATAGTTTATGAGCATTGTCCCACAGAATCTGAATCTCCTAATTGCAGAATTGTAGAAGCACTGGCCTTTTATATAAATTAAGATAACAGTTCATTGCCAAAAATTAAAATGCTTAAAAGTTAAAGCCTTTATAAAATGTTGCCTTTTCATCCTTTAAATAAACATTTGAGCAATGTGCGATTTCTAAGCAGAACAAACAGATCAGTGGAATGAATGGCATGTGTTTCCAAATGGAAACTTAATGTTATGCAGATTACCTCTGTGCTAATTAGACATGGGATGGATTTCCTGACACTTTTTTGTATCTCCTGATTATTAGAATGTGGCTTTTTGTACTGCAGGTAGCAATGGGTGTGTTACATTGCTTTTTACCTTATCTGAATGATAGAAATAAAGACGTGTACTGCTGATTAGAATGCTTATCCACTTTTGCAAACACTATGTGATGACATGTCTCCACTAGCTCTAGCTTTTTGTTAATTGCAGACATTATGAATAAGAAGCCACGACTAGCCTGGGAGCTGTACCTGAAGATGGAAACCTCAGGAGAGTCTTTCAGCCTTTTGCAACTAATTGCAAATGACTGCTACAAAGTGAGCCTCCCTCTCTTCCCCTCCCATCATTAGTTATTAGTATCAGTTATTACCCCCTAAGAGACTACTGAATTTTTTTAATGAACTGAATATTTTCTAGCCCTTGGAAAGTTGGAACATTTTGCCTGCAAAAGCATATACTTTACCTCTGAGCAAAATTCATTCCCTATATTAGTAGTGAATATAAAATTTTAATTCTAAGATTTAAGAAACAAGCATAAAAGTGTTAATTGGGAAGCAAACTTCTTTCACTAGCATGCTTCACTAGGTATCTAAAGTATTTCAAGCTAAGCCAATAAAAGTTTCTTAACTTAGGCTTGTTCTTTTACTGCTGTTTTCAAGTCAACTAGCATTATGATGAATACATTAGTGCGGCTAGATCTAGAGGAGTGTTTAGAACTGTTTGTGCAATTGGCAAATTATTTAGTTGGAGGCATTGTGCTCCTTTCTGTGTATGATTTAAGTGTTTCTTTACAGTAGTGTTTTAACACAAGATGATTTTCATAACTTGCCTGTTTATAAAATTGGAGTGTGCCTGATCCCCTGATTGGGATCAGAAAATTTCCACTGGCTTCTGTTATTTGTTCTTATGAATGGCTGTATTATTTTATATTTCTGATGTAAGATTGGTGCCTTGAGCATGTAACTTTCTTTCCTGTACAGATGGGCCAGTTTTACTATTCTGCAAAAGCCTTTGATGTTCTGGAAAGACTGGATCCTAACCCTGAATACTGGGAAGGCAAAAGGGGTGCTTGTGTGGGCATCTTCCAGATGATCATAGCTGGCAGAGAACCCAAGTACGTACACTGATTTTCTTTGTACTACCTTGGGGTCAGTGTCCTGGATTCTTACACTCTTCTAGCTCACTGTTAAATGTGTATGGCAGGGGCAGGGAACCTTTCTCACCTTGAGGGCCACATTCCTTCTGGGCAACCTTTTTGGGGGCTACGTGCTAGTGGTGGGTGGGGTCCAGGGCAAAAGTGGGCAGAACAAATGTAAAACTTACCTTTGTACAGTATGATAGTTTCTATACGCACTTGCACGCCCCTTTCCATCCTTCATTCAGACAAGCAAAATGTATTGAGGGAGCTCAAGGGCACATCCCAGTCAGGCAAAAACACTTGGGGTGTGAAGCTGGGCCAGTTAGGGTTGTGACCTGCGTAGGGTTATGAGGGCCAGATAGGGAGGCCTATATGGCCTTATTTCACCCCTGGGTTCCCTACCCTGGTTTATAGGAACAGAAGGATGAAGGCCCAGCCCTTTTCAGTTAAAAAGTCCTAATAACTGATAAACATTTTTAAGAAGGCTTAAACATTACACGTTCACCTCAATAAGGCCAATACAGTGGTGCCTCGCAAGACGAAAAGAATCCGTTCCGCGAGTCTCTTCGTCTTGCGGGTTTTTTCGTCTTGCGAAGCAAGCCCATTAGAGGTTTAGCGGCTTAGCGCTACAGTATTAGCGGCTTAGCCGGCTTAAAGATCAGCTGATAAGCGGCTTAACGATCAGCGGATAAGCGGCTAAGCATCAGCTGTTAAGCGGCTTAAAGATCAGTTGATAAGCGGCTTAGCATCAGCTGTTAAGCGGCTTAAAGATCAGCTGATAAGCGGCTTAGCCATCAGCTGATAAGCGGTTTAGCGGCTTGGGAAAAAGGGGGGGGAACCCTGCAGGAACTCGCAAGACATTTTCGTCTTGCGAAGCAAGCACATAGGAAATTCGTTTTGCGAAGCACCTCCAAAACGGAAAACCCTTTCGTCTAGCGGGTTTTCCGTCTTGCGAGGCATTCGTCTTGCGGGGCACCACTGTAAAAAGAGACACAGGGATAAGCAGTTATCGTGCAATGGGACACATACTTTCCAAAGCAATTTGGATACAAAATTGACTAGACATTTATGGTATCCAACAGTGTTGCTCAGCTGATGGTAGGGCTTCTATCAGCAGAGCAGGGAGGGGAATAGTTTTTAGCCATTTCCCTCTACTGCCCAGAGTGCATTTAAGAAGCTGCAGGGAAGAAGGGCAATTGCTGAAAACTTCTTCACTCGCTGTTTTGCTGACAGAACTCTTACCATCTGCTGAGTGGCACTTTGCAATACAATCCTTTCTCTTTCAGACTTGTCCTCATTTTTATTTACATCTTTGTCTTTTCTGTCTTCAGAGATACCCTAAGGGAGGTGTTACATCTCTTGAGGAGTACGGGTAACCCGCAGGTAGAGTACATAGTTCGTATAATGAAGAAGTGGGCCAAGGAAAACAGAGTGCCCCTGTAAACCAACATCACCAAAATAATAGAAGTAACTGCCATCTGTGATGTGCCTGACTGGAATATTTGCGGCGTCTTCTAGCCTAATACCAGCATTATGAAGACTGTAACAATGCAAAATATTCAGAATAGATATTTATTTTTATATTGATAACTCTTTTTAAAATTTAAACTGTATGTATTGCATATATTTGTGGGAAGAATATGTGACTTTAGTTATGCAACATCTCCCAAGTTCCATTTTTTTTTGTACTGCAATTGCTAGTTTTTAACTGTTCATGCTAGCTTCAGTCCATGGGTTGTTCTATTTTTGTATATTCAACAATGCACTGTGTTGGTACTGTACTGAGACTGCTCAAGAACTGGCCTATGCTGCACACAGATGGACTCTAGTCTCATTGTATCACTTCTCAAAGCAAAATACAAAATTAACTCAATAATACTCAGCATTTCATATTAATACTCTTGGAGCTTGTTTGTACGTTAACACTTAGCCAAATCATGGCCTCACTCTGGATATTGCAGCAGCAAGACCAGAGGGAGGAGCAAAGGAGCTGTGATTTTCACTCTGGGTACATGCATTATTGTTCTTTCTCATTAAGTCATAGCTTGGTTTAGTGTGGTTTGTGATCCGAGCCCTGGGCAGTCATTACAAACAATATATTTCTGAATTGTAACAAAACCCCAGCATATGATAGGATGTCTTTGACTTCAGATGTACTTTTAATTACTGAGGCCTCTTGCATATTGTGAGGCACCTTTTACAGAGAATAGCTGAATCATATGCTGTTCATTTCTTTATCTGGTTCCCCAGGGAGGTTTTGTCAATTGATTTAAGAAAGATTGTTAGCTCATGCTATCTACAATTAACATGCTAATCTGAAAGGTACCTACCTTTCCCTGCAAATGTTTGCAATTAGTTTGAGGGATTAGGGGAATTGCTTTCAGATTTTACTCCTGAAAACAAGATTTTGAAGAGACACAAAAGAACATGCATTGGAAAAAACACAGTAAAATATGCATTGCACACTTGTACAGTTTTTATGTATGTAGTTCAAAATTATTTTTATGCTTCTAACTTTTCAAAAAAATGTTTGTAATCTGCCCAAAATTTTAATTCTCGGGTAAAATCCCAAAGAAATAAAGAAACTTAGAGAATAACTCATTATGCATATTTAAGTACCTTATAAAAATAGAAAATTTGTTCTCTTGTGAATGTGACTAAAATGAATACTGTATGGTATGTATTGTTATGACTTAATATTATGGATTTTAATTTAAATATAAAATATGCAAGGCACTACTACAGGTAATGTGTTTGTGCTTTGCAACTGTAACTCTGAAATACACAATTGAAAATTTGTAATTTGTAATTGAGTAAATTTTCATCAAAGCCTGCTGGAAACAAGAATCAAAATTGGCTGGTCTGTCTCCATCTTTGGGTGAAATACACAGGCTGGTGAAAAATGGGAATCAATAGAAAACTAGGCAGTCCTGGGAAATTTGGAAACCAATTTTAGGTATATTTTTTTTTCTAGGCAATTATTCTAGGCAATATAGGTATTATTTTTTCTAGGCAAAAAGTCAATAGATTGGGTAGCTGAATTGTTGGAAAATTCAGAACAGAAAAAAGGGTGCACTTCTTCATATACAGTAGTACATATTTTAAACCTGTTATTTGCCACCAACTTGGATGTCTTTTAAAAGGGGATTAAATTACTGGAGGATAAGGCTATCAGTAGCGACTAGTTATGATGGCTGTGTAATACATCCAGTATTGCAGGTGGTATGCCTCTGAATACAGCAAGTGGGGAGTGGGCTGTTAAATTCATATCCTGCTTTACAAACATCTGGTTAGCCATTGTAATATGAGGCTTTGGTCTGATCAAGTGGGACTTTTATGTTACTTTCGTGTGTTTTTCTTGGCCTCCCACCACCAAAATGTGTCCGCTCTTTGGGGACAGAAACGTTTTGGAGGTAGATTAGGATCCCAAACTCAGGGTTAGCCACATTTTTTTTCATTCCAAAATATGGGGTGCCAAATATCATACTGTTTCTAGAGATAGGAACTGCACGGAGAATTTGGAGTTCATAAACTGCATTAAACTGGTCCTGGGAGGTTGCAGGTGATTGATAAGCCCAAATTTCCACCTGCTCTTCTACCAGTGTCAACGGAAATTCAGTGAAGAAGTGAAAACACTTCAGTGGCATTGTTGTTGTGCAGATTGCTTAAGAGGTAACACGGTTGCAGAAGATCTTCAAAGGTCTATTTCATCTACTTAAAACAGCTGCATCATAAAAAATTCATGTGCAAGTATTTTCCCATATTCACGTTTTTATTCGTGACGATTAGTATCTGGCAAAGAGCTGCTTCCCATAATCACCTCCTTATACACGGGTTACTAAGATCTGAACCGACCCCCAAATGTATACGATTTTCTCATTACAGTAGTTGCGGAATGAAAAAGATATATTCTTATGTCAGAAATGCTCATGCGTGGATGTATCCTCTCGGAAGTTGCTGCCGACATTGCGCTTGCTCTGTGCTTATGGGCCGTTTAAAATTCCAGCCGTGGGCGTGGCGGACGAGCTGAATCGCGGGGGGAAGAGAAGATGCCTGGGTAGCAGCCCACGTTCATTCAAAGCAAAGTTCGACTCCTGCTCCTTTAAGAATCTTACGGTAGAGCAGCGTGCATATTTCCAAGGCAACTATGGGCGGGGTTCCAGCGTCTTCAACGTGCGATCGCGGTGACGTACTGAAAACCTGAGCAATAACAACAGTGACGTGCGGCGGCGCGTCCGTGGCGGTCCCGCTTTTGCGCATGCGTGCCCTAGTGGCCTGCTTCTATTTACGTGGGGGGGCTCCAAGATGGCGGCGGTGTTAGCAGCGAGGAGAGCCTAGTGAGGAAGGGGGGGGAGGTACCCTGACCCGGTTAAGGGGAGGGAACGGGCGGAGGAGGAGCCGGAGTTGTGGGTGGTGAGGGAGGGTCACCGAACAGGTGGGAAGGGGGGGTGGGGGGGTTAGATGATGGCGGAGCCGCGCCGGGTGCCGTTAATTAGTCTGTCACCCGTGAGGCGGCGAGAAGGCGAGACTCCGGTGCTCGAGCGAGAGCCTGGAGGGGGTCGCGAGGCGGAGCAGCCATTGGTGTGTGAGGCCCTGAAACTGCCAGAACAGCCGCCGCAGCAACACCACCACCACCTCCACCACCACGATAGTGGCCGAGCAGAGCCTCCACCGCAGCCCTTCGAGTCCTGCTCCCGACTGGAGTTACAGTCGGCGGTGATACCGCGCGAGGTCAGCCGGCCTGAGCAGACGCCGAAGCCGCTGCTGCCACCTCAGCGTGAGCCGCCAAGGCCAGAGCCGCCGCCGCCGCCGCCGCCTCCGCCTCCGTCGAACCAGCCGTTGCAGCTCGAGAGCAACCGGCAAGAGTCGCCGCCGTCGCCCCCGCGTCAGACGGTTCGCCTGGAGTTGGTGCTGAAGGACCCCACCGAGGAGAGCTGTGTGGAGTTCAGCTATCCCGAGCTGCTGTTGTGTGGCGAGCCCCGGGTACGGGACCTGCTAACCAAATTCCTCCCTCTCCATCTTGACTCATATTTATTACTCTTGTCCCTTAGCTTGAGCGCTGTGTGAACGAAACGAATGATGGGGAAATGAAAGCGCTTGCTCGGAAGAGCCTATGAGGATATAAGAGCTTAAACGCTGCTAGAGTTACCCTGTCAAATTATAGTGACCATGTAGGAACAAGCTTTTTTTTGCTGTGTGACCCTTTGATCCAAATCAGAGTCCAAAGAAATCCATCAGTTGGCATATTGACCTGTGTGAGGCTCAAATATATTTATATTGCCAGGGCAGCTCCCAGGGTGCACACATTTTACTTAATTTGTCTTCAGTTAATTCTTTTAGAAACATTCTTCACCTGCATTACATAAATTATCTGTTCTATTATTTGGTGTTTGTGAGCATTTCACCATGGGACTTATCCAGAGTGTTCATTCAACCTTGCCACCTTTGTGGTGCCAGGGCACAATCATAGAATCGTAGAGTTGGAAGGGATCCTGAGGGTCATCTAGTTCAACCCCCTGCTATGCAGGAATCATTTGGCCAATGTAGGGCTTGAACCCATGACCCTGAAGAGTAAGAGTCTCAGACTGTAACGACTGAGCTATAAGAAGCTACCCTACATGAACGTACCTGCATGGCTGTGCCAGGGTACCATAGTCTGTGTAGGAAGAGTGGCGATCGTGTACAAAACTGAACCCAGTATAGGTTCTTGTACTTCAAACTGTACACAGGTCAGGAAGTTCCCTTGTTATAAGCCGATAGAATGGCTTAAATTTGTGAGAGTAGCCTAATTTGTTAAAACTAGTTGTAAACAGTTAAAGTGGCTAAGGAGAAAGGAAGTCAGTATATATTAAGGCTAATTACTTGGTTGTAACTATTAAATATATTGGTGACAAGTTAGTTATAACATTTTAAAACACCTTGCCTTAGACTTCAGAGCCTGGTGCTGCTTAGATATCAGGCTTACTCTTACAATTCTGTAGGAGGCTGATAGCATTGAGGGTTAGTGTACTTGTTCTTGCAAGAAAGGATGACTGAGAATTTTCAGCGTTGCATAAAAAATTGAATTACAGTCACATTTGACTGTTATGAAATAGACCAGTATATGAAGATATTCTGACTCTGTTGCTTTGTACTTTAGAGAAACTTGTCTAAGGAAAATATTTCAGAATAGCTAGTGGAAATATTAATTGTAAAGTTCCAACTAAAATTGGCAGGGCTACTAGGCTGAATTACCTACATGAGTTCCATAAAATTATCTAATTACTTTTCTCTGGAGTTCTCAAAGCGTTGATGCTAGATAAAACACTGCCATGGCCAGTCCATTGGAAGGAATGGTAGCATTTCTTCTTCCTAAACAGAGACTAATTACAGTTAATCACTGTTTGTACTGCTGGTAATTTGTCTATAAGAAGCTATTGTGTGTCTATACTAGTTATACTGCTGGTAGTTTGTCCATACGAAGCTGAACTGTTCTCTGCATTTGGTTTGGTGTCCAGTGCAGATTTGGGTTCTTTAAATGGCTCATTGTGGTTCCTTCTCTAAGACTTAAAGTGGAATATTTTAACTGCCACTTAATAGCATTTTGGAGAAAGTGAATTTTGAGTTCCACAAGCGGTGTTGTAGCCTTATCTACAGAAATGCAGGGTTTGTGCAGTTCTGAGAAATGGATAAAAGCTGTGGATAATTCACAATCCTTATTACACTGAGGAACATCTAATAGCTACCGTATTTTTTGCTCTATAAGACTCACTTTTTCCCTCCTAAAAAGTAAGGGGAAATGTGTGTGCGTCTTATGGAGCGAATGCAGGTTGCGCAGCTATCCCAGAAGCCAGAACAGGAAGAGGGATCGCTGCTTTCGCTGTGCAGCAACCCCTCTTGCTGTTCTGGCTTCTGAAATTCAGAATATTTTTTCCCTTGTTTTCCTCCTCCAAAAACTAGGTGGGTCTTATGGTCTGGTGCGTCTTATAGAGCGAAAAATACGGCAGTTGATACATTTCTTTGGGCCACATTTTCTTCACTCACAAGAAGGTCTACCTATGTGAGTGATGTAATATATAATCCCGGATTTATGGATTGGTCTTGAGTGCAAATTAACTAACAGTGCACAGTGTTAAGATCCTGGGTTGTGTTGTGTTGGCTGCGTGAATCTTTCTAGGAGTGAAGAAAATGGATCCTAATTCAAGATTAAATTGTGCTTAGGATGTGTTGCTAAATATCTGAGCTGTAGTACCTTCAGCTCACTAGTTGACCACTGAGAATGTTCACATAGGTGGCTGCTATCAAGATTAGCCTGTGTTTGTATTCCATCACTAGAAAGAATTTGATACTTTTTGTGTTCTCTTATACAATCTGGTCCTCTTTATATGGATCCTAAGGGTGGCATTGTGCAGTTTAACCAAGTGTACCCCTCTTAACGTTATGGAATATAATCTTATATGGTCTGAGGAGTAATTTCATGTCCATTTGCCCTTTGCTTTTCTGCTTTCTCACTTGCTGTAGTTTATTCTTCTTTGTAGGCCCGCATACTTGGAGTATTGCAAATTATCATTGAGTGTTTTGTTAAAAAAAATACATCTATAATCTGAAATATTCTCATACAAAGCACATTAAATTGAAACGCCCAGGCAGTGTATAACATATTTTTACCTGAGTGCTTTGCCCAAAAGCTGACTGAAGGTTTTGATTTTAATTATTAAAAGAGATAATATAAAATGGCACAGACAATTGTTGTTCTTGGAGGCAGATGCAGGAATGCCCATGAATGATTTTACAGACCACGTGTGGGATCACTGGCCATATGCGAACAGCAGATCTTTGCTCATTGTGAAACAATATTGAATATGTGGAGAGGTTAATGAAACAAAGGAAATAAAACTAGCTGAATTACAAATGAATTGTTTAAGCACAGCCTTGTATTCCTAAACATTGTTGAATTTTGTGCAGCTGGATCCACCTATGCTTTTCCTTTTCCACAGTAGTGGGAAGGCAAAGCAAGAGAACACTTGTGGAATTGTGAAATGCCCTACGTAGTATTTAATTGTTTATCACTGGACCATTATGTGCTACGTTAGGTCATGTTAGGAGCGTGTCATGTAGCAAACTATAGGGATTTGGTCACTATGGTTGTGGTCCAACACCCTTATCTGCTAAACCACACATGTGCCATATGTCTGAAAGCACAGCCTTAAGAACACAAGATGACCCTGTCTGGATCAAACCAAAGGCCTACCAAGTCCAATATTTTGTTCCTGCAGTGGCCAGTCAGATGTCTATGGGAAGCACACAAGCAGGACATGGCTGCAACAGCCCTCTGCACTCATTTCCCCCAGCAACTGGCATTCAGAGGCATGCTGCCTCTGCGGCTGGAGGTAATACATAGTCATCATAACAATTAAGCATTGATAGCTGTATCCAGTTTGAATGTGTCTAATCCCCTTTTAAAGTCATCCAAGCTAGAGGCCATCAGTGCATCTATACTGATGGGGAATTCTATAGTTAAACTGTGTGCTATGCTTCCTTTTGTCTCTTCTGACTCTCACACCTTTCAACTTCATTAAATGATCCTGGGTAGTTGCATTTCATGAGAGGGACAAAAACCTCTCCCTGTCTGCTTTCTTGTATACATAATCTTGTATACCCATACCCACTGTTTTTTTCTAAGCTACAAAGCCCTTTTTTGTATCTTTTCTTTAAAGTAGGATTGCTCTAGCCCCTTGGTTGCCTTTTTTCTGCATCTTTTCCAACTCTACAATATTCTTTTTGAGGTGTTGTGGCCAGAGCAGCACACAATATTCCAAAGGTGGTTGCACCACAAAATTATGAAAGGGTGTTAACGATATTGGCAGGTTTATTTTCATACCCTTTCCTAATGATTCCCAACCTGAAATTTACCTTAAAAATAAAAAAAAAATCAGTGTGGATACCCAGCCCACAATCCATTCAGTTGAGTGGTTCCCTTGAATGCATCTAGCCCTGACCATGCTGCAAGGACAGTAAAGTTCATTGACCTTTAATCTTTAAAAATCCATCTGAAATTGATTAGTCTTTTATAGTTGCTTCCTAGATTCTACTGACTATCACAGAGAGCATTTTATTTTGTAAATAACTTTGACTCACACACTTACAGGACCTTCGCCTGCAGCTGCTCTCTTAGAAATATGATCAGGCATAATAACTTGGGGAATGTAGTTTTCAATCGTTCAACCTGTGATGAAACTGAATAAAACCTACAAACTCTCAGGAACTTGTGAATACGGGGAGTAAAGGGACTTCTCATAGTTTTGTTTTGAAAGCTAACATACTTTCTATCTCTACTTAGAATAATGTAGCCTGAATGAAAAATTTGAGCATGCTATGGCATGAAATAGGGACGTGGGTGGAGTTGTGGTCTAAACCACTGAGCCTAGGACTTGCTGGTCGGAAGGTTGGCGGTTCGAATCCCCGCAACGGGGTGAGCGCCCGTTGCTCGGTCCCAGCTCCTGCCAACCTAGCAGTTCAAAAGCACGTCAAAGTGCAAGTCGATAAAGAGGTACCACTCCGGCGGGAAGGTAAATGGTGTTTCCGTGCGCTGCTGTGGTTGCACCAGAAGCGGCTTAGTCATGCTGGCCACATGACCCGGAAAAACTGTCTGCGGACAAACATCGGCTCCCTCGGCTAGTAAAGTGAGCTGAGCACCGCAACCGCAGAGTCATTCGCGACTGGACTTAACTGTCAGGGGTCCTTACCTTTTTTATGACATGAATTCTCTGCAAACCGTCAGTTATCAATATTGATATTTTACATTCAAATGAGAATCCTAAGTATGTATGAGTTGGATGTTGAATGTTGTTGTTGTTGTAAAACAATAATAATTCATAAGTTGACTGCCATCTCACCTGGAAAAAGAGCTTTCAGAAAGCTTTCTCTAAAATGCAAGTTCTAATCACGAGGCCCTTTATCCCAGTTTTGCAATATATAGTCTCTGTAGCCCAGCTTTTATGATATTGGATCAGAAGTAATTCTCACTGGCTTTTGGTAAACAATGTGAGCCTGGAGTGCTGTGCACAGCCTCCATGACACTGCTCTGGAGTAAGAGCAGGGACTTGCATTCTTTCTGTGTGTCTCCTGCCAATAGATGCAGTATTTAGAAATAACATTTGGGAAGCCAGCAGGCATGTTTAAAGTGACTCTGGATAAGTGTGTGTGTTCTGCAGCAGATGCCCAGTTGTTTCATTTGTTGTGGGTACCAGTTGCTTTACACACAGTAGTCAGTAACCAATGTCTTTTTACCAATGTGGCATTTCTGTTGAGAAATCTCTTATTTGAATTACAGCCTGCCTTTGTAATGAAATAACATAAGGTGGCTTACAAAAATATTAATACATTAAAGATAAAATACAGAATTAAAACTCACAGCAGTTTTACCACTGCTTCCACCTAAACTTTAAGGGCATGTAATGTGAACCCAACCTACGTATCTTTGTCCCACCATGTGGGTAAACTTTTGCACATGTGGTAAATTGTGTCGTACAGCAAAGGAACACAAACTGCTCTCTGACTGCAGCAGTGCCCTGTCTTTGAATCAATATTTTCATGCTCTGTGTGTGTATTCTTTGAAAACTTGAGTGCACATCTTTCTTTCTTAAAAGCTATTTTTTAATGCTTTATTGGTTGAAAACTTTATAACAGAAATATGAAATAGATATTATAGGCAAAATAAGAAATACAAAATAAACAATTATTCATTCTTTAACTAATACTTGCTTTGTACATCCATTTGTGATTAGATTTGACAAGACCGCCAATCTTCCCCTTGCGTTCCCAAATTAAGTTCCTTAAATACACGCTTAAACTTTACTTTCTCTGTTATTTGACTTACTATAAATTTTATTTTATAAAATTATCCTACTTACACACTGAAGCTCAATCAAGACCTACCAACAGATTGATCTTTTGACAGTGTTCTTTTACATATACTCTGTATATATCCCACTCTCTGATAATTTTTTCTTTCTTAAATACTAAAATGCGACAAAGATAATTCTCAACAACTGGGCTGTCCAAGTGGCACATTACCAACCCCACATATATTATGGCAGGATAGATTACATTGTTGGCACATTATTGTTAGCAGGCAAAGTTCTTTAGATCTCGGTGCTTGGATTGGTTATATATAAAATGAGAGTGCCAGAATTTTACAACAGTATACCGGTAATTCCTTAGCTCAGTCCTACAGCGAATTGTCACCTTGTCCCTACCAAACGCATGTGCAATTTGCAACTGTCCCCACCCAATTTCTTGTCCCTCCAACATCCATGACAATTCCACATGACATTACTTTTCCAAATGCTTCATGCTATCTCCCTCTTTCTATCTTATACAAAACCTAGTTCTAATTCTTTTTAAAACAAAACAAAGCACTGGGCATTTCTGGAAATGTTTCCCAAGTAGCCTTGTCAAATGGCCATCAAAACTGCTAGTGCATTTAGGTGCTACTTGTAAAGGTACTCATAATTGGGCTGGCTTGCACATAACACTAAGCCATAGTTTAGTCTATGTGCACTGAGCTCCCCATTCCTCTCCTTTTCCCACATGGTGGAGTGGGGTGGGGAGTTCAGCATTTACTTCTAGGTATCATGAATCCTGATTCATTGCATGTGAACTGGGGATCCTGGTTTGAAAGAAACACTTGAGTTGTAAAGCAAGCCATCTTCAGTGGCTTGTCTAACCTGAATTTGTTTCAACTTTTGTTTCCTTGCCTCTTCAGCCACATATCACAAACCTTTAGAAATGTGCGGAAGAATTACGTAAATTGTTTACATTTATAAACTGTATAGTTCAAAACAATGGATTATCTTTTTTCATGAGCAGATAGGTTTGCTGTTTGATCCTTATCTACCTTGGCTTGTAGAACAGTGTATTTTTTCATTATTTTAGATGGTTGCTGCTTTCCTGATTCTGAAGGGCTTCAAAACTGTAGAATACATGCTCTTGTTAAATTAGCAGTGACACATTGGTACATTGTTTCTAGAAATATACCTTTTCTGAGGTTTTGTGAGATGGCTTGTAGAAAGTTCTATGAAATATAATTCTTCAGCCCAATTATTTGAGTTCTTGGTCTTCAAAGGATGGCGAAGCATCACCTTTTGCTGAAACTTGTGCCATGACAAATGCAAAAAGTTTTTATATTGTAGTTCTCTGATAGAAAAAGGATAAAAGTACAAGGCAAATGGGTCTTGTAGTGTGTTGGCTACAGATTTGTTATTTTGTAAGAACTATTTTTTCCCCATACTGGAAGCTGGGCTGCTATCAATAGTTTCCTGGTTTGTATGGAATGAGAAACCATGCTTATTTAGAGGCATCCTGGTTTGCTCATGCTGCCACCCTGAGACCTTATGGTGAAGGGCAAGTAAAAAATCTAATTACCATCATCATAAATAGATTCTGAAAGTAGGCAAATTTGCCTTAGTTTGTTGAAGGTGAATTCTAACTTTAACCTTTATATGCATGTCAAGCAGACTAGGAAAAGTGACTGATTTACACTGGTTGATTGACTAAGTGAATTTCATAAACAAAATGCTTGAATGTAGAAAAAAAGAAAATTGACAATGGAACTTAATGAACAAATAGACAATTAAATTGCTATTTTTCAGATATTTCATCTTACTGTCTTACTGGTATTTCATTGACAATGAAGTGGTCAAGTTATATCAGATGTAATAAAATGTATGGCTTTGCCTTCATTGCAGACAGCACTCCAACTTATTTGGCATACGTCATGCTTCTAAATACATATGCTAAGTTGGGAAGGGCAGCTAATTATTCTGATGCCTTGATCTTAGAGACACATATTTCAAACCAACTCTTAATGATTCCATTAGAATTTACTTTAAAGTAGGGGTGGCTTGCTTTTTTTCTTTTTTCTTTTGCCTAAGGGCAACATTCACTCTCAGCCAGCTCTCTTGGGGGCCAAATGACAGCAGTGGGTGTTGGGGCCCCACATTTTTTCATGTACACTATTGCATTCACATACTATGCTGATACACTTGCACACGCGCACATACACAGAGACAGAGAGAGAGAGAGAGAGAGACAGGGTACACCCACACATTTTACCACCTTTCTGCTTATAAAATAATCAATCTCATAGGTATCCCTGTCAAGGTGCTGGGCTTTGCCCATCACAGTGCGGAGCCTACTTTAATATTTTTCTTTTTGCTGCCACTGCTAAGACTGGTGGGATCTTGGAGGGTCAGAAAGATTTGGTTGGAGGGTGCAAACTGTAGGTAAGGCATCCCTTCTTTAAAGTTTCTAGTACTGGTTTGTTACAGTGTTAAACTGAACTTGTTGCAAAGGCTGCTTCCTCACCAAAGATGCATTCATAAAATAAACTGTACTGATTCTGTGGCTTCTTTACTCATTTGTATTGTGCATATATGAATTTAAACAATGACTGTGATTTCTGGGGTTTTCTCCTTAGATAAAATCTGCTTTTTCTGAAGATCCATTTAATGATGAAGAGCGTGAGAGGCATGAAGTGGAAATGCTGGCTAAGAAATTGGAAACAAAATACGTGAGTAAACAGATTTATTATGTTGCTCTAAGTCTGGCTGTTCATATTTTATAGGTGTTCTTACTAAAGCCACTTGGTACATTCTGAAGAATTCAGATTTCGTAATTTCTCATATAATTTAGTACATGGTGTCACATGTGTTATAAAACTTAGTTAATATTGTTAGATTTTGGCTGCAGTTCTACTTCTTGATGGAAAGAGGCTACAGAGAGACAACACATGGAACTCCAGTGCCACTGGATACATTACTGTTGTTCTGGGATTACAATGACATGTTGGGCCAGTTGCAATAAACAAAGTCCCCTTTATGCTTACTCCTCCTTGCCCCCAGTGGTTAGACTACTTGCATAGGGAGCAAGATAAAATTGGTGGCTACATATTTCAACAGGGCGTTCTGGAAACTAGAAAGCCTTGGTTTGTTGTGGTTAGACATAGCGGGTTATAGCTCACCCAGCACAGCAGCCATTTGCTTAGTGTGGAGGGCAGCTGAAAGAAAAACAAAACAAAGTCAATTACATTTTTAAATAAGAAATTGTATTGAGAGAATGGACTAATTTAATTTTTCATCATTCTGGGTACTTTTTGTAGAAGAAGAAGATATAAATAATATTTGTTATTCAGCATAATCCTACTCATCCATCTCCAGTGACACTACTCTCTATTTAGTCTATCTTAACCTCTATCCTATCATAATCTTTCATAAATGAAATCCTGTCTAGAATGAGGTCATTGAATTGTCATTGTTGAGCTGTTAAGCTTGGAATTGTTAACCTGTGACTATAAGAGTTATCTAGTACTGTATAAACTTTCATGCCTATATTTTTGAAAGAGGATTGTGGATTTTGAGAACTTGAATGCAGCAGCAAGATAAATTATTTTCTGCTATTCTGTAAATCCAAAATGTGGGAGGCAGTGGAAGACAGGAGTGCCTGCCGTGCTCTGGTCCATGGGGTCACGAAGAGTCGGACACTACTAAACAACAACAACATACTGTAAATTGCTGGATTGTGTCAATAATGAAGTAGCACCAAAAGTTTCCCCTGTCTGATGCCCTATAGTGCCTGTGTCTGCCATATATTAACTTGGTTGGCACCAGTACCTCAGTGGTTTCAAGTTGTAAATATTGTGTTGCAGGGTGGAAAGACCCACAAGCATCGGAAGGACCGTGTTCAGGATCTAATAGACATAGGCTATGGTTATGATGAAACTGATCCTTTCATTGATAATTCAGAGGCTGTGAGTAAAATTTATTTGTTACACTTGTATGCTGCCCTCTTTCAATCATTCCAATCAGTGTTCAGGGGGTTGCCTATGATCACCATTCCAGGCACTAGCAGTTTTGCAAACCTTTTTTACTTTAGAGATGAAATTACATCAAATGCCTTCATGCTATTTTAATCTATTTTGTGGAAAGGGGGATTAGTTCATATATCAGTTCTCACACTGGTTGCATTTAGCAGTCTGGCTTTAGCCTATATCACAACAATTTACAACATCAGTGACTAAGAGCAAGGCCTTTATGCTGGGGTTCTGGCCTTTGGAACTAGGCCCAGAAAAAGCAGTTGGCCAGGTCAGGTGCTGGCCAGGAGCCCCTCATTGCTCTGACACAGCAACACCACCATTCACTGCCCTCCCGGCTGTGCCCCCAGGTGCTTTATAGCAGTACCACTTTTGAATAAGTGCTAAATTTGGTTCCCATCTGTGGTGGCCACCCATCATTTAAAATTACCCAGAATTACCCTGGCCCATGGATATATGAAATTTATTGAGTTCATAGATCTATAGTCTGGGTAGCACTATAGATCTATGAAAGCTATAGATTTAAGGCTGGAACATTGCATTTTCATTAATTTAAGATAGTGGGATGTCACTATGGATAGGGGCCAAATTTGGCTCCTGTTCAAAAGCACTGCCTCCCATCCATGGCTGAAGCATATATTGGGGTCAGGGGAGGATAGTGAGTGGTGCCGTTGCTGCCCATGGCAGAAAAAGTATGTGACAGCAGTCACTTCTGCTGTCACAAGCAGTTCTGAGTCCTGCCCTCATTGGGGTGGTGTTGGAGTGGCATATTTGGCACTGTGCTGAGCATCCTCAAAGTCTGACTCTGGTCCTATTTGGAACAATCTGCCAATAGATGTCAGGAAGTGTTCTCTGTCTTCTGTTTGTAAGCAGACCTTTTTATTTCAGCTTGTATTCAGCTGCCTTCGTTTGGGAAGCTATGGCTAAGGTTTACTTACATTTTTTGTTGTAATGGTTTTATATTTATTCTGTAGTTCATATAAAAACTATTAAAATAATCAAATTTATCCTTGAGTATAATTGTGTGTCAAAAAGAAGCATATAATGTTTTAAAATAAAATTATCTTCTGGGTTTGAGAGAAAAGCTAAAAGGCAAATGGTTTACACTATATTTTATTTGGAAAGAAACCTTATTGTGTTCAATGGGGCTTGCTGCCTAGGAAGTGTGTTTAGGATTGCAAACTTAGTATGATGTTTCTAGAATGTGATGTGAGCTAAATCTTGTTAAATGTCAACATTTACCTGTTAAGCATGGAATTATAGTGAGATGATTATTTTTTATGATTTACAATATGTGCCAGAAACAATTGTTCCACTAATGTTGTTGGATGCTTGCCAATGTGCCCTGGTAAATGATAGAAATTAGGATGGCATTTGATATTAGCTAGAGGCACTTGATGAGGGATCTTGAGATTTTCTGTTTTCCAGCTGGCTTTATAAAACATTGATAATAGATTAATATAAATTTTCACATTTACCCTAATAGCTTTACATTATGTCATGGCTCTGCTATGTTACAGCCAATGTATGTAATGGTTTGAGATTATTCTATTTTTGTATGTGGATATAATGTTGTCAGCACTGCAGTATCTCAGCATTGCCTTCATCCAAATATTATTCTGTTTTTAATATGCTTTGTGAGCTGTACAGTCCTGGCAGTTATTTTCTCCACACTAGTATGGTGTTATTACTGTATTTGGTTAGTTTAATATCCTGTTCATTGTATGGCAGTATAGCAAATGCATTATTTCCATATTAACAAAATGGTAATGATCTCTTGACCTAAACCTTCCATTTCCTTCCCAGTATGATGAATTGGTACCTGCATCCTTAACTACTAAATATGGAGGGTTTTACATAAACACTGGGACTCTGCAGTTCCGGCAAGCATCTGATTCTGAAGAGGAAGACTTAACAGAAAGCAAAAAAAATAGACCATCTAAAGTGAGTAAATAATTTATTCCAAGAAAAATTTAGAGATGTCACAGGTTTGCTGTGAAGATTCTAAAGCACCTCACTTATTACGTTGAAGTATTTCAGTTTTCACATTAAAGTAAACATACTATTTAATACAAATACCACAATATTTATGTTCATTTAGCTGGCTGTCTCTATGTCCCCTTGCTTTTGAAAATTCTAAGAAGATGCTTGATGAATGTGTGAAGCTGAATTTACTGAGTCAGATCATTAATCCATCTAGCTCAAAACTGTCTACTCTTAGTAAGAAGAGTGTTTCACAGTTGCTTCCTGAAGTCCTACCATCCAGAAATGCTAGGGATTGAGCCTGAGATCTTCTGCAAGCAAAGCTGAGTTGTAGCCTCTCCCCATTTGATTTTAACGGTTATGAAAAGAAGATCAAAATCAGCACCTTGAATTGTGCCTAGAAAAGAATAGTGAGTTGGTGCAGATGCTGCAGTGCTGCTGTAATGCAATCTCTGTAACCCACCCATGCGTAACTTTGACTGCAGTCCTATATACACAGAGTCCCACGAAAACTCTGTATTACTTTTGTGTAGACATATATAGGATTACCCTGGAGCTTTGCAATCCTAGGAGGGGTCAGGGAAGCATGAAGTGGTGGATCCTTCACTGTATCTGCAGTCTTGTCAGCTCATGACAACTAAGGCAGGCAGTTGTGAGGGGTTGCAGGCTCATGCAGTACAGAGGCCCAGAGAGGGTTTCTCTCTGAGAAGTGGACCTGTTTAAAATGCAACAGATCCATAGACAACCCACTCTGCCCCATTAACACCCTGTTTCAGGGTCCTCGGCTGGCTACTGCTGGCAGCAACACTGTAGGTGGTAGTTCATCCGCTGCACAAGCTTTTGCGGGTGCTTTTGGGGCCTCTGGCAGCAGCATCACATACTTGTTTGCTAGTGGAAGAACGTTCTGTCTAATCCTAGCCCCCTCCAGAAATGCTGATCATGGGCATGGTATTATGCTCTACATATGACAAGTGTTTGCTTGTAAAGTGAAGAATAATGATGGAAGGACAAATTGGAGGTAGCTGTCATCATCTTACCGTACTTGTAAGGTTCCAGAAGTATTTGACTATTGGAAAGATTACATGGATCTTGTTCTGATCCCATAATGAAACACTTACAATCTTAATTCCATAATAGAATGCTATTTCATGATTGAAGTAATGGTGTGCTCCTCCCCCCCCCCCCGGCGTTTAGGTAGTTAAACTGAAAGATGGCGAGGACCATGGCATGAAGAAGCGCAAACGGAAAGAGGAAGAGGCAGAGAAGGAGAAAAAACCTCGGAAGATGAAAGTTTCTCGGCAGTTGGGGTGCATATTACACTAATTTCTACAAGAGTGTATCCTGGTTTAGTGAATTTATTTATTATTATTTATTGAATTTACGGTATATGCCCCCCTGTACCTCCAGGTCTCAGGGCAGCTCACGGAATAAAATCAGAATATAAAACCACAAAATACATAATCAAAATAAAAACAGCAGCAACCCAACACACACATTTTAAAAGGGCATAGGATGTCAATCAAATCAACCAAAAGCCTGGTTAAAAAGGAACGATTTTGCCTGGCACCTAAAGGTGTATAATGAAGGCGCCAGGCAAACTTCCCTAGGGAGAGCATTCCACAGACGGGGAGCCACTGCAGAGAAGGCCTGTTCTCTTGTTGTCACCCTCCGGACCTCTCGAGGAGGAGGCACCAAGAGCAAATGTTAAATTACTCCTGTTAGTTTTTACTGTGAGCTGCTGTTCATTTAAATAAATTAAAATCAAGTTGTGACACAGTCATGAATAGGACAAAGGGTGGGATTTTGCGGTGTTCCACCCCCCCTTTGGTTTCCTGCACAAACCTAGCAGTAGAATGGCTAGAGCTTCTTGTTGGCATCTGTCTGTCTTAAGGGACAGTGGAGTGCGCCTCCAGGGGTGAAGTCTAACCACTGCATTAGCAACACTGAAGTGACCTTCCCAGGGTGCAAGCCTGGGCAGTGTGTTCAGAGGTCTGGGCTGCCTAGATGACAAGACTCCCCTCTTGGCTGTGTTGATGTGGTCCAAATGAAGTCAGAGCAATACATTTGGCATCCTGGCTGCAGGAATTGCCAGAAGGCATACAAGGCGCCTTCCCACCATCTTAGAGACTCTACTCTAGCTTTGTGTAGGGTTTATTCCTTAGCCTTTTCTTCTGCTGAAGATATCCCATAAGGCAATGGTGGTTTTGTTAGGATATTTCCGTTCCACCTTAAAAGGGGGCAGGCTTTGTGAGTCACAGAGTCTGCGTATTTCCTGTCCCACAGGATGTTTCTGTTGTGTCTTTGTTTTCGCTCTCTCTGTGTCAGAGACACTGAAGCAGGCAGTCATGTTTTTCTTTGTTCTGATCAACACTGAATAAAACTTGTAAATAATGCTCTCCTGCGTGCAACTTTCGCTGTGCATTATCTGCTGATAGAGCGTGCATGAGTTCTCGAATGTGGCAGGCTATTTCTGGAGCTCGTGTCGCTAATTGCTGATACTGTATCTATGGGAGATCGATGGGACGTCCAGCAGCCGGCTTGTGGGGCCATGATGGACTTTGTCTCCCTGGCAGTATCCCAACAGGTTTAAGACCAGAGTTTTGCTTCTCCTAGATGGGCTTCCTTCCAGTGTTCAAAACTCCCATTGTTCTAGGCGCATTTTGGGACAGGGAATTTTATTAGCACGAGCAGTTTCTGAGCACAGTACTGCACCTAAGATTTCAGATTAAAACTCTGGCATGGAAGGAAAGGAGGAGCTTTCTCTGCCTCCCCACTTTCAACTTCTATCTGAAGACTGGAGAAGAGACCCTCTTAAGAATATTAGGGGAGTGGGCATAGGAAGGACTAGAGCACGTGAAAAATGAACATAATATTTTAGTTGCAGTTCATCCATTTTCAGCTTTGTATTCTTGTTATTAAAAAGCTTGCCTGGACATTCAGTAGTTCTGCCCATAACCTAGGTTTAAGGTGCCATTTAGCTCCTAGCTTTTCTATCTCAGTTTCTAACACTACTTCCTTCCAATGTTGATGAGCCCCATCTGCCCCTTACTGCCATCTGCACCGTGTGCAGAAATCACCTTCTTGACTGTTGGACCCACTTTTGGCCTCATCCACTCAATCTGCCAGAACCTGTCTTCACATGCAAGGAAGTCCCTAACTCACTGAGTGTTTGAGACCCATTGGCTACCCTCACCTAGTTTACTCAGCCACTTAAACTGTTCTCAGGGTGTGGCCACTGTTGCGTGCTGATAGCTTCTAGGAGCCATAGGTGAGAGCTGAGTGCAGGGTAGGGATCAAAGGTGGACAAACTACCCCAGAAGGAGCACAATGTGTTTGCCACCAGAGGTACTACCCATCCCCTAACACCCCATACACCCCACTTCTAAAATAGTGCTTTCCCAAAGTTCACATAAATATGATACTGCTAAATCTCAATAGATCGTAAGACACCAAAGGAAAAATTGCATAATTAAATTGCAACTTTCCACATTCAAGAGTTCTTCAGTATTTTTCCCTCCAGAGCACATTAGTCACAACTAATATGAGACCACAAAACTCTAAACTCCTCATGTTAGAAAAGTTACTAGTTCAGTGTATGTTATGTTACTCATACACTGCAGAATACAGAGATGTTAACTAAAACTAGACTCCAGATTATTTACTAAATGGGAATTAAGTTGAGTGAACTTAATTCTTCCTAACTGCTTATGTATTCTCTCTCTCTGTGTGTGTGTGTGTGTGTGTGTGTGTGTGTGTGTGGTTTTGTTTTTCAGGGTAATGGCCTTAAATTCACACAAATCTGAAAAGAAAAAGAAAAAGCTGTACAAGGACTCTCTTTCAGTTGCTGCAATGCTGCGCAAGTTTCAGAAGGAGAAGGAAGCCTTTAAGAAGAAAGAAGTTAACTTGAACCCCACAGTGTCAGTGACCACCTCTACACCTAACAAAGTTCCTGCTGCTCCTGCCACTGGTGGAAATGATGTATCTGACTTGAACCTCATCATCACAGATCCAGTCCTTTCCATTTTTAGCAGCACAAGTGAGCGTGAGCTCCTACAGGAAGCTGAAATTGCCGTGGAGATGCTGGGAGACATTGACTTGGATAGGTTACTTGATGGCACTTCCAATGGTAGCCCAGTATCTGAGCCATCAGGGGAGAATGGAAATGTCACTCAGCCCTCCCATACCTCTGAGGCACTGAAAAAGGTGCCTGCCCTCCCAGAAGGTCTTCCAGCACACCTAGAGGAGCGCATTGAGGACCTCAGAACTGTAAGTGTGGCTTTCTTGGTGCTGAATTTTGCAGAGGGTTGTTACAACCCAAATTGCCTAACATTAAGGCTGGCAATATTTGTAGTATTAAGAGTAACATTAGAAACATTGGTTTGAATCTGGTGGTGTGGCTGAGCTAATGGGAAAGGGCCATAGCTCGATGGTAGAACCTCTGCTTTGCCAAAGCTCCCAGGTTCAATCCCATCTCAAGGTAGTGCAGAGAGACCCCTCCCTGAAACCCTGGAGAGCTATTCAGTGTTGTCAGTACTGAGCTAGGGGCACCAATGGTTTCACTTGGTATAAGCTTGCTTCCTATGTTCCTAACAGTAAGGCTTCTGTCACTGAAATGGGGAAGGAAGCAATTTTCAGCTATTCCCCCCCTCCCCCTTGCACCTATTTGTGTGGGCTTCCATTACCCTTTGGAGCAGATTTAGAGCGGGGGCTGTAGGGATGAGGGGGAATCACCTGAAGTTGTTCCCTCTCTGTTCTGCTGGTGGAAATTTTCCATCAGCTGACTTACACCATTGGAAACAACTCAGTGTCACTGGGTGAGTGGTAGACTTATTCTCTTCTAGTTATGTGTCATTAACAGTTTGTATTAAACTTGCAAATGCTGCAATTTCTTCTCTGATGCTATTTGTTGTTTCTTACAAGAGACTGTAAATGGCAGGTCAGTCACTTGATTTGTATACTTTTTTGATGCACAACACAGCATGTAAAACTAGAATACATATAAACACAAGCGCACACACACATCAGCAATACATTATCCCTACCATCTCCTAATAAAAAACTATTCAGAATAATTTGATAATGCATACGTAATGCATACATCCTTGTATACATTATGCATACATCATTATGAACTGATTTAGGATATGGTTGTAACAGAAATGGCTGCAAAGGGAGCTAAGGCCAGGTTTTGCAGGATCAACTTCTCTGTCACATCGTTGGTGGTTACATCTTATGATTAGTCAGCAGAGGGTAACTGTGTGTGGGTGTGGTGGATGCAGGTGGCACTGTGGTCTAATTCTAAAGCACTGAGCCTCTTGGGCTTGCTGATTGGAAGGTTGGCAGTTCAAATCCACTTGATGGGGTGAGCTCCTGTTGCTCTGTCCCACCTTCTGCCAATCTAGCAGTTTGAAAGCAGGCCAGTGCAAATAGATAAATAGGTACCACTGCAGAGGGAAGGTAAACAGCGTTTTGGTGCATGCTCTGGCTTCCGTCACAGTGTTCCGCTGTGCCAGAAGTGGTTTAGTCCTGCTGGCCACATACCCTGGAAAGCTGTCTGTGGACAAATGCCGGCTCCCTTGACCTGAAAAGCAAGATGAGCATAGCATCCCATAGTCACCTTTGACTGGACTTAACTGTCCAGGGGTGATTTACCTTTGTGTGTGTGTGTGTGTGTGTGTGTGTGTATCATAAAACTCTGAAGATTTTTGACATTAAGTGTACTCAAAGTACCTGTGTTTTTATTGCTGTTTCTAGGCTGCCAAGCTCTTTGGTAAAGAAGGCAGAAAAAAATTCTTCACACAGGACATGAATAATATCTTGCTTGAGTAAGTGTTCCCTTGGTTTTGAGGAAAATGTTGTGCTTATGCAACAGAATGGTTGTCCTTATTTCTAAGCCATGAAGTAGACAGACTTCATTTATTCATTGTTTTTATTTTAAGATGTTTATACCCTACCCTTTAGTCTGAGTGGCTCTCAAGAGCAGCTTACACAAATCAGTACTAAGATGGTCTCTACTCCCAGGTTCGCAGTCTAAAACTACCAGGCTTACAAGGAAAAAGGAATGAGAGGGAAGAGGGGAAAGTATGCACATGTTCTTAAAGTTGCAGTTCTTGTAACACAGTTATACAAGTATGTCTGCGCAGGTTCTGGCTGTCTAGAAGAATTATAGCTCCTTACCCATGTCAGTGGTGGTTCTGGCTGCCTTGCACTTGTTGCCCTTGATTAAGAGCAGTCGCTCCGAGGAAGCACTTTTATCTGCCTCCCTTCCCAACAGATCAGATCCAGGAGCAGAGCAGATGACAATGTCCAGGACAGAAAAGCTTTAAGTTACCCATAGAAATTTAATTAGTATTGTTCATTTGCTGATGATCTTTGGATTTACAAGGGAAAAACTACTGTATGTTTAAATTCTTCTGAATTTGTATTGTACAAGTCTGGAAACTTACATAATCATAGTGTGGCAGCTGATACTTCTGAATTAATCTACGTAAGATGTTTATTTGATAGCTATAGAGAGCCAGTGTGGTGTAGTGGTTAAGAGCAGTAGTCTCATAATCTGGTGAACCGGGTTCGCGTCTCCGCTCCTCCACATGCAGCTGCTGGGTGACCTTGGGCAAGTCACACTTCTTTGAAGTCTTTCAGCCCCACTTACCTCACAGAGTGTTTGTTGTGGGGGAGGAAGGGATAGGAGAATGTTAGCCGCTTTGAGACTCCTTAGGGTAGTGATAAAGCGGGATATCAAATCCAAACTCTTCTTCTATATTTTTACATATGATGTAGCATTCATCACATGGTGCTTAATGAAGTAATAGCAGCAAAAAGAGATTGCTGCTCCCCAAGAGTTTAGTCTAAATTTTTATCTCAGATGGAAGGGAGGGACATTGAATGTGGTGGGAGATATACTACATTATGTATGAAACAATGGGTATTAATTGTTTCCTGTAGCTAGGGCAATTTAATGCAGAACACACAGCTGTTTGTGTAATCCACATCTATACCTATTCTAAGGGCTATACTTCTGTTCTGGCTACCCTGTCAGAGCCTGAAAGATGAGTATAGCCAATCTTGTCTCATGACAGTTATATTAATGCATGCAGGGGAAAACAATTCTAGTATTGCAGTTCCTCTGTCTGTATAACATAAATGCCCTTTTTATGAATAGTGAGTAGAAGCAGTGGTCCAATTTTTCTCATTAATTGTGACTTTCTGTTTTATTTGTCAGTATTGAGTTGCAGTTACAGGAATTGTGTCCTACCATCCGCAGTGGAGTATACTCTCACCTCGAGGCTTTTGTGCCGTGCAGTAAGGACTCACTGATAAAGCGTTTGAAGAAACTGCACCTCAATGTCCAGGTAAGCATAACTGCAGCAGTTGTATATTTTAGCATGGGCTGTAGAAGATGGACTAGACTGGGTTCTCTGTAGAATTAAGCCACTGATGTGGTATATATGTAATGTCAAATAGAGTTAATTTTAAATCATGATTTAATTAGTAAGAGCACTCTGCTCCTGTCTGACTCCTGGCTGTGCTGTGAAGCAAGACATTGTCTTGTCATTTGATGTGTGAACCTGGGCTTATAGTTTTCTCTCCAAATGAAGCCCAAGCTCAAAGCCAAGAACAAACCTTGATTTACTACTTCTGCTTTGTTTGGCAAGAAACCATGAACCTCATTTTTTGGTTCTTTATCATTTTTATCATATTAAAAGATTAAACGCAAGCTCTTATTGCTAATATGATAGGCTAACTTCATTCTTGATGAAAGCAGAATTAAAGGCTTCCAGTAGCTTCCCCACCCCACCCCCCCGAATCCAAGTTGTTTCAGAAGTTGAAAAATGTTTGAGGTGGTTCAGGATGAAGGGGAACTGTGCAGTCTCTGAGAAGCAATACATAAATCAGTTGGCAAGACTACTTGCATCACTAATGATTGTGTTTTCTCAGGATGACCGTCTGAAGGAACCATTGCAAAAATTGAAATTGGCTGTCAGCTGTGTCATGCCTGAACAACTATACAAATATCAGGAAGACTGCCATGCACACAGTCAGGCCAAGAATGCCAAGTATGTACATTACCCAGATATATCTCACTTGGTTTATGTGGAGGATTTATGGAGGAAAGTAGGGTTATGCAAATGCTAGCACTTTATCTGGAGGGGTGTACTTGTGGCCTTCTGTATCTGTTTTATGGTTGCTCTTTTGAATTATGCCATCTCCTAACAGGGCCAGTGCAAGATACTACACCACCTAAGGCAGATGCCTGAGTCCTGCTTACTCCTTTTCCTTCCTTCCTTCCTTCCTTCCTTCCTTCCTTCCTTCCTTCCTTGTCAATTGCTTTGTTGCTGCTAATGCAGCAGCAGCACTGGTTGTGTCACTGCCTCCAGGTCTCCCTCTCCTCTTTCTTGGTCTGAGGAAGGGCCAGGGCTCCTGCAGAGCAAGGTGTTCTGGAGATGGTGGCTTAGGAGGTTGCTAGTGCTGCTGCAGCTTTGTTGCTGCAGCTAGAAATTCTCTTTTATATGCAGTTCTCAAAATAACTTTTAATTCTTTTTTTAAAAAGAATCGCTAGCCATGGCAGTAAAGCCACAGGGAGCACTAGCAATCTCCTGGGCCACATTCTTTACTATGGGAAAATGTATTGGTATGGAGTAGCCAAGGTAAGTACTTACTTATTTATGTTATTTCTTATATTTATATATCACTTACTACCCAAACTGTTTACAAATAAATAATAGCAGAATATAAAGCAAACAGCAAAACTATAAATACTGTATATCTCATCTAAAATACAACAGGTGCCCTTGGGAATCTGTTACACTCCCAATAACAGTGTAGGAAGAATTTGCAATAATGTAATGAACTTGGAACTATGGTTGTTGTGTTGCAGGGAGCATGATAGTCACATAATTGTATGTATAATTAGAAGCTGAAGCTCCTTATGTTCTCTGATAGTCCCACATATGGATTCCTCACCTGTGCAAAGCATAAAATTTGCGAACTTTCTAGAGCTGTTATAAGGGAGTTGGTGCATATATCCCCTGCTCTTAAAGGAAATTTTGTAGATCTACACATTTTCAGATTTAGAACAAATGCTTTCCCACTCAGCTCTCTTCTGACTGAGTTTGTAGCAGCTAAGGAAAGTTTCTCCATGACAGAACTTAGTTCCCTATTTTTTTGTTTCTTTTATTGTCTCACTTTATGGTTGCTAATGCGTTTTTCTTCCTGCATTTCTTGCATGCCTGTGGTACTCCTACGGAAAATACTTACCGTGACCTTAGAAAGGCACTTTTGCCTGCATTCCCTGAAGTTCACTAAACAAGGATGCTGTATCCTAGTTAGGGTCTCCTTGTGAGAGAAAATGACCGCTAGCCACTATTTTATTGCGAAAGAACTCAGGGAGAAGGTGCTCACCTTGCCGCCCAAAGCATGCAAATATAATTAATTTTCCTTTTAAATGGCTAGAACTCTAGGGTGTTCATCAGGCTTGCTTTGCACAGGGAGAGGACCCATACATGGGACTGTACAGATGGCCATTCAAATATCGGATAATAGCAAGCAACTTTTTCTGAAAAATAATGTTGCAGAAATAAGTCCAAAGGTATATCGTTGCCAGAAACATAATTGCTCTTTTGTTCTAGAATGCAAGCAGAAGATGAGCGAGACAAGAATGCTTCTGAGGAGGAGGAGGATGAGAAGCCAGGAAAAAGGGTTGCAGGTCCAAGAAAGAAATTCCGCTGGGATGAGACAGTGAGGTATGGTATTATGTTGCTTGTTTGTCCACTGCAATGTCCTTTTTAGTCATTGCACCGCAATTCTCACATCACAATCTAACTTACCTCACACCCTGACTGCCAGAAAAAGGAGTGCTAGCAATTCCTGTTTCTAAGTCTCCCCCCATCCCAATAAATGCACAATTATAGTTGTCACAAATTTAAATTGATTTGTGGCTAGTATAATGCACAAGGGTATAATGTTTAGAAGGCTAATGAGATTAAAATTAATTCTCTTGTATGCTTTATTTATTTATTGAAAGGAATTATATGCTGCTTCTCACTTAATATGACAAAGCAGCGTACAACATAATTTAATAATGTCCTAAAACTACATTAAAACACAAAATATAAAAGCACAGAATCAAAAGTAGGTAAAAATAAGTGGCTTGGCAGTCAATAATTGAAAAAAAAAATTCTTAGGTGAACAAGCATATTTTTAATGGCCAGTGGAAAACACATTACTGAAAGTAGTGAATCTCAAAAGGAAACTTGCCCAAAATACACGTCACTGCAGAGAATTCCCTTTTCTTGATGGATGCCAGATGAATCTGAGCAGCTATGGCACCACCAGAAGGGGCTCCTCCAAATGTCTTGTGATCACCTGAGTCTCCAGTGCCAGTTCAAGAAGTACCCCAAACTATGCCCCTGTTATTTCAGGGAGAATGCAGTTCCATCTAGACTAGGCAAGGCACCAATTCCCAGATCTGAGAACCATTTGCCCACAGGACCTCTGTTTTGTTGGGATTCAGCTTCATTTTATTGACCCTCATCATGCTTTCCATTGTGTTTAAGCACTGATTTGTACCTGCATCACTTCTCATCCAGATACATTAGGGAAATAGAGCCGAATAATAAAACCTTACTAGGTTACCCAAAATACTTCCCAGGTGCTATGGAATGTATGGTGCATATAGTATTTTACATACTATGTACCTATGTAATGGTATATACCTGCCCATTCTTCCCCTTACTAGAGCTTCCTATATTCGGCTATGCCAGAGTTCTAATTCTAGGATCTTTGCTTTTATTTGGATCATGTTATTTGGATTATGTGAAGCGCCTTTGAATTTCGGTTGCCTAGATTATTATTCTTGGCTATTCTACTGCCCAGTACAAATAGCTTAGATGTTTAGAGCATACAACTGACTCTCCTGTTTCAGTAATTGCAGAGGGAAAATAGGAAAGTGTAGGTGCAAAGCAATCTCCTTTGTTCCTTGCAAAATATGGACATCTGCACCTTTTATTTGCTGTACCCTCCCAATTGGGTCTAACTTCCCATTTGCTGGTGAAGCAACAATTCAGAAAGCATTTAGTCAGGACAACAGCCTCAGACACTGGTTGTCTGGTTTACTGCTGTGATGCAGTAGTCCTCTTTTGTTTCCATTTTGGGGATGGGGAAGTGCCTGTTGTTGTTGTTGTTGTTGTTTTGTTGTTGTTGTTATTTATACCCCGCCCTCCCCGGCCAGGGCTGGGCTAAGGGCGGTTAACACCAAATATGAATTACAATAAAACGTAATAGAACAACAACAACAACAACAACAACAACAACAACAGCAACAACAACCGGTTAATTAAAATACAGCTTACAATACAGCTTAAATTGCAGCCTCATTTTAGTAGTAGCCCATAAATCAAGTCAGTAAAGGGAGGAAATATCAGATACTCACCCGAGCCAGCTATCCATGCTGGTCCCACATGGGCCAGCAAAAAAGCCAAGGGAAAATTTATATACCAAATCCCAGAGTGGTCAGAGTGAGTCTAAGCCAAAGGCCAGGCGGAACAGCTCCATCTTGCAGGCCCTGCGGAAAAATGTCAAATCCTGCAGGGCACTAGTCTCTTGTGACAGAGCGTTCCACAACGTTGGGGCCAGTGGTGAAAAGGCCCTGGCCCTAGTTGAAACCAATCTAACCTCCTTGAGGCTTGGGACCTCCAAAGTGTTGTTATTTATGGACCTTAAGGTCCTCCGCGGGGCATACCAGGAGAGGTGGTCCTGTAGGTACAAGGGTCCTAGGCCACATAGGGCTTTAAAGGTCAAAACCAGCACCTTAAACCTGACCCTGTACTCCACCGGGAGCCAATGCAACTGGTAAAGCACTGGATGAATAGGATCCCGAGTCAGGGCGGCCGTCCATCAATAGATAAAGCTGGGTGTCATCAGCATATTGATGACAACCCAGCCCAAAACTCCGGACAACCTGGGCAAGGGGACGCATAAAGATATTGAAAAGCATCAGGGAAAGGATTGCGCCCTGCTGCACTCCACACACCAAGGAGTGCCACGATGACAACTCCTTCCCTAGCGCCACCCTCTGTCCCCGGCCTGAGATAAAGGAGCGCAGCCATTGTCGGACTGTGCCCTGAATCCCTACATTGGCAAGGCAGTGGTCCAAAAGTACATGATCGACCATGTTGAAGTCTGCTGACAAATCTAAAAGAATCAGCGGTCCTGACCTGCCTCCATCTAGCAGTCTACGGAGATCATCTGTTAGGGCGACCAGAGCTGTCTCAGTACCAATTTCTACCCCAAAACCAGTTGTCACTTCCATTCCTTCCCCCCCCTCCTCCTTCATATTCCACACCTTTGTGTTTTATGCATTCTCTCAGTTTGCTTAACAACATTTCTTAAATCTGATTCCATGGCAAGGGTATCCAAAAGCAGTTTTGCTTAATATATTTATATTAAATATATTAAGTGTGGACAGTGTCGCATTTGGAATAACTGACTGCAGAATTCTTTGATAACCTGGGTTGTGTGAATTGTGAGTTATGGAAACAAGGATATAGCTGTAACAAAAAGAAAGAAAACTAAACTGTTATATAACGTAGAATAGGATGCACAGTGTAGCTTGCCTAAAAGGTATAGCAGAAAAGGCAGGGGGAGTGGATCTACAACAAGTCTAGTAAATCCTGTTGGGGGGGAGGAGGTTTGTGAGGTTCTAGGATAGGTGTACACAGATTACTTTTGACATGTTAATGCTAAAGCAGTTGTGCTTGAGGCTGTCGGGTTTCTTTCAACAGGTCATTGCTGTGTAACCTTATCAAGATAAAACTGGGATGTTATGAGCTAGAGCCAAATAAAAGCCAATCTGCAGAAGATTACCTCAAGGCCTTTATGGAGACTGAGGTGAAGCCACTTTGGCCGAAAGGCTGGATGCAAGCTAGGTATGGTACCTGATTAGATTTGAAGAATGACTTATTAAGTGGAATTCAGAATTTAAGCATGTAAACTACAGTATCAAGTTTTCTCATGCCCCACATCCTTAAGATCCTTAATATTTGAAATAATCACACCCTTAAAAGCTTAGCTTCAGCTACAAAAAGTCAACCCCAATGAAGAAGTCTTGAAATAGTCTAGGGCTTTGAGTGTCAAAGGTAAAGGGAAGTTCAATTATAGGCACCGTCCATTCTGCACGACCTTTTCCATACAAGGTACATAGATGAATGAATCAACAGAGTATACTTGGCTGATTTTATATACTGTAATTCAGATGAAGAAGCAGTTTTAGTTAGGCCTATCTCATTGAGCAAAAGTAGCATTAGCCACCATTGTAGCTTGGAATTCAAGGCATGGCAGTGTATCTAAGAATACCCAAAAACCTAAGTCGAAAGCATGAAACAGTTATTTAAAATATTATACCTTACTTTTGCAAAATACATATATCCAAAGCAACTTATAAAAAGATTATGTGGATTTTATTGCTGTTTGTCAACATTTTCCCAAATGTTACCAAAAGTTTTGTTTGAATGCAGTCACAGCTTTCCATCTGACACTTGATTACACCAAGCTACTGAAATGGGGCAAGATTGTAAGGCCTGAATAAGTTGAAAACATATGTCGAGAGAGTGAGTGAGTGTATATGAAGATAGTAGTGACACCTTATGTCAAATCTCCACACAGACTTCCTCAGGTATATGTTAAACAAGATGCAGGGGAATGCTGCAGCGAAGTCTCATAGTGAAACTGAACAATCTCCCACCACCACTTCTTAGGACTAGCCTGATAGGAAAAGACAGAACCATCTAAGCTCTATTTTCTTAATATCTACTAGGTTCTGCAGTGTCACTGGGTGCATATCAATGCATAGTGTTTATGAGGCCGTTTCCTTGATGTTCAGATTTGAGCAGCCAATACTATAGAAAACGATTTTGAACAACGTTCTGCTTAGTCTTCTATACCTAAAACTTTGAAGTTCTTGTCAGGTTACAGATATTCTTTCCTATAACAAGTAGTAAAATGTTGCACTGAGGAGAAGCTGATTCCGTCTCCAGTTGGCGATAATCCATACTTGCTGAGTTTGCCCACTGCCTTACTTCCTTATTTGCTTGTGCTTTGTTTGTTGGTGGTGGCCATTTTCGGGTAGAAACCATGGAGATAGGAAGGGGAGAAAGAAAGTGGACAAATCAGAGAGCAGGAGAGATTGGTCAAATCAGTTTTTCCCTTCTCTCTTTTGCTGGTTGGGTGCAACCATGGAGGGAAGGAGCAGAGAGATCTGGCAAATCACAGATTAGAATAAATGGAAATTGTGGACTTGTGTGAATGCTCACCTAACAAATGATTTCCAGGAAACACATGTGTGTTTGGTAAACGGGGCCTACGTGCATACCATATAAATTATAGTAGTATGAATTACAGGTTCCACTGGAGTTATAGGTACTATAATATATGATACTTTTTGTTTAAAGTGACTGGTGCTTGTTTTCACCCACTTAAAATAGCAGTTTAGTAGTAGTTCCACTCACAGTGGTTATATTAATTTGGCTTTTTTATAGGTCTAAGGATTTGGACCTGAATTAGGAGGTTAGATGTGGCTATTTTAATGGATCTGCATGGTGATCAGCCCAGATGCTGCTCTGCCCATCTATCAGAGTATTTGAAGCAAATCACTGGAGATTTCCTGGTGGTTTCAGCAACTGTTCAACTTCTTTAAGAAACCTCTGTTAGTTCACATCCAAGAACTATTCAAAGAAGAGATGATGAAATGGCTTACTGTTAGAGAACAAAAGTAAATAAGTGTGAGCTTGACAATAATCATGCTAAAAACAGTTTTTACCCCCAAAACATGTTGAAATAAGTTATTTAAAAGTAGAAAATGATAAAGATGAAACCAGAAGCAGCCATTTAGAACAATTTTGTTGTTTAGTCGTTTAGTCGTGTCCGACTCTTTGTGACCCCATGGACCAGAGCACGCCAGGCACTCCTGTCTTCCCCTGCCTCCTGCAGTTTGGTCAAACTCATGCTGGTAGCTTCAAGAACACTGTCCAACCATCTCGTCCTCTGTCATCCCCTTCTCCTTGTGCCCTCCATCTTTCCCAACATCAGGGTCTTTTCCAGGGAGTCTTCTCTTCTCATGAGGTGGCCAAAGTAATAGTCTAACCCAAATACATAATGGTAACCCAAATGCACAATGGTAACCATTTCTGCCAGTTATTATAGTTGTAAAAAAACAATTGGTGGTAGTGTACAACTGAAAAGAAATTTGAAATATGATTTTGCTATACAGGCACATACATGCATTGACTTAAGAGAAGCAACATGTTTAAAGTGGTTTATTACCACTCTTGTTGTAGCTTACCATGGGCCTCTCTTTGGCCACTGTGAGAACAGGGTGCTGGACTACATGGGCCATGTTTTTAGCTTAGAATAATCCCTGATTAACTGATGTGTTTATGCAGCTTTCTACCTTGCATTATTTTATAGTGTAGCCTATCCCAGGATGTCCAACACAGTTGTGTACACTGAAGTAAATTACCGTAATTCAGTCTTTCAAACCTCACCTTAAACTGATTCCAGCTGTGCGTTCTCTGACAGTCCAATGGGAGCACTAAATTTAGGATAATAGTTGTAGCTTTCAGTAAAGTCAACTTGAAATAAGCAGCATTGTTACTACAAATAATTAATGAAGTCCATTAATTGGCTGCTGGTCAGATATGACCTTTAATAGTGGGTTGTCACAATGGCACAATTATTACAATGTATTAATGTGTATTTAGTGCGGTAAATATGCCTGGCTCTTTATGAGCAGCGAAACTTGTTTCCAGCTTTGAAGAATTTGCAATCTAAGATTGACAAGACAAAGACAAGCTGCAGGACATCAGCTTAGGTAAGAAAGGATGTGAAAAGCTTGAGGAGAGATACCGTATTTTTCTCCCTATAGGACGCACTTTTTCCCCTCCAAAAATGAAGGGGAAATGTGTGTGCATCCTATGGGGCGAATGCAGGCTTTCGCTGAAGCCTGGAGAGCGAGAGGGGTCGGTGCTCACAAGCTTGGGGGACAGCGGGGAGGCGCAGCGCGTCATCCCGCTGTCTCCCGACGTGGTTTGCAGGCTGGGGCGGGCTTCCCCCGGCCCCGGCCCCGCAAGCTCCCAGAGCGATAACGAAGCTGCGCACAGCTTCCGGATCGCTCTGGGACCCGTTCTGGGGGCTGGGGACGGGGGAAGCCCGCCCCCAGCCCTACAAGCTCCCAGAGCGATTGCGAAGCTGCGCGCAGCTTCGGAATCGCTCTGGGACCTGTTCTGGGGGCTGGGGACGGGGGAAGTTCGGGCTTCCCCCAGCCCCGCAAGCTCCCAGAGCGGGCTTCGTGCAGCTCTCCGCAAGCTGTGGGAGCCCGGCGCGACTTCGCGCTGGCCTCCAACGGCTTGCGGAGAGCTGCCTGTTCTGGGGGCTGGGGTGGGGGAAGCTTGGACTTCCCCCACCCCAGCCCCGTGCCTGGGGGGGGGGATAATTTTCCCCCCTTCATTTCCCCCTCCCAAATCTAGGTGCGTCCTATGGGCCGGTGCGTCCTGTAGGGCGAAAAATACGGTAATTAGCAGCCTGCATATGAGAGTATCCTAACATGATCTAATACAGTTTCTGTAACTGGAAAATTTCCTACTGAAAAGCTTGAGAATAAAGGTCAGTAAAGCAAATGAATGAATAAATAAAACTTGTGCTAACAAATGATATTGTGAGGGGTTCACAAGGTGTGTCAATTGCTCTTACAATTTCTTTCCTTATTTAAAGCGTGGGTGCGGAACCTTTTTGGCTACACAGGCCAGATCCATATCTGGTTCAGTCTTCATTTAAGTAAAAATTGATAACAAATCATGTTTGATGTCTATAGTGTTAGATAAATATATGTGCAAAGCCAGCAATTCTGATCATGTTCTGTTTGCCAAGCAGTGTGGTAGGAGAGCTAAAAAAAATCCGAACCAATGCACTCCCCTGATTTCAGATAGTACATGGGTAGATGAGTCTAAAAAGCATAGGACACAAATTTTCATGGCCCTCTAGCAGCTATGGTGGCTCATTTACCATAATTTATTTATTTAGCGTTAACTCTGGAAGTGATTCTGACCATACTAAGCCTCCTAGAGCCCTTATCTTTTTTTCATTTTAATGGCTACCAGATCTGCCCAATTTTGACAGTGTTTTTGTGTGTGTGCTACATTAGTATGTGAATTTCCTTGGGGTGCCATTCTCATGAAGAACCTCTCTTTTTGATACATATTGATAAACCAATTTGAAGATTACCATGAATGTCTGCTAACAAACACATTCCAGGAAAAAGTCATGTGTCAGTGGAGACTTTGCACCCTTTGACCTGCTTGGATGATCATAGAGCTAATAATAATAGAATTGTAGAGTTGGAAGGGACCCTGTGGGTCATCTAGGCCAAACACCTGGATTTGCAGGAATCTCTTGCCCAGCATGGGGCCTGAACCCACAACTCTGAGATTAAGAGTCTCATGCTTTACCAATTGAGCTATCTCCTTAACCTCATCTTATTAAGCATGTTGCCCCTTAGTGTGAGCTGCAATTAAACCAGAAGAACTCTACTGTAGTTTCATACTGGGAAGGTGTAGCTACATAATTAGAGGCTTCGTAGTTTGACTGAAGGGTCCTTGTGAAGGGGATTGTGCATATTTTGGCTTAATATATGGTCATTGTTGAGCATAGTAGTTCTCTTCAGAGGCAATATGCCTGGTTAGGTGACTGAGTGATGATAAACGTGATGACCTTTTAAAGGAACTTTCTTACCTTCACTGACAGCTATTCTTTTAATACCTAACAACTCACCTGGAAAGAACAGGTTCAAATCTCACTTCCCCTTGTCTGGTTCAAAATCTGTAAATGTTACTAAGCCCTGGCCCTCAGACTGACCAAAAATTCCAAATTCCTATTCATGTTTTCTCTGTTAATGCTAAAGAATTCTTATTCTGCTCTAAGCTGCAGTGAGCTGGAGGGGGACATGCAGATCAGCCAGTCACATATCCCTGCCTTGGGCAAGTCAAAGACACAACCCCTTCTGTGGGTATCTTCCCATGCCAATTTAGAAAGCCTATTCTTGGTAATTAACCAATGTTCTGGGGCTTAAATGCCGGTGAAGTTAGCAAGTTCTGCTGCCCTATGTAGTTAGGTGCTTGAGTAACATTTGTCTAAATTGGACTGGGTACTGGGTGATTTTGGAAGGACACCACCCACTGAGATTGTGGTCATAGATTTACACCCAGGGTATAAAATAATCTTTCCCAAGGTATTTGGTGAAGATTTTCCAACTTAGAGCTGAAATACCTCTAGATCTGATGACTATGTACTGTGCTGTGCTAAATTCCAGAAGAAGATTTCTAGTTGTAACAAGACTGTGGAAAAGGGGGTGGTCAAACTGCCTCTTCTGGTGCCCTCCAGATGTTTTGAACTACAACTCCCATCAACACCAGCCCAGATGGCCAAGATTGTAGAGGATGGGAGTTGTAACTGGAAACATCCTGAGAGCATCACATTGAAAGGTTGGCCTAACATTTCAAGAAATCATGGTGGTTCTGAATCTGCAGTGAGGCTTTCTTCTGATTAAACATGTTCCAGATTATACAGTTTGAGTGAAATTACATAGATAATACCTGGGCCAATTTGTAGTGGCTCAGTCTGTTATTGTAAATTAGTTCAATCTGAAGCAGTGACAAGATGTACTATAGATTTGAAACCCCCATGGGAATCTCATAACCTTCTGACACCCTCTTTAGTGTCCACCAGGGTTTTTGGGTGTGTTTTTTTGTTTTTACTTTGTGCAGCTGGGCTGGCTGGGAAGTAAAGTGCAGTCCTTCAATTGCCTTGCCCTTTTCCCTTTCCTCAGAGCCCCACACAGACTTTATAAGAAAGGAAGAGGGTGTCGAGCCAAAGACTGGTGTTTTTCTTTCCAGTCCATTCTAAAACTTTTTGAAAAACACCCTGCATTGTAAGCATGGGGGACGGAGGTAGTAGGAAGTAAGTTTTATGTATTTGGGGAAGAGGTTTTTTTAGCTTGTTTCTTTTGTGTGTGTGTCGGAGGGTTACCTTTTGTTCACAGATAGTGGTGGAGGGTTTGTGTGTGTTGTCTGATTTGTATTGTGTTTTGTGGGGGAATATGTGCCTTCCTTACTTTTTTGGGGGGGGTTGGGGGTCTACATGTCTCTTTCCTTTTTGAGAGGTTAAGATGTGTCTGTTAAGGGCACACATTTTTGTCTTGAGTCTTTTTTGGGGGGGAGGATTAGCATTAGTTTTGGGATGATTGGTGTTTTGTCTTGTATGAAGAGGTTGTACAGTGGTACCTCAGTTTAAGAACAGCCCTGTTTACAAACTATTCGGTTTACAAACTCCGCAAAACCGGAAGTAGTATCCCAGTTTGCGAACTTTACCTCGGTCTAAAAACGGAAGCTGAACGGTGGAAGGGCACCGGCAGCGGGAGGCCTCATTAGGGAAAGCATGCCTCGGTTTAAGAACAGTTTCGGTTTAAGAACGGACTTCTGGAACGGATTAAGTTTGTAAACTGAGGTACCACTGTACTCTGTTTCTAGAGCAAGTTATTGGCAATCCCCCACAGCAGTTTCTCAGATTGCCAAATGTGCCCCCAGAGCAAAAAAGGTTGGGAACGCCTGCAGTAGATTTTGAGTTATTTTTGTCCTTGCATCTCTTCACTTATATCTCACCTGAGGGAGCTGTGTAGACATTTGAATGTCAGGAAGTGATTAACAAACCATGTTTGATCGAAACATATTAATAATATTTCATCAGTCTTACTGAAGACAACAACATTTCGTAAGCAGTATTCTTCTAGTGTAGCTATTATCTCTATTGAAAACTACTGTGCATATTTTAACCTGATTACATCATCTTGGGTCAAATAACTGTTTAAATAAACTGGTAAGTTCATAGCATGGCATATGGTGAATCATTTAATTCTGGAGAAATTGTTGATATTTGATAATGTGGAATTCTTTGCTCTCCCTCTCTCTTTATAGGATGCTCTTTAAAGAGAGTCGAAGTGTTCATAATCATCTTACATCTGCTCCGTGAGTGTAACATAAGCATATATCTATATATATACTCTTCTATATTCATTTATTTAGCTTTTCATACTATTGTTTGCAGACCCATAAAGTGCTTGTCTGAGGCCCGGGGATGGGAGGCTTGTTAGAATAAAGTTTGAACCCGTGTATTTTGTGTAGTTCAAATTACTGGTGAAATACATTGTATGATAGTGTGCTTCAGTATGCCAAGGGGAAATCCCTCTGGAACTAGTCAAATGTTGCCTGTATAATTCTAGATTTTAATCTACAAGTCATACATTTACCAGATTGACATCACAGAATTAACTGGATATTATTGCAATGAAATGTTGAAAGTGGAAGGAGGCGTTTGTGAGAAAGATGATGTTTGAAATTATTGATCTAGATCAGGCACCCCAACCTGCGGCCCTCCAGATGTTTTGGCCTACAACTCCCATGATCCCTAGCTAACAGGACCAATCCTGTGTGGGACTGCTTTGTAAATGGCTTTCCTGCTTGTGAAGTTCAGTGGAGGCATTGATCCTGCAGGTTGTCAGGCAGGAAGGAGAGCTGCAGCATCAGGCCTACCTTCCCCTAGGAAGACGCAGCCACTTATCAGAGAGGTCTCTGCCTCCTTGTATGGTTTTTCTGCCCTGCTTGTTCCTCGCTACTGCCTGATACCCTGCCCCCTGACAGTCATGGATCTCTGGGCCAGTTCAATACAACTCACAGCAACCTGTGGCTATATGTACCTGACTAGTCTGAGGCCCTCTCAATATGACTGATTTGGCTCAGGCCTCAGATCCAGGACAGAGTGCTAGTAATCACAAATATGCATATTTACAAATTTTCACCATTTTCATTATGAAAACTCAGTACTCCAGTAGGGGGTCAGCTTGTATTCAAAATACAGTTGTTAAATGAACTGTCTCAAGAGGAGGACCAAAATTTAGACTTGGCATAGTTGTGCTTCATGTGGATATGAGACTATTTTCTGTTTCTTTCTCTAATGGTGTCCACACAACATGAACCTCAAAGTTCAGTAAGTTGGTGAGTTTAAAGATCAACAAATGGATTTTGTGGAGCCACCTTCTCAGAAGCAAATTATAGTCAAAATCCTGGGTGCATGCATATTTGCAAAATCTCCCCTAGGTTTCAATTAAGTTGTGTTTCCACTTTTTTCTCTTTGAACGTGTCTGCCCATACCTAGCCAGCCTTGTGTTTATGGCCAACAGATTTAAGGCCTTTCATAGGGCTCTGACACTTCTAATTAAAAATCATAGATTGCCCTCTAACTATAAATTTGTGCTCACTAGGGCAAAGAAGAAGGTGATTCTGGCACCTAAACCCAAAGCAAAGGTAAGTAATAAGTCAAACTGAAGAAATAGATAGTAATAAAAATTCAGCAAGATGTAAAGTTTCACAGATCTGAAACTTTAGCACTTAATCCACCCATCTGGCTTTTTATTTCTCACCTTTGTATTGCATGCTTTCATCAAGGATCTCAAGGCAATATACATGGCGTGCTACCTTTACACCAATCTTCTGAGATACATAAAAAAAATTAAAAATTGTCCAGTAGTACCTTAGAGGCCAACTAAGTTTGTTCTAAGTACAGTGGTGCCTCGCAAGACGAAAAGAATCCGTTCTGGGAGTCTCTTCGTCTAGCGGTTTTTTCGTCTTGCGAAGCAAGCCCATTGACGGGATTAGCGGATTAGCGCTATTAGCGGCTTTTAGCGGCTTTTAGCGGCTTTTAGCAGCTTATCAGCTTATCGGATAAGCAGATAAGCGGCTTAGCTACTTAGAAAAAGAGGGGGGAAAGGAAAAAAAAACACCAGGAACTCGCAAGACAGTTTCGTCTTGCGAAGCAAGCCCATAGCAGATTCGTTTTGCGAGGCACCTCCAAAACGGAAAACTCTTTCGTCTAGCGAGTTTTCCGTCTTGCGAGGCATTCGTCTTGCGGGGCACCACTGTATAAGCTTTCGTGTGCATGCACACTTCTTCAGATACCATGTGTGCATGCACACGAAAGCTTATACCCAGAACAAACTTAGTTGGTCTCTAAGGTGCTACTGGACATTTTTTTTTTATTTCAACTGCGTCAGACCAGCATGGCTACCTACCTGAATCTTCTGAGATTCGTTAGACTGAAAGATAGCCCAGGGCTACCCAGATCCCCTTTTTGTCAGCAAATGAAAAAATTGCTGAGCAGTGCGGTCTTCATGAAAAGCTTGCTGCAGAGTTGATTGCTCCATGGGTAATAATTTTAAGGTATATAATTCCTTCCAGAGCTTGTAGAATTTGTATGATATCTGGAAGGTTCAATGTACTTACACTCGAAAATGTGCATCTGAGGCTCCTCTTGATATTTTTACTGATGCAAAACTGGATAATATTACATAGTGTTTTCGTTGCAGCCCAGAAGCTGAGACAAAATTAGGGGAGGAAATATATTTAAGCAATATTACTTTTTGGTGACACACTATAGTTCATGCATCTTAATGGTAATTGATTCAGTTAAGAATATTGGCTTTCTTCTGCAATAAAAAAGAGATTGCATCATGTTGTATTATGAGCATTCTAGAAATTAGTGTCATGAAGTCTTTTATTAACTATTAATTGGTATGACCTTTAAAATGGATTTGTTGTCTAGCACTCAAAGTCATGTGATGGGAGACAGATCTATACAGTATTTTTAAGGTTGGCCTATCCCAGTGATACCAAAGATAAAGTGTTTAGCACACACGGGATACTAAGCTATGTCCCCATAACTGTTTTTCCCCTGCAACTCCTTCCACAGACGAAAGTCAGACTTCCTTTTGATGTCCATTCCTGGTCGGTGGAAAAGAGATATCAGAAAATTGATTGTGGAAATAAGAATAGTGGGAACCTTTAGTCATCCCTCAAGCCCTATATATATTTAAAATCACAGCCCCATGTTCACTTAAGATATGGAGCAGACCCATATTGAGTCTCATGCTCTACCGACTGAGCTATCCCCATATGTCTACTATTATCACATTTTTTCTTGAGTCTCAATTTTATACCCTGCCATACTTTGTAATGGAAACTCAAGGTAGAGAACAATATAAAAACAGTTAAATTACAATGGAAAATGGACCACAATATATACTAGTAACATTTAAAATAAAGCCATTTAATCCAACCTGATCAAGTCAAAAACGGAATTAATTATATTTTTAAAATAACACAATTTATGGTTCATGCATGCTTTCTTGTGGACTGAGTTCCAAAAGTGAGAAACATCACAGCATGTCCTAAACAAATTTATTTCTTGGACAGAAGGTATTTAGAACAGAGCACCTGTAGCAGGGCTTAGTGGCCTCATATGGGAGTAATCTCTCTTTTTAACAGATTCAGTAGTAGCTTTAGGTTTTCTTTTAAATAACTACAACCCTGCAGGGCTTAAAAAATTAAAACTGATAAGCAAGTATACTTGTTTTTGCAATCTGGTATCAAATAAACTACAGTAATGGAACCATGCATGATTACAAACAGGCAAGACACAAGCATTCTTTGAAATTTCTTCCTTCTTACTTGCAGAATGATATTTTAATTTTCATTATTTCTTCACACTAGGATTCTAGTCCAAAGAAGGAACAAAGAGTCTGTACCCCTTTTACTTCAGCTTGTGTTCCTGCTTCAAGTACCAGCACACCTGTCACTGCCCTGGCCAGTTCTAGCTGTAATCCTACTCCGGAGACCATCTGCCTAGATGATTCACTGGATGAAGATCTCTCCTTCAATCCACCATCATTGGAATCCATTTCTGATGTTCTGGCTGTTATTAACAATGGAGCCAAGAGTTCTCCTGTTGTGCCCTCTGTAGAGACACCAACTTCAAGACCTCGGCCTGGGCTGAGAGAAGAGAAGTTAGCAAGTATAATGAGCAAGTTACCTCTGTCATCTTCAAAAAAGGTAGAGACTGTTCAAACACCACATTCTTCAAGTCTTATAGCTGGGCACACAGGACCAGGACCAAAGAAATCCCAGGATTTACTTCAGACTGGTATCTCTTCAGGCCTTATTGCTGGGTCTTCAATTCAGAATCCCAAGGTTTCCTTGGAGCCCTTGCCAGCCAAGCTTCTGCAACAAGGATTACAGAGGTCAAGCCAGATTCAAGCTGCTTCCTCTTCACAGGCCCACATTTCTTCCTCCTGTAAGATCCAAGCCACAGCTTCCTCTGCTTCTCAGAGACCAAAGGATACGTCTGTCCTTGTATCCTCTTCAGAAGCCCACGGTTGTGGCTCTTCAGCATTACAAATAACAAAGGTTCACCAGCAGTCAGCTGCCCAACAAAAATATGTGTCTCCTCTACAAGCAACTATTAGTAAATCTCACACCAATCCTGTGGTGAAACTAAGTAGCAACCCTAAACTCTCTTGTTCGTCCCCAATTACCAAGACATCAGATAAACCAGTAACATACCGCCTTCCTTTGACTAGCACCACGTCTGGGAGTAGTTCCCAGATGGCTCACCCACTTGTGTCTCGGACAGCATCCAGCACCTCTACCTCTAGTAACTATTTAGCCAAGACCATGGTATCACAAGTTTCTGCCCAGGGTTTCAAGCCTCCTTTCTCCATGGGGGTTCCTTCCCCCAAACCTGCTGCCTCTCCTAAGCCCACAGCACCCAAGCCTTCTGTAACACCCAAACCTATTTTGTCACCTAAACTATCCTCATCGAGGTCCACTTCAACACCCAAGCCTCTATCATCTTCCAGTTCTTCCAGTTCAAGTGCACTAGTATCCCAGAGTGGTCACTCTAGCAGCAACAATTCCCTTCACAAACAGCCCAGTGGAGCAAATGTCAGCAGGCAGTCTCCTACAATTAATTTACTGTCCTCTAACCGCACCTCATGCCTTCAACCAGCAAAGAACCCTCAGGCTCCTTCAAAATTGTCCAACTCTTCTGCCTCTGGAACTGTTGGCAAAAGCAATTTAAGTGGAGTTGGAATGAATGTACCTGTCAACAGAGGCAGCACTCTTAATTCAAGTGGAGCTAATAGGACTAGTATCTCTGGGGCAGCAGGAAGTGGAACACAGGGTGCTACTAAACAATTGTCAACTCCACACAGACCATCTTCTGCCTCGGGGTCTACAGTTATACCAGCCAGTGTGCAGGTATGTGTTGAATGTGAAAGCTCATTATAGGCATAACATGTGTATTCTATTTTGGGCTATTTATCCTTCCTTATAAATGTAATTACACTAATAGTGCAATTCTCTACATGTCTATTAAGAAGTAAGCCTCATTGAGTTCAGTGGAACTAACTCTTTAACTTAGCATGTGTAGGATTACATCCTAAATGTAAACAGAAACCTTCACACTGATGAGAGGGTATGAAGCTCTAAAGTTCAAAAGAGACAATTTGCACCCTAAGGGTGGAACTGCACATTGTGTGACACTGAAAACAGCAGCCTATGTTGGCTTTTACTCAGTAAAGTGCTCACCCCATTTTGCGGTGTGATTATTTTGTGTATTTCTCTGCCCTGCCAGTGGCAGCAAGTGATGTGAGATAGGGGTATATATGTGATTTGTATCCCACATATCCCTTATGTGATTCACAGTATAGAATAAGTGAGAATTTATTATATTTGAAGTAGGTGGGGAAAACCCTAGTCACTCTTGGCATAAACGAGACATTTGTTTAGCACAATACACAGTGGGAGCAAACTTCAGCATATTTACAGTAGCATGTTGAGATTTGTTTCAAGACTAATTCACATTACATGGAAAAAGCAGTTTCATGTGAGAAACTCTTTTTCATTTTTCACTCCCCTCTCTGTTTTCTTATTTTAATCAACATCTTCTATCTTTTTGTTATAAAAGTGTTATTTTAAATTTGTATATTACTTTAGACTTGAACATAACCCAGGTAAGCAAGCCAAAGCAATTCTGGTGCTACAGTGTTTTTCTGTGATGTTTGCTACAAGTTCTATCTACTAATATTCATTCTAGTCTATAATTTCCTATATGGAATAGGCCTCACCATCTCATGAGTTAAACACACACGAGTTAGTCCATATTGTCAGTCTGAACAATTTTAATCAATGGTGCTTGTCTGATGTTTTATTACTCTTCTGTTGTATCCTGCCATAATTTAAGCAGCAATCATTTTTATTTCCTTAAATGTAGCATTACTTAAAGTAAAGCATTGCTTATAAAAGCAACTGTTCCCAAAATTAATATTTATTTGGTCCCTTCTTCTATATAACTGCTTCAGACTCCATGTCTGCTACCACTTTCTTAATGAGGGGCCTTGGGCAGAAAAAGCAGCTAATACTATGCTTGTCAGCCTCCCTTTCATCCAGTGGTAGGACCTACAGCCAGTGTAGCTATACTGTAAGCCTTCTTACCTGCGGTCCTTCATCTAAAAGCCTAACTCGGCTTTCACTGTAATATTTTCTGCTTCTACATTTCCTTCTTTGTGTATCAAATCTTCCAAGAGCTTTCTGAACTTCATACATTCATACCATTTTATGTAGTCCTTTTCAGCATTTACTGTGTTAGTTTCTAGAGCATCCGTTTATTGACACACAGCTGGCTTGCATATAATGCTAAGCCAAAAAAAGTCACAAATGTGTGAGGGTTCCTGAGGAGATTGCAGCCGCTGGCTATTACCAGCAGCGTACTGCAGCACTATCTTCCACTGACCCATAGTTTATTGTGCGAAGCTGGTAGCTCAACAGTTGCAGAGCCTGGCATAGCCTGGCAGATTGGGCCAACTCATCCGAACCCCACCCAGTATTCTCTTGCCATAGTTTTAGCACACACTCAAAGATTGCTGCATTTGATTCTTGTCTGTTCTTCCTATATTTCTATGTTCAGGGTGAAGTGAACATGTTAGAATGGTAATACATATAATAAATTATGATAACTGCAGAAATCCTTCCCTTCTTGTACTAGGGTTTCTTGGTTATAGCTGCTTTGTTCCCTAAACTGGTACTGCAATCCTGAGTACACTTACTGGGATAAGCCCCCTTGAACTCCTTGGGACTTACTTCCAAGTAAGCATACATTAAATTGTGCTATGAAATAATTTATGCCTTCAGTAACACTGTTACAAAATCTTGAATTTTAAATGTAAGTGCAATGGATGCAATGCTGTGGGAAAGAGAAGCTGAGGGAATGGTTGAAGCATTATAAAACTTTCCCATTTAAAACTATTAATTGTTGAAACAGTAACTTACACTAATGGCAAGACAAAAAGGGAACACAGCACTCACTGCTACCTGAATATTTTATAAAGTTGTACCAGAAGCCACATAGGCAATGTGTAGAAAAGCATGACCCTTGTTTAGGTAGTAAAACTTCAGATATTTATATAATTAACCTTATTTTCTTGGGTGTGTCCCAGAAAAGCTGTAAAACAGATTTAAAAGTAACACTTGTCTCTATACAGTCAACAACAGGTGCATCATTACTGGCAAATGCTTCACCTTTGACGCTCATGACATCACCCCTGTCTGTAACCAATCAGAATGTGACATCTGCTCCATTGGCTCCTTTTGGGATGCTGGGTAGCCTTGTTCCTGTGACTGTGCCCTTTCAGTTCCCATTGGAACTACTTGGCTTTGGAACAGACACAGCTGGAGTAACAACCAACTCGGGATCTACCTCAGCGGCTTTCCACCACAGCCTAGCGCAGAGTAAGTAAGGCTAGATATTTTTCCCATCCAATTTCTTTAAGCCTCCTTTCACATAAACACTGTAATTGCAAGGAAAATGCAGGGATCTCTAGAAATACTTCACAGTTTGTAGGTGAGGGTTTTATTTTTTGGTTGCTGTTAATGGCTATTTTTAAACTCTCAATATTATGTGTGTAAATGTGTATGTTTTTCCACATTATGTGCATACTGATTTTTTACTTCCTTTCTGGATGAAGTGCCCTGTGATAATTGGAATTTGAGAAATTTTTGTTTATAAAGTGGGACAAAACCCTAACATTCTGCATCCCAGAAAATCGATTAAAATGAGCACCATAGCTTACAATCGAAAATAAGCTTTGCCTTTGATATTGTAAGTGCATCTTTTGTAAGCAGTTTTTTCCCTTCCTATTTACCAAATGTAGATTTCAGTATTTGTTTGATATTAGACTTGGAACATTTAATATTAGTTTCTTGGGAAGTCTTAAGTTAACACATTTATTTAGCTATATTTCTTGTTCCACTACCACAGGATAGCATATATTAAAAACAAAAGTTGTATCAAACAGGATATTTCCTTAATTAGGTTGCATACTTGGCATTTTAAAGAAAGTATCTGTTACATTTACTGAAAGAACATATGCATATTGAACTGGTAACCATTACTGAAGATGTTTTGGACAAAAATAAGTAAAGCTGCTTTGTGTATTTATGCAAAGTAGATTGTTTGCATCAATTAGCTCTTAATTTTTGTGGTTGTATTTGTTTTTTATTATCCACGCTACTTCAGATTTACTGAAGAGCTTACCGCCTGGAGCTCAGCATGCAACAGCGCTATCTCACACACCTCTGCCTGCTCACTTGCAGCAAGCTTATACAGGTAAGGAAAAAGATCTTGTCTTTTTAAAAGAAAAAGAAAGTGAAATAACACTTTTTAAAAGTGAAAGAACAATTTTCTCATCATGGCTTAAGTCTTTTGTAATTCTACAATAGTGAAAACTGCTGTAGAATCTGTTTTTCCAACATTTCCATGATGGCAGCTGCCAGAAGTACTCCAGAAAACCCTAGGACCTAGCAATGGCTTCTGAGAATGCTTGAGGGCCTGTTTATCTCTACATCTCAAGGAGAATTCTCAACTTGGGATGAATATTGGGTTTTCACCTACTTTCATTATCTGTCACTGCATATATAAAATAACAAGTGAACTGAGCTCTTTCATAAGGCATTTTTCTCAAATAAATATTTCTCAGAAAGAATTGGAGTGGAATTTCAACGAAACAGACCAATTAACCTATCTCCCACATTCTTGCTTCTGGAGTCAGGTGCTGGGATACTGGCATATCTGGCATGGCTAGGCCTCTTAGTATTTGCCTACTTGCTAAGTTTTGTCTTTGCCAGTTTTGAACCCAGCTGTACTATTGGAATGTACCACATAATGTGGCAATGAATTCCACAAAGGTGTTGCATGAAAATTGTTTTTGTTGTAAAGGCTGCCAAGTGGGAATGCAGGTTTCCATCATATAACATACATTTCGTGAGAGTAATTTACATAATAAGACAATTTACCTTATATGAATCCCCCCCTTTCATCTTCAAATTCCAGATGGAGGCCAAAGTAAAGGGGACACTAAGTTACAGAGGAAAACCCAGTGATGTCCTGATGAGCAAGGGAGTTAAAGTGGTTCTGCTTTGCTGATGGAGACTGACCAGTTGGGAAAGTGCTTACGCGGACACAGAGCTGCTGTTTCTGTCAATGTTTACATATTCTGATTCCAAGCACTGTGGTGAGGAGGAGGAGGAGGAGAAGAAGAAAAAGAAAAGAATACTTGATCAAAGAGAGAAGGAAAAGGAGGAAAGTGTTCATGTAAAAATGGTTCATAGTTTGATATCTCCTAGTGAATTCCCAAAGCCTTTTATCCTTTCTGAATAGCTCAGAAAGGTTTGGCCAAATAGGTTCAGTTGTCAAACCTACAGCAGCACAAACCTTCTTTCAGGCTGATATCTGATAGAGGATCTGTGAAAGGAAGCTAAAATAGACATCTCTATCCATCATGCAAGTGAGGCCATACATCTGTTGTCCCCAGGGAAGCTTACGTATATGCCAGTTAGGAACATTCTGTACAGCTTTGGATAATGTGGCATATAAAGCAGAAATTGTGATTATGTAGAAAAAGCAAGGAAGAAAGTATTTTCTCCACACCAAGCTAAGGCTATTTTGTCACTATCTCTTTGAAGAGCCTAAAGATTACAGATGGGGAGGATTGTTCACCATAGGTAATGTCATTGACCAGGGTAGAGTTTTTCCCCTCTCAAGATGGGAGGAAGGGAAAAGTCGGAGGGTGTTCTGTAACCATTCTTCAATTTAACTTCATATACTCAGATATAAAATGAGAACTTACTTGGCTTCATCAGACCAGATCTTGCTTTCAGTATCTTCTGAAGAAAGTCTTTTCCTGCCCTTAATCTTGCTGTAGTACTTCAGAGTTGCCTTATTTTTCATAAACATAATCCAGAAATCTCCAGTTTTGATCCTTTGTGAAGAAAGTCTTGTCTCTGGTTCTTCTTCCTCTTGTAATAGCTCTAAAAAGTCTCACACTGTATTGATTTCCAGCTCACAATAACTACATGTAGCTTGCTTTTGTACAGAGTCTTGCTTTTCTCAGTACTGTTCAAAGCCTTCTCCAAAGAGTAGTTGAGGTGCCTTCAGCCTTGGCTTAAAATATGTACCTCCAGCATTCCTAATACCTGCATAGCTAGGAGGTATAAAACCTGACCCCCTTGTTGCACAGGGACACAACTTCTTTGCTGACATTCGGTTTTTGATAGCAATATGTTAGATGTTGGGGAGGCAAATCTTGTATTGCACTTCGTAATTATTACAGAAGGAATATTTGGATCAAAATATAATTTTGTTAAGAAAAATCAAGAAGGCATGAGACATTGTGCTCTTCTGTGAAAAGTATCTATTTTCTCTCACTTAAATCTTATTAAAACATTTTGACCAGTTCTAGCCTGAAAAAACGGAAAAATCTAAGTAATCTGAAAATGAAGGCCATTCTCCAATAAAGGTATATGCGCATGCAGGAGAACATGTATAGCTGGGGGTTTCTTTGAAACTTCAACTGCAAATTGGTTAAGCTACAGTTTAAGCAGACAAGCAGCTTGTCTGTTGAACAGTATGAGTGGCTGCATTAAAACTTCAGAGAAATCTTTGGCTCTTCATAGTGTTCTACCCACATACCTATATAGCTTTATTGTATAGTGGCCTAGATCACACTTGCTGCTGCCTTCTACCAGACACATTTTTTGTTTCCAGGTATGTTCCTTCATCTTAGAAAGCCAGGTATGTTATATTTACTAATTTAGATTTCACACTAATTCTATATGTAAAAAATATACATATATTTAAATAATATATAATATAAACACAGTAACTGAATGTTGGGTTGAGCCCACTAATAAAGAACTTTGCACACCATCATGGAATAAAAAACTCAGTTAAATATTGAATTTTACCAAATGCAAGGTAAACAAAAGACTTTTCTAAAATATTTCTTGTAGTTTGGTAGAAGAGACTACAAACTTGCCATACTTAGTTCAGAATATATTTGGCTGGTTCATTCCCCCAAACCTTAGAGTCCCAAAACTATTAACTGGTATATTTTCTTCTCTTACTCATTTTGCTGACCCTTGAGATAAAGGTCAAAACTTCCTTGTTCACCACAGCATATATTCCATGCATAAACATACAAAATCTTACATTCTCTGCAAGCTTGTTACTATAGTGTTGGCTTTCCCTTGTAGCAATTTAAAGCCTGCATTGCAAATTAAGTATGTTTTTGAATCCTTTTTTAATGTATCTTGAAAGTGTGACTACGTTGAAAAAATAAAAATAATAAATGCAGTTATTGCTTGAGTGAGGTAGAAATGTATTTTCAATGAAATACCATCGATTGTGAGGTTACATTGGCTTAACTAGAAGGAATTTAGTGAGAATTTGGCATGTGATGAGTCTGCCTTTGCAGATCTTATTATGAACACTAAATCTTAGGCAGGCAATATTCCTTTCCCCCCTCTGTTCATTCTAATATGCAGTAGTAGAAAGTATGGAGGTCAAATGTTTTTCTGGCAGACTTAGTTTTTTGCTTCCAGGTGTTTATCACTGATAGAAATATTGTACCAGGCAATTCATTTATGTCACTTTTCCCCTTTTAAGCTCTTCTGTATTTATAAAGCAAAATTATAGTCCATGGTTAAGCTACTGAAAAATGAAATTTCCCCCTTTAGAACAAAATAGCACAAATTGCCTGCCCCTTCAGTATAGCTCATGCGTATTCTAATAATATATTAAATCAGTGAATGAGTTGATAGGTCAGACTACACAGTCATTCATCCCGCCACAAAAAAGTCAAACAGGAATAAACTGGGCATACAATGTGAACTCTCAGATGATCAAGCTTCAAAAACAGCCAGCTGTAAGTATCTGAAGACATTGTGACACCAGTAAAATAATGATAGATGCCAACTCTGCACTGTGTGCACAGTGAAGGGGGCAAAAGATATTGGAATGAATCAACACAGTGAGGTGCAGCATTTTTTAAAAAAATAAAAAGATATAGGCACATGAGCTGAATAGTTGGATCTAATGAATTGGCTAGAAGAGGATAAATAGCATTCTAATGCGGTTTAATTTGATGAACTTCCTGCATAGTAAGATTCCATTTAGTTGTGTGGTGTTTTTAAAGGCCTTCGGGAATTCAAGTTGCTCTTGTCCTAACCCCCTCAGTATTCACAAGCAATAAGTCAAAGCTGTTATTCTGGGCAGCTGAGCTGAACCAGGAACTAAAATGGCAAGCTCACTCTGAGCCTCAAATACAAGCAATAATTTTCAAGTACAGGTTTGGAAATTGAATATTATTTAAATTATGCCTCCTGCTATGTGTGCTTAACCTTATGGGAACACACTAGCAATTTCTAGGTTATCTGGAATTTATCCAAAATCTAGATAAACGATAGAGGCATTGAACTACAAAATGCAAAAACGTCAGTTGTCTTAACAATATATTGTTCTCCTCCAACCCTAAGATAAAAGTTGATGGTTTAAATTACTCCTTTTTGTTCAGACTTTTATATCTGCTTGTCTCCCGGAAGATGGTTGGGAATGTTGTCAAAGTCCCAGGTGTGGGTGCTGTGGGTTTGACATCTGTTTTATTAAATAAGAAGTGACTTTTAATTTATCCAGTAGTATAGGCTGGAAGTGGGGTAGACAAGCAAGATGACACTTCTTTCCATTTTTAGCAGTCTAATCCAACCTCTGCATAGCCTCTCCACTTGGTACAAAAGTAAAGATTCTGCAATTCCGAAGCTACCATCAGTTATACGGAACCATAATCATCTGACAGATAGTCTCTTAAAGCTCCCAACTGTCTTATGTTTGCTGCTACATTCGTGGAAAGAACTTTTGGCTATATTTATAAGTCAATTTAAATCTAGTTTACAGATTGGTTTTAGAGTTGGTTGCCCACAGGAAGATTAGAATGTCTTGATTTATTGGAGTGCATTGGCAACAGATATAGTGACTGCGCTTATTTTTTTATTTTGGGACTTTTCAGGATAGTATTGCAGGGAAGAAGTAAAGCCTGCAGTCAGGCTAAGCTTTGGAAGGTTTTCACCCAGGTCTCTTCCAGTGTTGGTCATTGTAGAATTGCTTGCTTTTTCTATTTTCTAAAAACGAAACACAAAGGTAAACAACTGATCAACATTTTATGCAATTTAATTTTATGGCAACGCGTAAAAGTTTTTATATAATTTGGTTCTGTCTCTGAATAGTGTTATCACTCCAACTTACTTGATTCAGGCCTTTGTCCTTTGGTTAAGTGCCTTTTCTTTGTTTTTGTTCCCAACTTTCCTCAAAAAGTATACTCAGAGGTCCTAAAGTGCTAGGAGGTATTTGGAAGAACCTTGAACCTGCCAATATGACTTTATGCTGTTAAAATGACTTTTCCCTTCTGTAATTAGTGTGTGTAATGTTATCACTGCTGTATCATGGCATTCATTATTAGGTGCTTGCTTTCACACATGGCAGTATTCCCAACAGCCCTAATGTTTCATATGTTTTCTGTAGCATTAATGTTTACTTACAAAGGTGAACACAGACACAGGTGAGAGTATGGTAATTAGGTGTATTTGATCAACTGTAAGGAAATGAGTGGTTAGTTGGAAATGGGCTGAACTATTCTCACTGGAGTTTCAGGTTGCATATTAAATTTTAGTATAATAGTGCTAGTCTGATAGTGGTATAAATATTGAATAAACTTGAACTGGTATTCCTAAAGTGTGACACAATTCTCAACAAAATGTAACATTCTTAGCAAAAAAAGAAGAAGAAGCACTGAACAAATTTCCACAAGTTATAGAAATTGTATCAAGAATTCGTATTTCTTAAATCAAACTAGCAAAGTTAATTTCAGTTCCGGGAGCACAAAAAGTGCTGACTAAAAAGGTAGAATCCTTTTCATATTGTTCTACTCCATCTGAGGAACCTGTTCTGAGGAACCTGTTCTAGGCAGCTATCTGGTGACAGTAGTGACTAAATATTCCTACTTAAAGTGACTGTTTCCCATGCATATTGAGCTTCCTTGTGTTGCTCAGAT